AAAATGCATTTATTTTTGTTGTTCCCTCGGCAATAGCCATAAAAAACAAACGGAACAAGTCAGATTTGACTTAATTTATGTGGCTAAGAGACATGTGAGGGAATATCATATGAACTTGGGCTAAAGCTGGAGGAATGTCTGAAAGCGCAGCGAGTGACGAGCGCCACGCGGCTGTGTACACACTGGAGAGCGCGCAGAGACGCAGCTTCGATGTATGTAGAGGACAGTATGGCCAGAGAATGATGTGCAGCAACAAACTCACATTGTATGTGTTTGTCCTTTAAGGTTCTCTGTGCAGCTAGTTGGTCAGGACACTGAAATAAAAAAACAAAAACAATGTCCAAGAAATCACTGTACACTGCTGTCCTCCTCATAATGTTTAGATACCTTTGTGTGTGTGTGGAGCTGATCTAGAGCAAGGGCCGCTGGCAAAAAAATCGGCTGCGCTCGTCCATTCGTTGCGGTTGTGTCCGCTCTTTGCTGATAACAGAGCGAGGATTTTCAAAGTAGCCCCGCAACCACCCCAACGCGTGAGTCTCTCCACTTTCACATGTGCGTACAGTGTGTAGACTTCTGCCTCTGCAATCCAGAAACATTGTTTTTTTACTGCTTCCCGCGCCCCTGTGAACGTACTATGTTTGTATTAATCATATCTCTGTGCGTTTAATTACTCCTGACGTTCTTCGTCCCCCAACCATCTCTGTGTCATATACGAAATGATTTCTCAGACCATCATTCAAATGCACTTAATATCTAGCGCGTGGACAACATCTAATCCAAAACTAATTTCCTTGCATATATATGAGGCTTGTGGCAGTGATTATCTGAAGTGCAGCTGAATTCTTAATCCAGACTGTTTGTGTGTTGACAGCCGCCAGATGTCAACAGAGACGGGTGACTAAATCCTCCTCCCACACCAGTCTCCACTGCAGTCTAAATAAGAATGACACTTAACTCTGCACTGATTTTCACTTAAATCTCTGCTGTATGCTTTGAGATATCTTAACGAGCTTATTATCACCGAGCACGAGTCTGATATTTTTCTGTACAGCCTGAGCATGCGAGGTAATAAATGTTTTTATTATATGACTCTCGTTGTGTCTTAAACCCAGGGGTCCCAAAGTTTTTAGCCCGCGACCCCCATCATAAATGCCCTTGCTAACCCGCGACCCCCCCTCCCCCCACCCAACAGCCCTTCCGTCACATGAATATGAGCATTATTCCTGATACGGTGTAGCTAAGGGCTGCACGATATATCGATATTATCGTTATATCGAGATTTTTGTGCCGCACTATAGATAATAAGGCAATATCGATAATAACGATATACGTGTGTCAATTTCCGCGGCCGCAAACAGATGAAAAACGTAGAAGAAGACGGTCGCGTTCATCCCTCCCGGAAATTAGCCCTCCCCTTCCCGCGCGCTCAGCACAGCAGCACAACATAAACAAAAATGGAATCTGCCTCTGACTCGATAGAAGTTGTGGAAGAGGAGCTGGTTTCCAAAAAAAGGAACAATGGATCACTCATATGGCGGTGGTTTGGATTCCAGGTTGCAGATGTGGAGCAGAAACATGTATTCTGCAGACAATGCCGAAAATCCATTCCGGCAAAAGGTTCGAGCACGACGAATCTGTTTCATCACTTACAACAGCGACATAAAGTTGAATATGAAGAGTGCCTTCGACTGCGCGCTGCAAGGCCAAAGATAAACTCAGATCATTCTTCTAACCCGAAAGCAAAACAAGTCACGCTGGAGAACACACTCGTTCGCACTGCCACTTTTGATAAAACAAGTAAGAAGTGGCGTGACATCACGAATGCAATAGCTTTCCACATCGCTAAGGATATGGCTCCGATTAGTACAGTGGAACAGACTGGCTTTATTCAGATGTTTAAAATAGTGGAACCCAGATACCAGGTACCTGGACGAAATTATTTTGCAAACGAAGTGTTACCAAACATGTATAAAGAAGTACGAGCCGGCATGGACGCCCGACTCGCCAAAGTGTCACATTTTGCACTAACATCGGACATGTGGTCCAGCCGGACCTGTGAACCATACATGTGTGTAACGATACATTTTGTGGAGGACTGGAATATGAAATCAGCATGTCTCCAGACGAGCTACTTTCCTCAGGACCATACCGGGGAGCATATAGCAGAGGCTCTGCAAGACGTCCTCTCTAGCTGGAAGCTCAACCCGGAAAAACTGGTGGCCGTAACTACTGACAACGGTGCAAATGTTGTTAAAGCGGTGCAACTCAACAAGTGGTTAAGGATGCAGTGCTTTGGTCACAGACTTCATCTGGCCATTGGTAAGTGCAATACTGAATTATTCATTCATGTAGGGTGATCCCAAAACTGGCAAATTCATGCAACAACGCCTGTGTTCTGACTTTTTTTTTTACTTTTTTTGAATCAGGTTAAAATTAATCTAAATTCAGTCTAATACATTTTAAGTATGGTGGTGAAAATAAATCCAGGTTAAATGGTGAAGATGTATCTGAATGCCTGGTCTAAATTTCAGATCCTGTTTTAGATTGCACAAATTCAACACTTGAACTTGTTTTACTAATTTAGTTTAGTTTAACACACCGTTTGTAGTTTACACAGTGTCATGAACATATAAACATTACACTCCTATTTAATGTAAATAGCTTTCAATTTGTATTTGAGGGAGCTCTGTGTCTCAAATAAATTAAAGTGATTTTAGAATGTGTTATTCAATTTGTCATACAGGACATGCCATGAATGATGCCCGTATCACCCGTGCTATTGGTCTGTGCAAGAGGATCGTGAGCAGCTTTTCATACAGCTGGAAAAAAAGAAGAGAACTGGCTGAAGTACAACTGCAACTTGGTCTGCCAGCTCACCAATTGATCACAGAGTCTGCCACACGCTGGGGATCGAGGTTGGTAATGATAGAGAGGGTCCTGGAGCAAGAAAGAGCACTGGCTAAAGTCCTGTCCGCTGACAAGAAAACTAGACCTCTAGTCCTTACCTGGCAGGACATAGAGGTCCTGGAGGCCATTCAGAAAGCTCTAAAACCTCTTCAGGACTTTACAGATGCTTTCTCAGGAGAGGCCTACGTGACCCTGTCGTATGTCAGACCTGTACTTCACCTGTTCAACAATCGTCTCATGGCATCTGAAGAAGGGGATAGTGAGCTGTGTAAGTCCATCAAGACCAAAGTTGTGGATTACCTCAATAACAAATATGCAGACCCAACTACCAGTGACCTGTTGGATATAGCCTCTCTTCTAGATCCAAGATTCAGGGCCAAATACATCTCATGTGACCATGACCACATGGAACGCAGAGTTATTTTGGAGACTCAGTCTTTGCTGCATGAATGTGTGCGCGAGCTGAATGACCCAACAGAACAAGAAGGAGCAGCTGTGGCAGTGCCACCTAATCCAAAAAGAAAGAAATCACTCGCAAGCTTCTTTAAAGAGAGTCCTGGCACTGGTAGTGCCACCGGCACCAAACTCACACCGAGAGAGACAATAGAACATGAACTGTCAACCTATCTGCAGTCAATCTGCATAGAGAGAGAGTGATGCTGACCCACTCAAATGGTGGAAGGACCATGAGGTTGCTTTTCCAGCACTGAGCCGCCTGGCCAACAAGTACCTTTGTGTGCCAGCCACCAGCTCCCCTTCAGAAAGGGTTTTTAGTTGCAGTGGTAACATTGTAACCTGCCACAGGGCATCCCTGAAGCCTGAAAGTGTAGACAGGCTCATTTTTCTGGCACAAAATCTGTAAGATGTACACTACAGGCCAATACCTCTTGTCTTTCATGTTTTAAGTTTAATGGTTGCTAAATAATTGTTCCAAGAACGTGTTTACATTGAGTTATATTGTTTGATTGTTTACATTTGCACAAAGTACTTGAATTGCATTTAGGAGAAGGAAGCATCCCTCAGTCTCCCTTCATAGATTGAAGCTTTCCTAAAGCAGGCTGACTTGTTATTTTTGTCAGTATCTTTTCTGTTCACATTTTGCACTATACTGTTACACAGTAAAGGAATATTTATTTCTAATTTATTTTGATTTAAAATAATAATACATGTTTTTTGTTTAATGAAAGCAATTTATGCACATGTTCTGCAGTTGAACATTAATAAAAGTGCCTTTGAGACATTTGTCACCTGTGGTTTTGACCAAGAACATGGCTCATTGGTTTCAATTCACTGGAAGAAAAATATCGAGATATATATCGTATATTGCCATTCAGCCCAAAAATATCGAGATATGACTTTTTGTCCATATCGTGCAGCCCTAATACAATATAACTCTGGCGATTACACTCATTACACTTGGTTCAAGGAGAAGTCACTAGTGGAATATACACTGTAGTTAGCAGCATCACGAGGTATTTACACACTGTAAAATATGAGGTGATAATGGCTTGAATCGAGTGGTTTTAATCTTATTCTGAGCACATTCTGACCGTGTTCAAACAATATTCACCGATAGGACAGAGACATTTAGTCTTATTTCAAGAACTCAAATTTGGCTAAATTTATTTTAATTTGAGCAAGTTTTAATTAGATACAAGAAAAGTGAAGAGTGGATCATCAGAGCAGAAATGAAGCTGAAGCGCAAATTCAGACTGAAAGACCGGCCACAGCTCTCACCCGTCCAGAGCCAGCCAATCACACAGCTCTGCCAGCCTCGAGCCTCTGCCAATCACACAGCCCGGCCAGCGTCTTGCCAACCCACTGACAGCTCCTGGCTCCTGCTCTGGCTCGGGCTCCGCCTACGCCCCATTCATAACATGCTTCTAGCCACCACCAGTGCTTGACCCCAGGGGATCTGAGATCATCTACAGCAGCTGAACATCTCCCCTTTGTAAGTGTCACTGCCGGGGTCAATGCGCCAAACAAATAAATATTTTTCATGCATGAATGTTTCTGTCTTGGTCTCTTCAGATTGAATTATAAGATGAATGTAATGCAATAATGTCTTCTTTCTAAGGTAAAGGCGCACTCACAGCAAGGATGCGGTGCGTGCTGGTAAGGCGGTCTCTCCAGGCCACACACAGCACGTACGGCAGGTACAGGCTGAAGTAGATGAGGCCTCCACACGCCGCCGACAGGTTGGCTTTGGAGAAGAAGGTGCTGATCAGGAAACACTGCATGATGGTGGCGGTGGCGAAGGCCGACAGGAAGAAGAAGACCACGGACGGGTCGCTGTAGGGCAGGATGTCCCCCCACTGCGAGGACCAGATAAGGCAAATTTATTTATAAAGCACCATTCATGCAGAAGTAGCCCAGGGAATAAACAGGCATAGAAAGAATACATACATATCTACATACATAGATATAGACATAAACACGCATCTGTAATAATACAAAAATAAGGCTTTAGCGCCTAGTAAGTCATGTTTATTATAATATACGTCAAGACAACCACCTCGTCGGAATGTTTAAGTCTCGTCCTTAAACCCACTTTAAGACCCGTGTGAGTTGTGTCCTCTATTTTATTCATTCTATTGTTTTATGTTTTCATTTATTTTATTGTTTTATGTTTTCAACGTAAATATTTAATTGTTTTTATTTTATTATTTTGCATGTTCTCCCTGCAGACGCACTGTGAAACACAAGCGCTAAGCGCTGCGCCACTGTGCCTACTCATGAAAAACTATAAAAAATGTGCGTCAAAGTCAGTAAAAAAAAGCATTGATTATTTTTTCTGGTGCATCTGTTTGTGGTTTGATCTTTCAGAGATGGACAAATCTGTTTTCTATTGTCACAGAGACTCAAATGGTAAAATTACTGACTCTCTCACATTTTATCCATAGGAACAGGTCTGGCCTCAGCTTGCTCCTCTCTGAGACCAGAGGAGGAGCAGCGGCTTTACTCTGAGCTCCTCCCGTCCCGTACCTTGAGCAGAGCAATGAGCAGCGCTGCGGACACCAGGAAGGGAACCAGGGAGGAGATGAACCAGCTGAGCCACAGAGTCCCGGAGCTCAGGCCCATGATGCGCATGGTCTCCTTCAGCCGCGCTTCCTTCTCGTACACCACGCCTTTGATGATCATGGCCACGGAGTAGATCCAGGCCAGCGTCATGAAGAGGGGCAGAGAGCGGTTCAGCACGCGCAGAAACCTGGTGAAACACACAGAGCACAATCAAATTCAAAGACCAGTAGATTCACTTCACATATATGCTGCTAACATAGATGTATACAATCAGAATCAGAATCCTTTTTATTGCCATGTAAGTAACAAGAAGTCACAGACTAGGAAATTGCTTTGGCTCTCCGTGCAATCAAGTCAACAGTAGAGAAAGAATAAAGCATAATAATACATTTCTAAACATCTCTAAAGTATAGCTTATTCTAAGATAGGAGTTAAAAGTAAAGTTTTTTATGATTATTACTATATACACAAGTGCACTTGGTTCACACATTATACAATGTACATTAATCAGTGCAGTAATCTGGCTTTATAAAGGGCGGAGGACAAGGTTATAAAGTGTTCAAGGGAGGGAAATAAACTGTTCTTATGGCGGGAGGATCTGGTCCTGATGGACCGTAGCCTCCTGCCCGAGGGGAGAGGTTGGAACAGTCTATGTGCAGAGTGAGAGGGGTCGGCTGTGATACGACTAGTTGAGCTTCTTGAGCTAGCGGGTTAGCATCAGCCATCACTCACACGTCATCCACGTAGCAGGGGTAGGGCATCTGCTGCACGTAGAGGCCGATGGTCTGAGAGGCTCCAGTCAGGACTGTGGTGACTGCACGCTCCACCAGGTCCTGCACGTACACGAAGCCGCCCCAGACGTACCGCATGTCACTGAAGGGGTCTGCGGCCGGTCCGGGATCCCAGAACCTGAACCACACACACAAACAGACAGACACATAAAAAGACGCACACAGACATTAAGTGGAGTACACAGAATTAACAAAGACAAGTAGATGTATCATTCAGGATTACGTGTTAAATTCTTGAATTGTGAAAGGGGATGGCGAGCTACAGGTAGCTCCCGAGCCATAGGTTGGCGACCCAAGTTCTAGGACTGTTCATAATGGAACTCAGAACAGTCCAATAATAGATAAAAAGTTATACACTCCATATTGTTGGCCCCTGGAAAAGTCTGGTAACTAAGACCCTCTTACTAAAAAGATTTTATTTTTGTACTTTGGTTTTATTTTGAAATAAGTTCTCTATAGTCTCTCTCTTTCTGTCTTCCCGTGTTCCCGTTGATTGTCTACCCCGCCCTGATGTGTTTCACCTCTGTGACCAAAGATAATTGTTCCATTGAGTGCTTTACAAACAGTTCCTCCCCCTCCTCTTATGTAAACTTGTGAATGTATCCAAGAACATTGAATACTTATGAGACAACAGGCAGTGATGCATTTAAGAACACAGGAAAAGCCAGACTTGTATCTTCAAATCTTCAAAAATCAACTGATGTTTTTGATTTTCCTCAGTCCCTTCTGCTCCTCCCCTTCCCAGTACCTGTCCTTGATCTTGTTGGTGCGCGTCACGTCGTCGATGTCCATGCGGATCTTGTACTGGACGTGTGGAGGCAGCTCAGGGGACGAGCTGTTGGGCAGAAGGAACACCACCCCGGCCCAGAACTGCCTGTCCTCCAGCAGCTCCAGAGCCCTCTGCACCAGCTGGCCCTCGCTCTCCAGGCCCTCCAGCTTATCCATGGAGAAGCACTGATGTAAAAAAGCACAGGTTAAAGCTGTAGACCAGGCATGTCAAACTCATCTTTAGGGCTGTATCTTGCAGCAATGATTTTAAAGAACTACTATGAACTGTTATACTGTTATACTTACTATTGTCTCAGGAAAACCATATAATTATATCTGCTCTAAAATGTTCACTAAAATGGTAATAGGAGTTAGTTACTTTTTTTCTTTCTTTTCAGATAGTGAGTTACAGTTAAAAATGACAGTTTTAAAATTCTTCAGACTTGCATTGTAATCCATAATCTTATTTTTTTTTCACATCTAAATAAAAAAGGTAACTATTTACAGGAAGAGAGAGATAGAATAAAATCAGAATAAAATAAAAATACACATTTGGTAGGTATTGTAAAATAATATACAATTCAAAGCATATTCCACATCACAGAGTAAAAGGGACATCTATCAATTATTTTGAACCTCCACAAAATCTGGTTGTAATGGCTTTATGTATCTGACCCATTCAGACCATAATCGAATAAAAGTTTGTTTACTTAGACAAATAGAAAAAGTTATTGCTTCCATTTGGTAAACCTCACCTACAATACTCCTCCACTCTGCCACAGTGGGGGGCTCGGGGAGCAGCCATGGCCTTGTAATAGCGTTTTTAGCAACAGAGGTCATGATAGAAAATAGATATTTGTTTTTACATCTAGTCTGGTTGTCCAAATAGTTCAGGAATAGGGTGGTAAACTGCAATGGTATATTGATTTTCAGAATATATATTATTATGTTAATGTATTCTATACAGTCACCTTACTTCAATAGCCATGACATTTATGTTTAATACACGCAGACATCAGGCACTCAGCTGGTCTCAGTCAGTCTTCCATGTCAGTGCGCCTTCTGTACTCCTGGAGTTTTTCCTTGACTCGGTCCTGTCGCTGCTCTCCGCTCTGGGTGTCCGCCTCGACCTGCGGGCCGCCAGGTTGATAGCAGCCGAATCTCTTTGCGGTCCAGGGTGGTCACGGACTTCACAACATTGACGGTAGCCCCCGAGCTGCCATGTCCCTGGTTGCTTCTGCTGCGTCACTACAGAAGACGCGCATCTTCGCTGGAGAGGGAGTCTGGAACTTAATGCGCTTTTCATTCAGCACTCTTTTAGCTTCACCATATTCATTACGTTTTTTAAGCACCTCAATTGGAAAGTCGTGGTCGTCAAAGAAACGCACATTGTCACAGAACACCTCCTTCTTCTGCCATGCTCGCCTGATAAAGCGTCCACACTTCACCACCATAGACCGTGGCTTAACCCTTTAAGCGCCAAAGTCGCAATATTGCGACAAGCAACATTGCTCACTTAAACAGGCTGTATGTAAAAAGGTGGTGCAGAATCTTGTTAATACTTTTCACCAGGGGTTAGTGGACATGTGTGCCTGTAATATGAGCAACATTTGTGGGTGTGGTTATATTGAAAGTTTTTGAGTAAATTGAGTTCGTAAAACACCTGCGGCGCAGCGGCGCGGAGGCGAAGCAGCAGCGGTAGAGCTGAGAGGAGCGAGAGCAGAGCAGAGGGAAAGAGTGTTTTTATTTACTCACGAGGTCTTCAGTACCAGAAAAGTACTTGGTCTGGTACTGGCTCACTCAGATTCAGAGGAGGAAGACACGCAGGTGTCCAGTGAAGCAGACACAGACATTATTAGTGACGGGGAGACCGCGCTCCATAGTCCACAGTCAGCCCCTGTACAGCGGCTGCTTGTCCTCCGTGTGGCCGCGGTAGAAGCATTCTGTGAACGCCAAGCAGGGACCGTGGTCGAGGGGACAGGGGGATCATAACACCGGGCATGTGGGAGAAAGTAGCGGGGGTAGACATCTATAGGGAACAAGGGAAACGCGGGAGAAGTCGCGGGAAAGCCGCGGGAAAGCCGCGGGAAAAAAAAAACACATCGCTAATCGCGTTCACTGCCTTTACCAACAGCGATGATGAGGATGAAGCAAGGCAGTTCTTGAGAGAAAATAATCCACAAAAGTGGATCAGAAGTGTTGAAGAGCCTGTTGTATGTTGTTGAGACGATCTGACATGTTCTGAGCCCATTCATTTCATCTCTCTGTTTGTAAACGGTAAATCCTTGAGCATCATTTCCACTGAGAAAAATAGTAAGCTCACCACTTCTTTGAAAGGGAAATATTGAAACCAATCTCAAGATTTCATGACTGTAAACTATAAAGAGTGCTGTCTTGATCACTGAAGGTCTTTGAAAATAATACAATTCCATATGGCCGCGAACCAGTGCTAAAACATTATCTATAATCTGGATCAGGGAATTTATTTCTATCCCAAATTCATTTTATACTAAAGATATTTCACATTGACTGTTTATAGTATTCCCTGATCTCAAATAACTCCCAAGCTACAGCTTTTTGAAGTCTATACAATAATTAACATTTTCCAAAATGGCCGCCACCTTGATGACATCACAATATGCAAATTAGATGACGAATCAACTTCCATCCCAAAGTTTGGTTCAAACTGAAGATATTTCTAATTTACAGTATGCCTTTATCTCAAACCATTTTAAAGTTATAGCCTTTTGAAATCTTGAAATCAAAATTGTATATTTTCTTGAAAAAACTCTGGCGCCTAAAGGGTTAACCTGCGAGCTGCTGTTTGAGCAGTCAAGGCTCTTTCGATTCCGAGTAACTGACCTTCGGGAAAGTCAAACACCTTTTTCAATAAATACTCTAAGAATAAGATTTTATTCTTTCCCTCCTTGTCCTCTGAGATCCCATAAATACGAGATTCTCTTCGTGCGCGACCTCCTCGGTCCATTAGCCTCAGGTTAGCATGGCGGCTGCTAGCTTCTTTATTAGCATTGACGCAGTTTGTAGCACGGATTCGACCTCCTCTATCCTTTCTTCTGCTTCGTCCACCCTTTCATGAACTCTTGTAATTTCGTTTTTAATGTCCGCATATTGTTCATTACTGTCTCTCCTGAAATCACGGAGCTGGTTCAGGATGTGTGTAAGAGACGGCTCAGGTGCACCCTCCTGCTCGTGGACTAGACCCAGACCCAGACCCGGAGAGCAGCTTTCATGGTCTTTGTCGATGTTGTCTTCGTTTATACTCGTCATTGTTTTGCTTCTTGTCTTCACTCCTTTTTCCATCTTTCAAATATCACCCGTGAATGTAAAAAAAACACCTTTTGGGAGTTTTCGAAATGAAACCGTCGGGAGCTCCAAAATCAAGCTGCCATACCTCTCGCTGGCAGAACCGGAAGTCCGTTATTAAGGGCTTATTAACCGAGCAAGCGAGGTTAATACATGTTTTATTATATGCCTCTCGTCTGTGTCTCTACCAATGCTTTTGAGATATTTGTGAAGTGTGTTCATGTCCGACTTGGTTTTCCTTATCGTGTTTTTAGTGTGATACGCGGCTGCGGACCGATTGTCATGGTAATGCCCCGAGGAAAGATATCAAATGTGATACGCGCTGCGGACCAATTGTCATGGTAACGGTCCGAGATGGGAAAATATCAGACCGCAAATCAGCCAATCAGAGCGCGCGTACGGTCCAAGTCATATAAAAATAACGGCTTATTAACCGCGCGCGAGGTCTGTATGGGTCTGTGCAAAAAGGCCAAGGTCTGATATTTCTCTGTACAGACCGAGCAAGCAAGGTTAATAAATGTTTTATTATATGACTCTCGTCCGTGTCTTTACCAATGCTTTTGAGATATTTGTGAAGTATGTTCATGTCCGACTTGGTTTTGTGTGATACGCGCTACGGACAGATTGTCATGGTAACGGTCCGAGGAAAGATATCCGAGATGGGAAAATATCAAACCGGTAATCAGCCAATCAGAGCGCGCGTACGGTCCAAGTCATATAATAAAGTTGCTTATTATATATATTTTTTAGCAATCGGTCTTCCACTACAAAACATATTGATATTTGGCCCATTTATTGTTGAATCCAAAATGTCAAATTTTTTCAAAAACCTTTAATCCACTTTTATACTTCTGGCTCTAACCATAGACTGTAAATATTAACAACCAGCTCTAACCAGCTTCTATCTTTTCAATTTTGGCCCCCGACCATAATGAGTCCGACTGTAGGCCACTGGGAGTGGACTGAGTGTGACTATAGTGTGAGCCTTGATGCGCAAGAGGCTGATTTGAACATAAGCTAAACATTGGAGCAAAACTTTGTCCCATTGGGCTTCATTGAGCAAGGACAACTTATTTTGGTTGGAGGCCGGATTAAAAAAATAACTGCTCCCCAGTGGCCAAGAGTAAATCTGTGGATATTTTTAACATTATGAAGGTATTTTGACATGAGTTACATTAATTTAACCTAGGTTTTTAGATTATTTCCGAGTGAATTTTCTGTACTAATCTAGTTCCGTTACTTTGTGTCGAACTGAACCAAAACTTGGTCAAAATTAAAAGAATTGGCCAATGATTTATAGTTTTAAATTTATTTTACATTTACCTATTAGGTTCAAATATCAGAAAAAAATGCACTCTATGGCTGTTTTCTTCATTTTAAAAATTAGGTACAATACACGGTAGCCATATTAACACTACCATAAATGCTGCAAGTCATTGGTTATAATCAAACATGATTTCAGACAACAGGATAAACATATAAATACAACATAAATAATAAATTAAGATGAAAAGTATTTAGTTTGATTGTGACGGAAAATAGGAAACCTGTTCCAAATAGCCGAGTCTGGAGCTGGGATTGAACCCAGGACCCGATCTCTAACATGCCCCACCTCGGTGACCTGTGCCAGGGTGCTGATGGTGCGGTTGAGGTCGTGGTAGATGTCCCTCCAGGTGAGCTCTGCCCCGGGGCTCTGAGGGGGGGTCTGTGGGGGGGACAGGAAGCGGGCAATCCTGGAGGCCGTCCACGATGTGTTCTCCAGCCGCAGGTTCACCAGCACGGCCACTTCAGGACGTCTTAGCAAGTCCTGACCGCAACAACACCAACACATTATAGAATAGGGTAAGGATAGGATAGTAAAGAGATAGGACAGGGAGAGTAGATTAAATCAAATGTATTTTTGTATAGCCCTACATCACAACAGTAGGAATCTCATTGGTCCATAAGGAGAAGATGACCAATATCCAGAAATGTTGTGAGAGAGACTGGGCGATTCCGGAGCTCACCTGCAGCAGCCGCACCTCCACGCTGGTCTCCATGTAGTCCCAGACCTCAGGGCCCAGCTCCAGCCAGGCCTCGTTCAGATCCTGGAGGATCTGCAGCTGCTCAAACGTCTTGTTCATCTGCAAACCATAAACTGTATGGGTTTTCTGAGGTAAATTACGGTTTTTCAAGGGCACCCCAGATTTAAGGGTCCGAAAATGTAAATATGTATTGGTCTTTCTCTATTCTCTCTGGTCTCTCTAGACCAGGGGTGCTCACACTTTTTCAGCATGGGAGCTACTTATAAAAGGATCAAGTCAAAATGATCTACCTACTACAAAAATGCAAATCATATATTTCAAAAAATATTCTTTATATCTACAATGTATGTTTATGTACATGCAAAACCGCATGAGCCAATATAGCACAACACAACACAATTATCTATGTACATTTTTTGTCATTTCCCGAGTTTACTGTGATGACTTTCACTGAATTGAATCGGCCAGGGATGCATAGTCCGGAAAATTGGTGGTAACTTGCTGACAAGTTTGTCGTGGTTTAGCTTTCCTGCACTGAGCGCGGTTGTTTGCGCATGTGCAGTCACCTAAGTGTCAGTAAAACATTACTGAGTAAAACACAGATGTCATTTGACTGTGGTGCCATGTCCATGTGCCATGCCTGTTTTTTTTAAATCCAAATATTTCCCCTCCTCCGTTTATAAAATAATTTGCATCCACACATCTGCGTTATCAGTCACATTCGTAACATTCCAAACATGTGCGTCTCTTACGTCCTGTCCTGCGTTGGGGAAAAACACAGAAGTGGGCGGAGTTCTGATGCAGATGCCGGTAACGGCACTTTTACAGTCATAGAAGACACTCAGAGTAAAGACGTATGTTTACAAGCACTGACCCCGTCCTCAGCCCTGGTTTAGTCCTGGTTTAGTCCTGGTTTAGTCCTGGTTTAGTCCTGGTTTGGTTGTTTTCGAGCGTGAGTCCCCGCGATCACTTTGCTGCCCTCTGATGTGGAGCGAGGATGTTCGCTGCTGCGAGCATCTCACAGCGAACAGTTTTTAAGGTAGTATGATCCATGCTTCAGTGATCAGAGGAATTTAGGGGGGTACTGTGGCGTGCGAGAACGCAAAACTCTGGTTATCTCTGTCTACACACAAATGCATTAACGGAGTTTTCAAAAATCTCCACTTTGCCCGGAGTTTTTTGTATATATTCGTTTAGAATGTGTAATTTTTTATTTATTTAATGCGATCTACCAATACTACCTTTGCGATCGACTGGTAGATCGCGATCGACGTATTGAGCACCCCTGCTCTAGACTCTCACTGGTCTTTCTCTCTCTGGTCTATCTCTGATCTCTTTGGTCTTTCTCTCTGGTCGTTCTTTGGTCTCTCTCTGGTCTTTCTTTGGTCTCTCTCTGGTCTTTCTTTGGTCTCTCTCTGGTCTTTCTTTGGTCTCTTTCTTTGGTCTCTCTCTCTCTGGTCTTTCTTTGGTCTCTCTCTCTCTGGTCTTTCTTTGGTCTCTCTCTGGTTTTTCTTTGATCTCTCTTTGGTCTGGAACCAAGAACTAGTGACATGGATTCTATTGTTGTGGTTTGAAAGTTATGTACCCCAGCTTTAGCCTACCTCCTTGATGACCGGTAGGACTGCAGAGCTGTTGGGAGCGTACAGCAGTTTCCCGATGAGCAGAGGTTTGAGTCCCCTCCATACAATCCGGGTCAGAGGGTTGGACTCCAGGCCCTGGATCATGGACTTACAGAAGGAGGCTGAGGACACAGAAGAAAGGTGGACTTATTTGTACGGCACAGTCCACTCTGGGTTTGGAAACACAATTTGAAGACACAAATTATGTTGTAGATGTGCGTTGACACGGTCAATGGGCGACAATCTGTGGATGATACTCTCATAGCAACCGATCAGCAACCAAACAGCCAATCAAGAGTGAGGCCTGTCTCTGTGAATCTTGTTCTGGAGCTATATTCTCTCATAGAAACCTTGTAGCAATGAAACAGAAAAATCAGAAGAGTGCTGTCTCTGTGATATTACTTTGGAGAAACTTCTTTCACAGCAACCACAGCAAACCGCCAACAATGTCTATTTCAGTCACAGCAACTACATAGCAACCAAGGAACCAATCAGGAGCAGGCTTGTCCCTACATACTGTATATCACTCTGGAGAAAACTTCTTTCACAGCAACTTAATAGCAACCAAACAACCAATCAGGAGCAACCCATCCTTGCTCAAACAGCTTTGCAATATTTCCATGTCTGTTTTACAATCCACACCTTGGCTTTTAAGTACTTTACATTGTATACTGTGTTAGCTGCTAGCAATGTAAAATTCTTGAAAAAAACAGCGTGAGACTCACTCATGTTGGCATCCTGCTCCGCGTCGCTCTGATCGGTACCGTTCTTGCCCAGGAAAGACTTGATGTCGTTGTCTTCGTACCAGTTGAGGGAGGGGATGCGCTCGCCCGACTCCGGATGACCACACATGATCCTGGAGAAGGCCCTGAAGCTGTCCAGGGGCCGAGCCGTGCGGTTCTCTGGAGACAGAAGGCGAAGGGCCGCGCTCATGTCCGAGAAGCTGGAGAGGGAGGAGAACTGGAAGACAAGAGGAGGAAGACAGGACTGATGTCACCGCAGCTGTTTATGCACACATACAGAGCCGGAGAGAGAGACCAGAGAGAGACTAGAGACCAAAGAGAGACCAGAGAGACCCAAAAGAGACCAGAGAGACAAGAGAGACCGGAGATTGACCAAAGAGACAGGCGAAAGAGAGAGCTACCAGATAGAATAGAGATAAACCAGAGAGACCCAAGAGAGATCAGAGAGAGACTAGAGAAAGACCAGAGAGAAACCAGAGAGAGACCAGAGAGAGACCAGAAAGAGCAGAATGACCAGAGAGAAAAGAGACCAAAGAGAGACCAGCGAGAGAAGAGAAACCAGAAAGAGACCAGAGAGAGACCAAAGAACAGAGACAGACACAGTGGGTACTGAGAGAGACCAGAGGAAAAACTAGAGAGACCTGAGAGAGACCAGAGAGACCCCAGAGAGACTAAAGAGAGAAGCTGAGCGAAACCACAGACCAGCAAGAAACCAGAGAGACCAGAGACACGTTTGCATTGAATATTTAGGAGGAAGAACATGACTTGAGAGTGTTGAAAAAGGTGTTGCTCGTACTTGGTTGAAGAGCAGAGCCATCTCCTGAGACACGCGACCCACAGCTTTGCTCAGCAGCCTCAGTTCGGCCGCGTTGGAGAGAAGCCGCTCCCTCTGAAACACAACAACAGCCCCTAGTTCACAAAAGAAAACACTAAGAGAAGCTGAGACCACAGAGAGACTAGAGAGAGACCAGAGAGAGACCTGGGAGAGACCAGAGAGAACCCAGAGAGAGTCAATAAACAGACCGGAGAGAGAGCAGAGAGAGACCTGAGAAAGACCGGAGACAGACCAGAGAAAGACCAGAGAGAGACCAGAGAGAGACCGGAGAGAGACTGGAGAGAGACCAGAAAGAGACCAGAGAGAGACTGGAGAGAGACCAGAGAGAGTCCAGAGAGAGACCGGAGAGAGACCAGAGAAAAACCAGAGTCCAGAGAGAGACCATCATGTGGAGAAAAATATGTATTACATACTAAGAGTTTATAACAAATGGTGATAAAGAGATAACCAGTCTTGGTGGGACTGTAGTTAAATGTGAGAAGTTCTTACGGTGAAAAGTTTGCTGAAGTCGAGCTGCGTCAGGAACAGTCGCTCCGCCTGTCGCAGGACGTCCGCCGGCTGCGCGCACAGCTCTCTCTGCAGGGCGGCCATCTTGTCTTCTCCTCCGTCCACAGCCAGGAACTGTCCCAACATGGTCCGGTTACAGACCAGGTCCTTCAGCTGCACCTGAGTCGCAGACGCCACCACCTGGACACAACACGGACTGTCAGCGGTGAGACTCAAAAACTTGTGGTTCAATTATCTGTATTAAAGCTGGGGTACGTAACTTTCAAACCACAACAATCTAACTTGAATCTTCTTTTTTTTATTTACGATTACTACTTTTTACATGCATGTAACATTGGTCTGAGCTAGTCTGAACCAGGTCTTATCCAGGACTACATCAGGTCTGAGTCAGGTCTGAACCAAGTCTAAACTAGGTCTTATCCGGGTCTGTCCCAGGACTGAACACATTTTGAACCAGGCCCAACCAGGACGAATCCAGGTCTGAACTCGAGACTGAACATGGTCTGAACCAAGACTAAACTAATTCTGAACCAGGAATACACCAGGACTCGACCAGGTCTGAACCAGATCTGAACCTTGACTGAACAAGGTCTGAATCAAAACTTGACAAGGTCTGAATCAGGACTTGACAAGGTCTGACCCAAACCATCATCTTTATTTCATCAATCATAACATGCAGTTAATATGTTATGGTCCTATTTGTTCACAACATTTTACATCTTCAAGACCTGCGTTATCAATGGGGCAAAAAAGTGATGTACCCCAGCTTCAAGCTAAATTTTGTCTCCATGGTAACGATATAAATGCAGTATGGTGTGTGTTGTACCTGAGCGTTGAGCCTGGCTTTCAGCAGCTGCTCCACAGACTCCGGAGGCAGAGAGCTGTTGGTGCGAAGGAACGAGGAGAAACTCTCATTCGGTCTCAGGTAATCGGCGACAGGCAGATCTGAAACACACAGATATCACGTAACTCCGCCCCTTCTTTCTATTCAGTCCGATTCCATTTATACTTGTACAGCCATAAATCACAACAGTAGTCGCCAACTTACTTACTTACTTACTTACTTACTTACAAGAAATGCAATGATAGAAAACACTTAGAACCATAAGGGGCAGCAGACAAATGTCCATAAATGTTTATAAATGTCCATCAGCACTCTCTATGGTCTTTCTCTGGATCCTCCTGCATCGGCGAAGAACAACCCAGTGGGGGAAAATTAGAAACCTTGGAGAGGCCCACATTGAGGGAGGGATCCGCAGAAAAACGGGCTAAAGATCCAGCATCCAAAGCCCCTGACCAACAAACCCATTCTCGGATACATTTATTTTTCTCTATTTTCATGTTTGCATGTGTTTAATCTATATGATATGTATCGGGTGGGAAAATTTCAGAAGTGTCAGAAGTCACTAGGAATATTTTAGGAAAGAACCGTCCTCCTCAGAGTGAACGCCAGAGTGAACACACATATCACCAGAATGATTGACAATTAGGAGGACCGATTGTTTAGATCAGGGGTCTCCAACCTTTTTCAATCAGAGAGAACAGAAGAGGCAGAGAACTACTCTATAACACTTGTAAAATATACCATAATACTGTATAATCAAATATTTATACTAATAATAGACATGTATTGACTCAAAAGTTAATCCTTTAAGATCATGTGTTAAATTCTTGATCTCGCGAGCCACAGGTTGGAGACCCCAGGTGATGACGATGATGTGTTTGTGCTGTGTTAAAGTCACTTCTCTGCAGCGTGTGGTTAATTTCACAAACACCTCATTTTCTCAGCTTTTTGTCTGAAACAATTGATTTCAGTAAAACCTTCCTCTACTACAGGAGGACAAAAAAATCTAGAAACAACTGTATTTTTGCTGACGAAAGTGGACAGTTCAGTTTTAAATGATTTCAAGATTTCAAGATTTTTATTTGTCAAACCAAGTGAATGGTTTGAAATTATATTTCTCTCATCCTTGATTGTGGAGCGGGGGGAGTTCAGCTTCCTGATGGCCTTGTGAATGAAACTGTTTTTAAGTCGATTGGAACTGTTCCATAAATTCTGCAGTCTCCTCCCTGAAGGCATTACCCTGAAGAGCCTGTGTGATGGGTGCGTAGGGTCCCTGGTGATTCTGACGGCTTTGCGGGTGAGACGGGTGGAGTACATGTCCTCCAAAAGAATGGACTGTCACAGATTTCACATATACCCATAATCTGTGGGTCTTGAAAAATCATCAAAATCAGCAGGCAATATGGAAGTGGCTGTTCTGAATGTGGCTGAGAGGCAGTGAGTTAAAACCGCGGTCTTTGTGGAGGATTTGCCTTCGGCCTCGGCCTCGGGTCTCAGGTCTCTGTAACATGAGCTCCTCTGTGTACAGCCTTTCACTCACTATCACTGCTGCTGGAAACACAAACATTGTTATTGTCTCCTTATGGTCTCGGTGCACTCTCCTCCCTGATCAGACGGAGCCATGGTTCCTACGGCTTTAATGCATCAAATCAATGAAAAACACACTGCTTCTTTCTTGTCTTGTTGTCGACAGAAGCATGAAAACAACTGAATCCAAGCGTTTCTATATGTTTTACAGGTTTGCAGTGGAATTCTCTCTGGTGGAAGCCCTGGTCTGTCTCTCTGGTCCCTCTGGTCTCTCTCTCTGGTCCCTCTGGTCTCTCTGTGGTCTCTCTGTGGTCTCTCTCAGGTCTCTCTCAGGTCTCTCTCGCCGTTATCTCTCTTTCCCGTCTTTCTATGGTCTCTCTGTTTTTTCTCGATGGTCTCTCTCTCTTTAGTCCCTCTCTCTGATCTCTCTCCCTCTGGTCTTTCTCTGGTCTCTCTGTAGTCTCTCTTAGGTCTCTCTCTCTCTGGTCTCTCTCTGATCTCTCTCCCTCTGGTCTCCCTTGTCTATCTCTGGTCTCTCTTTAGTCTCTCTGTCCGGTCTCTCTCTGGTGTTTCTCTCCGCTCGCTGTCTGGTCTCTCTCTGGTCCCTCCTGTCTCTCTCTCTGGTATCTTTCTGGTCTCTCTCTGTCTGGTCTCTCATTAGTCCCTCTCTGATCTCTTTCTCTGGTCTCCCTCTCTCTACTCTGTGACTGATGAACAATGTTGTTGATGTTGTGTGATCTGTAGTTACTTGGCCAGATGCCGGGGCTGTCTCCCATCCTCTGCAGAGTGAGGCTGAGCTCCTGGAACCCAGAGAAGGTCCTGTTTTCACTGATGGAGAGGAGGCTCTGGGAGTCCACCAGGAGACGGGACAAGCTGCTCACACACACAGACACACACACACACACAACGGCAAACACACATATACAGAAACACACAGACACACATAACCACCCAGAGACACAGAGAAACACACACACAAACACATATATACAGACACACACCATACAGAGACACACACACATATACACGCACACAAAGAGACACACACACACACACACACACACACACACACACACACACACAGACAATTGTTTAAGTTCTTTGCAAACACAAGGCAGAATCTCTCTCTCTGGTCTCACTGGTCTTTCTCTGGTCCCTATGGTCTCTTTCTGGTCTCTCTCTCTTGTCTTGCTGGTCTCTATCTTCTCACTGGTCTTGCTGGTCTCTATCTTCTCACTGGTCTTACTGGTCTCTATCTGCTCTCTCTCTGGTTTCGGTGGTCTCTCTCTCTGGTCTCACCGGTCTTTCTCTGGTTTCTATGGTCTCTTTCTGGTTCCTGTGGTATCTCTCTGATCTCTCTCTCTCTGGTCTCTCCCTGTTACTTGTGGTCTCTCTCTCTGGTCGCACTGGTCTCTCTCTGCTCCCTGTGGTCTCTCTGTCTGCTCCTTGTAGTCTCTCTCTCTGCTCCCTGTGGTCTCTCTCTCTCTGCTCCCTGTGGTCTCTCTTTCTGTTCCCTGTGGTCTCTCTCTCTCACTCACATAGAGTTGTTGAAGTTGCCCACTTGTCCGGGGGTCTCTCCCGCCGTAGGGCTGTGGAAACACGGGTTGTGGATGTTGCAGACGATGCCTTGGATCCAGGGCAGAGTTCCCGCCGAGGGCAACGCTTTGTTTGGAAAGTGACCTGAAAATATCACAGACACCAAAGGATTAGTCACAACTTCCAGTCACAAAACTGCAAGAAAAACAAATCTGGCTTTGGAACACGATCTATATAATATTTACTTTGGTATTTGGGATTATTTGGAATCAACTACACATGACTTGATCTAAGAGAAGGACTGATAAACTAAAATTAGAACCAATACTTTTGTTTTTGTTGTCCATGACGTAATAGTCCTAGTCTCCTTCTTTGGTTCCTCTGAGGTCTCTCTCTCTGGTCGCTCTCTCTCTGGTTCCTCTGGTCTCTCTCTGGCCTCTCTCTCTGGCCTCTCTCTCTGGTCTCTCTCTCTGGCCTCTCTCTCTGGTCTCTCTCTCTGGTCTCTCTCTCTGGTCTCTCTCTCTGGTCTCTCTCTCTGGTCTCTCTCTCTGGTCTCTCTCTCTGGTCTCTCTCTCTGGTCTCTCTCTGGTCTCTCTCTGGCCTCACTCTCTGGTCTCTCTCTGGTCTCTCTCTGGCCTCACTCTCTGGTCTCTCTCTCTGGTCTCTCTCTCTGGCCTCTCTCTCTGGTCTCTCTCTGGTCTCTTTCTGGTCTCTCTCTCTGGTCTCTCTCTGGTCTCTCTCTGGTCTCTCTCTGGTCTCTCTCTCTGATCTCTCTCTTAAACTAATCGGTATGATCAGTGCAGACTCACATTGGCTCTGTTTGTACGGAGGGTGAGAATGTCGCACTGAGATCAGGATCACGAAGAGGAAGAGAGGCCAGAGCAGCTCCACCACCAGCTGGATCTGAAACACACACAACACATACAACTATACAACCATGTGAGCAAGAAATGTGCTGTATTTTATTGTGTGTGCATGTGTGAGTATTTGAGTGAATGTGTGTGTGTCTTTGCGTATTTAAATGTGTGTGTGTGCGCGTGTCTGTGCGTGCATGTGTTTATGTGTGCAATGGCGTGCATGTGTGTGTGTGTTTGTGTGTAAGTGTACATGATGGTCTGTGTGTAATGCGTGTTTGTGTGTGTATATGTGTCTACGTGCATTTTAACGTGCGTGTGTGTTTGTGTGTGTCTATGTGTATTTTAATGTGCGTGCCTGTGTGTTGTGTGTGTGTGCATGTTTGTATCCATGCTTGGTTGCGTGTGTGTCTGTGTGTGTGTGTGTGTGTGTCTGTGTGAGAGTGTGTGTGTTGTGTGTTGTTCTGGTTGCACCTTGTTCCTGCGTCTGTATGTGATGTTCTTCCACAGGAGCAGACACAGCTGCTGGAAGGGGTCCATCTCTGTGGAGTGTTATCTGCCCATGTCTCACACTGCAGAGAAAAACTACCATCAAGACCAGAGAGAGACCAGAGAGAGACCAGAGAGAGACCAGAGAGAGACCAGGGAGAGACCAGGGAGAGACCAAAGAGAGACCAGAGGGAGACCAGAGGGAGACCAGAGGGAGACCAGAGAGAGACCAGAGGGAGACCAGAGAGAGACCAAAGAGAGACCAGAGGGAAACTAAAGAGAGACCAGAGGGAGACCAGAGAGAGACCAGAGAGACGGGAGAGAGACGGGAGAGAGACCAGGGAGAGACTAGAGGGAGACCAGAGAGAGACCAGAGAGAGACCAGAGAGAGAACAGAGAGAGACCAGAGAGAGAGACCAGAGAGAGACCAGAGAGAGGCCAGAGAGAGACCAGAGAGAGAGACCAGAGAGAGACCAGAGAGAGGCCAGAGAGAGAACAGAGAGAGACCAGAGAGAGACCAGAGAGAGACCAGGGAGAGAACAGAGAGAGAACAGAGAGAGACCAGAGAGAGACCAGAGAGAGACCAGAGAGAGACCAGAGAGAGACCAGAGAGAGAACAGAGAGAACAGAGAGAGAACAGAGAGAGACCAGAGAGAGAGACCAGGGAGAGACTAGAGAGAGACCAGAGAGAGACCACGGAGAGAGACCAGAGAGAGACAGGGGAGAGACCAGACAGAGACCCGAAGAAGAGAGACTTAAGATGGAGACCAGAGAGAGGGACCAAAGAGTGACCAGAGGGAGACCAGAGAGAGACCAGACAGAGACCCAAAGAGTCAAAAAGCGACTCAAGGGGCTCTCTGGCGAGACAAAGGCAGAAAATATAACAGATGGCCTGTTATATTTCTATTTTCTATTGGACAATCCACATATGTTACTGATGTGAAAGAAAGTTACACACCCCAGCTTTAACTGTACAAAGGCAGGAAAAGTCCAGTGCTGGTGCTTGTGCTCTGTGACCTGCTGCAGACACAATCCTTCTCTTGATCCTGAAATCCTCTTGATCCAAAGCTCTGAGCCTCAGTCCAGAACCACGCAACCCAGATCTGCCTACGGGACAGTCCCACAAACTGTTTTTCACCCAATATAACAATCAGAATCAGAATTATTTTTATTGTAAGTAACAGGAAGTAGCAAACTAGGAATTTGCTTTGGCTCAGGGTGCAGTCAAGTTGAAAGGATAAAGGCATGCAACCAAAAATCCATTAAATGTCTAGAAATTACTTTATATACAAGTAGACACTATTAGAGACCAGAGAGAGACACCAGAGACACCAGAGACACCAGAGAGAGACCAGAGAGAGACCAGAGAGAGACACCAGAGACACCAGCGACACCAGAGAGAGACCAGAGAGAGTCAGGAAGGGGCCAGAGAGAGATAGAGAGAGCACACAACACAAACAGAAACTGAGCTAGAGAGTGTTTACTTGTGTATAATGCTATAAAACACATATGCACAGTAGAAGGCTTCAATTCGGGTTCATATTGGAGTTTGATAAGCAGGAAGTAGCTTCTGTTATTACTCAGTTCATGTCTATCATATACACTCTATACAGGATATAGAAAACATGAAGTCTGTCTGCTCTACAGCTAAGCAGAGACTCCCACACATCACTTTCCACACACACTTCCTCCAGCTCATCCAGGGGAATCTTGAGGCGTTCCCAATGGGACGTTCCTGCACTGTCTACTCCCAGGGAGGCATTCCAGGAGCCATCCTAAACAGAAGCCCAGAGCCACCTCCACTGGCTTCTCCACACATGGAGAAGCAGCGGCTCTACTCTGAGCTCCTCTCTATCTCTAAGGGAGCTCCACTCTGCAGAGAAACTCACATGGACCACTTTTATCAGTCATTACCCAAAGCTCATGACAATATGATTCATGGTCCCGGTCAATCAATGAACAACATCCATACGTTTATATGTGCATATGTTTCTTTATAAAGTTATGCTGTTACTTAATTACTATTACTACATTTCCCCACTGTGGGATGAATAAAGGATATTTTCAGCGTCCTCTTAAATTAAAAACTAATATTTAAATGAGAAAAAATAATACGCCATTAAAAACATGAAAGACTTGCATTTCTATTATCAGTTTTATTATTATTATTATTATTATAATTATTATTATACCTGAGCTGTTGTAGCGTTGTATTAAATTGTCCTTGTTCAAAATGAATAGAAATGACCAATAAACATCATTGTAAATATAATGCCATCTTGTGCAGAGGAAGTAGACAGTACTAAGCTAGTTTGATTAACGCTACACAAGCTCCTGTCGCTGCTCCGAGGTTATTACTGAAGTGGTTCATTCAAACGGCACCAAAAGCAGAGTGAAACAGCGCGCATGAGCAGTCATAAAGACGGTTTAAAGCAGAGAAAAAGCCGTGGAGTGTCAGTGGATGGTTTATGGTTTTATTACCTGGTTTAGGGGCAGGTACGTCGCTTATGTCCGCTTTGAGTCGGCTCCTCACGGCGGCAGTTAGCTAAGACTGGAGCAGCCCTCCTCGCTCCTGGATTGGTCAGGACACTTCCGGGAGGTGGGCTTGTCAGCCGGCACGCAGTCTGATTGGTGGTCGCGTTTGTTTTGGTTCTTCGCCGCATTTTTAGCTCAAAACACACAGATATTACGGCGAAGAATGGGTCAAAACTTCCCCAATGTAACAGAGAATATGTATTAGGAAATACATTACAAGAATACACTTTGATTTAGTGAGAATATCGTTGAACTATAGCTGAGGAACATAACTTAAATTTGTATTATTGTATGTATTTGTTTATTTTCTTGTTTTTTATTAATTTAATGAATTAATGAAAATAATGCATCTGTTTTAAACAGTGCAAAGATGCTTCATATATCATCATTCATTCACTGATAGATAGGCTACATCAAGAATCTATCACCCTAAGCCACAGCTGCTCTGGGGCACAGCGAGGAAACCAGTGTGTACCGCCAACCTCCACCAACCATTCACACATACAGCAGACTCATTCTAATGTGAGTGAAGTGTCTTGCCTGAGGACACTACAGAAGCTTGGAACTTTACAGCTGCAGCATCCCCTCTGTGGACCCTGATGTGTGCCAGAGGTCTCCCATCTCAGTACTAACCAGGTCATGCCCAGTCTAGCGTCAGAGGTGTGATGATATCTGGCTTTCACCTGCAGGTACATCCATTGGTTTATGTTTTCAGTAATTTCTTTCTTTGTTAATCTATCTTAATTTGTTTATTATTTATGTATTATTAAATCATGTATTTATTCATATTTTGCTCTGTTACAGCCCTTGCATGATGTCATCAATCCCATCCAGGAAATGAAATCATAAATGTCAAGATAAGGTCAAAATACCTAATGCAATGATGCCAACCGTGTTAAAAGTCAAGTGAAACCAGTCACACACACCAGCAATTAAAATCAAAATAAATGTCACACACATTTCCTGAACGGTTGTTTTAATACAGATTAAAAAACAGCAGATTCTTAAAAATATATACTTTTTTCTCTTACAAATGAAGGTAGTTATGGTGCATGTTAAGTTCAGGTGAGTAGGCACAGCATTTCTGAAGAATACTCTATTGTGCTTTCGAGTTTCCTCCATTGACACCGAGGCACCGGCAAAACCTAAAAAACTCTAAAAAACATGGTAAAAATGATATAGTCATTGTTTGCGTTACACCAAAGTTAGTGTTGTGCTCAAAAGCGTACAAAACAACACAAATTATTTCATATGATTTGTATAAATAGTAAAACGGGACTAAAATATTACATTATCATTTGTGCCTTGCAGGGCCTTAAAAAGAGTTGCATATTTTCTTTGTTTTGGTAAAGCCACAGGAGTTCACAGCGGCTAATGTTTAACTGTAGTGGGGAAGATGGAGCAGCGTCTGCAGTCAAAGCTCTGGATTTACAGCAACGTTCCAGCCTCACCTATGATCATGGACCCTGTCTCTCAGCTGGAGGTCTGCGTCTCTCAGTCGGAGGATCAGGGCTAAACAATATGGACACGATTTCCTATCTTGATACTGATACGATACAGCTCCCGCCCTCCCGTTTCCCATTGGCCACCTCCATCTCCACAGCATGAAATAAGGTCTGTGGTTGGCTGGCCGTAGCGGTGCATTCAAAGGCAACAGTAAAAACAATGTTGTGACTGCCAGAGCTGTATGTGCAGTCGGGCAAAGGGGAAATCCATTTTGATATTAATAAAGTTCAATTAATATATCTTTCAGCTTCAACAGTGTTCAACTCTGGTGAGACGCTCCAAAGGGAGACCCAGCTGGGGACCAAGAAGCACCAAAGGAAATCCCACATTGAGACCAAGGATGGACCCCGAGAATGCCCAGTTTGAGACCAGGGATGGACCCAGGGAAAGCCCAGTTTGTGACCAAGGATGGACCCAGGGAAAGCCCAGTTTGTGACCAAGGATGGACCCAGGGAAAGCCCAGTTTGAGACCAAGAATGGACCCAGGGAAAGCCCAGTTTGAGACCAAGGATGGACCCAGGGAAAGCCCAGTTTGAGACCAAGGATGGACCCAGGGAAAGCCCAGTTTGAGACCAAGGATGGACCCAGGGAAAGCCCAGTTTGAGACCAAGGATGGACCCAGGGAAAGCCCAGTTTGAGACCAAGGATGGACCCAGGGAAAGCCCAGTTTGAGACCAGGGATGGACCCAGGGAAAGCCCAGTTTGAGACCAAGGATGGACCCAGGGAAAGCCCAGTTTGAGACTAAGGATGGACCCAGGGAAAGCCCAGTTTGAGACCAGGGATGGACCCAGGGAAAGCCCAGTTTGAGACCAGGGATGGACCCAGGGAAAGCCCAGGTTGAGGCCTAGTCTAAGCCCCTCGTGTCCTCGATGGTGCACAGTTGTTTTCTACAGCCCACAGTCCAGTGATGTTCTTTTGGTCGTCTCTTAATCACGACTTCACAGCTGGTCTTGTCACAGATACACGGGCTGCTCCTGTCCCGTGAGCAGGCGGTAGGTGGAGGCGGGCATCGTCTTCAAGTGGATCTGAGGCAGAACAGAGGAATGATGTCACTGGTAATGACATTTATCATTGCATGGATAGCACTCTTTAATGATGTGTTGTTAGAATACATTACATTTGGTTGTTTTACCTGAAAACATTATTATGTAGAATAGGGGCCACTAAAAATTGTCTTGGGGGCCGGATTTGGCTCACAAGGTTGAGTTTGACATGCCTGCCATAAAGCAATCCAAGGCATGCGTAACACTAATTAAAATAATATAGTATTAGGGATAGTTATTGAAATAACTGGTAAATATGACTAACAGAAAACCTAGGTTTGGTATGTCCCTGGCCTCACCTCTCCCACAGCTGTACTCAGGGTCTGGATGATCTTGTCGTGGGTCGTGGCCACCACACTCTGCCCGTTGATCTCGATGATGCGGTGACCGACCCGGATCCCCCCCCTCTCTGCGATGCCCCCCCGCATCAGACTGCAGATCTGAGGACAGAGAGAGAGAGGGAGGTCGACTTAAAGAAGATTCAGGAAGAACGTTCTAGGTCAGAGACAAAGTGGCCGCGCTGCACCTGTTGATCTGGTTCTTCAAGTGGACAAAGTCTGCTTCACTAAAATGCTCTATTTGTGGATACGCAGCTGTATCCAGACTAAAAGACGCTTCTAGTCCATGTTGACTATGGAGAAGTCTAGAGGACAGAGGATTGATGTATAGCAGCAAAGTCAGGTCACGAGACGAGAAAAAAAAAAAAATACATTGTCCATAATCACTGTCAAACCTAACGGCCGTCCTTCTAATATCTAAATACAAGTGCTGTGGGCTAATGGAGCAGATTTAGCGCCAAAGACCGTTATCAAAAAACATGGGAAACATGTCTGTGCTTGGGAGTAGTGTCACTGCATGGGCAAAAAATACGCAAGGCTCTTACTTTGGACTGAGCAGCGCGGCTAGGTACGTGGCTGCTACAAGTTTCTACAATACAATACAATACAATAGGCACGCAACTGAAATGTGACAACGGTACCCTACACACGCCGCTGCAATCTTTGCGTTTCAATAGCGGTGTGTAGGTGTAGTGTTATGTGGGCCCTCTCCAGTTAAAGTGAACCAGACACATTACTCCCTTAACCCTGGTGCTATCTGTGTGACAAAATTGACCGACCACAGTGACTAAATTTTTTTTTTGCTGATGATTTTTTCCAGATATGACCAGCCCTGTCAGACACTTTTATAACCTAATTTAGTTTTTTTCTTCAACTTTTAATAACTGTGGAGGGGCATTTTGACTTGATCTGATTATCACAAGGGATATACACACATTTAAAGATTTCAGTCATTTCAGGATTTAGAGTGAGAAATACTGTCTTATGTAGAACTTGTCTTGTTCAATAGTCTGCACTGGGCCTGATTCAAGTCGTCAGCTTTGTCCAGAAACGGCTGATTATGAAATACACATTCCTGCTTCACACGTTTAAGTGAAGAGTAGATACGGGAAAGTGCAAGGAAAGGACAGACTCAGGGAAATCCATGGGATGTGAATGGGTGTCATGTACCAGTTTAAGACAGGAGCATTAAGTCAGAAGGGGAAGGGGGACAGACCTTCCTGATCTTAGAGTGGATGGATGCAGTGCGTGTGTAGTGTGTGTGTAGTGTGTGTGTGTGTAGTGTGTGTGCAGTGTGTGTGTAGTGTGTTCGGTAAACACGTACAATGCCGTCCTCCACGCTGAAGCCCAGCTGGTACTTGGGCTCTGGTCTCCTGATGATGGCCATGGTCACAGGCGGACAGTGCACCAGACTCAGCTTCACGTACTTCTGGCTCTTCAGATCCTGGAAACAACACGAGTCATTTAACCAGAGCCACACTTTGACTCTTTGGGCAGCTGTGGCGGCGCACCTTGATGATGTTGTGGCAGGTGCTGATGGGCAGACCCACCAAACTGGTCCCGTTCACGCTCATGATGCGGTCTCCGATGCTCAGCTCTCCGCAGCGCTCGGCAGGACCTCCGTGGAGCATGTTGGCCACCACCACCGTGGGGAGGATGGAGCCCCAGCCCGACTCCACCACTGCCAACCCCAGCATCTCCCCAGGGGGCTTGGTGATAGCCACCTGCAGCAGGAGAAGGACAGATTTTATTGCAGGACCAATTATAGTGAGCAACTTTGTGTTTCTGTATGTTAATGTTTCATGTTGTCTCAATATCTGTATTTCTTTGTATGTTACCAAGGTTTTGTTGACGCTTCACAATGTTTTTTGTACTAATCACTGTCACCTTTGTATGCTTATTTGTCTATTTTTTTGTATTTCTATTATTGACATATGCCATTGTATGCAATTAACTTTGTGTATAGGCTGTGAGGACGAGATCGCGGATACAGGAGGTCCACATGAGTTTCTTCCGCAGAGTGGCTGGGTGCTCCCTTAGAGATAGGGTGAGGAGCTCGGAGTAGAGCTGCTGCTTCTCCACGTGGAGAGGAGCCAGTGGAGGTGGCTCAGGCATCTGTTTGCGATGCCTCCTGGACGCCTCTCTGGGGAGGTGTTCTGAACATGTTCCACCAGGAGGAGAACAGGGGAGAACCCAGGACACGTTGGGGGGAGTGTTTGTCTCTCCGCTGCCCCAGTGATCCGGCAAAGAATAAAGCGGAAGTAGATGGATGTTTGAGTAAAATGAGTGATTAGGGATTGGAAAAAGTTTGAGCTTGTATTTGTTTCACTGTGCAGTTTTTTAAATCAATCACTCAATCAATAATTTCAGGTTGGCGTCAGAGCTTGTAGAAGAGATCAGCACCTATGTTCTGAAAACCAGAGACAGTCTCTCAACGTTCAGCTACAGCCCTGTCTCTGGCCAGACCAGATCAGAGAGAAACCAGAGAGGCCAGAGAGAGAGACCAGAGAGAAACCAGAGAGGCCAGAGAGAGAGATCAGAGAGAAAAGAGAGAGACCATTTTGATGCTTAAGCCCTGTCACTGGTCCCATGTGAGTGTATATGTGCACACCTCTTTGATGTTCTGGGCGTCGCAGAAGTGGGCCAGCTCCCCGTTGTACAGCTCCTGACTCTCCAGGTAGTGGCTGTACTCTCCGGGCTTCAGGTCACTGGCTTTGATCCCGTTCACCAGGAGGAACTGCTGGTAGGCCACTCCAAAGGCCTGTCCTATGGCCTGGGCGATCACCTGGGCCTGGACACACACCGGGACCTCACACTCTTTATAAATCCAAAAATGAGGGAGCAGGATTTGAACCACCAACATTCAGCTTACAAAGACAATGTTAGAATATAAACACCAGGATCACAGAGAGGCTAAACTACTTTTGGGCTTCATTGAGCTAGCGTTAGCATTGCCCATCTGTATGCAGTCTTTGGTCTGTACTCACGTCGTCCGAGGTGAACACATGGCAAATCATCAGGCACTTCTTCTTCTCCTCCGTCTCGGCTCCTTTGCGTTTCCTCCGGGCCATGAGCACCACCACCTGCTCCATGTCTGCGATGTAGGAGATCATCTGCAGAGGGTGGTCCATCATGGCCTCCTGACCGAACAAGCAGAGACAGAGAAGTCAGATACACGCCTCTCCTCTGGCCTCTCCTCTCCTCTGGCCTCTCCTCTCCTCTGGCCTCTCCTCTCCTCTGGCCTCTCCTCTCCTCTGGCCTCTCCTCTCCTCTCCTCTGGCCTCTCCTCTCCTCTGGCCTCTCCTCTCCTCTGGCCTCTCCTCTCCTCTGGCCTCTCCTCTCCTCTGGCCTCTCCTCTCCTCTGGCCTCTCCCTCTCTGGCCTCTCCCTCTCTGGCCTCTCCCTCTCTGGCCTCTCCCTCTCTGGCCTCTCCCTCTCTGGCCTCTCCCTCTCTGGCCTCTCCCTCTCTGGCCTCTCCCTCTCTGGCCTCTCCCTCTCTGGCCTCTCCCTCTCTGGCCTCTCCCTCTCTGACCTCTCCCTCTCTGACCTCTCCCTCTCTGACCTCTCCCTCTCTGACCTCTCCCTCTCTGACCTCTCCCGCTCTGACCTCTCCCTCTCTGACCTCTCCCTCTCTGACCTCTCCCTCCTCCGACCTCTCCCTCTCTGACCTCTCCCTCTCTCTGACCTCAAATGCCCGAATGAGCTATGCTTTGCTAACACTGTGGTGACGTCAGCACTGGGTCAGTCAAATCCTAACACACGCTCTTTAGTCTGCAGAGCCGATAGAGAATATTGACTGAAGCAGCTGGAGCTTAACAAGCTTCTTTCACTTCACAAATACATCACATTCACCTGTGTGTCTGCAGTCAGCACTTTGATCCTCTTGGTGGAGATGAACAGATCCACTTCAGTCATGGGCTGAGACTCTCCCTCTGGAGCCTGGGACAAGAGCAGTACACAGAAGCAGAGCAACCGTTTAATATCTATATTTATCCATTCTGTATGTACAGTTAAAGCTGTGGTACCTAACTTTCCAACCGTAATGGAACAATGTCATACAATCCATGTCACTAGTTTCATGTGTTTTTGGCCTCTGTCACATCTTTAGATAATCTTTTTCAGACAGAAAGAGGACCACCCTCACTCAGACAATGATCTCTCAGCCCAAAGAGTCAAATAGTGACTCACAGGGCTTTTCCCACACAAATGATAATGCATATTTTTTCTCTGCTTTTTCCAGATTATTCCAAATTTCTCACTGTGAGACACAAGTCGTCCAACACATTTTGACAGTTTATAAAAGTTAAGGAAAACGATGAGGAAAAAATGCTTCTGCTACAAGACCAGGACAAGGCAACTACAGCAATGAGACCAGGTCAAGATCAGGGAGGCACCAGAGACCAGAGAGAGGGAGAGAGAAAGACCAGAGAGAAAGACCAGAGAGAAAGACCAGAAAAAGAGAGAGAGAGAGAGAAAGACCAGAGAGAAAGACCAGAGAGAAAGACCAGAGAGAAAGACCAGAGAGAAAGACCAGAGAGAGAGAGAAAGACCAGAGAGAGAGAGAAAGACCAGAGAGAGAGAGAGAAAGACCAGAGAGAAAGACCAGAGCGAGAGAGAGAAAGACCAGAGAGAGAAAGACCAGAGAGAAAGAGAGAGATAGACCAGAGCGAGAGACCTGAAAGAGACCAGAGAGAAAGACCAGAGAGAGAGAGAGAGAGACAGAGACAGAGACAGAGAGAGAGATCGTCTGTAGTCACCTTGATGCGGTCCACAGCCTCCTGGGCCTGGCTCATGCGGGCGTTGGTGGACGGGTTACGGTCAGAGCGGATCTGTGTGGAGCCCAGATATTTGGCCCCAAAGATGACTCCGTCCAGCAGGTCCTCTGGGTCACAGGGTCCAGGGACTGTGGGCAGAGGAATCAGACTACAGACCTGTACTTTCACTGGACTTAGAAGGTTTAGGTTTAGAAGGGTTCAGACTGGACTCACCGTCTTTATATGAGGGTTCAGCCTCCTGCAACACATAAACACATTATAACTTAATTTAAAATATTTATTATGATTATTTTTTTCATATTCTGACATACAAACACATACACCGGGAGATCCCCCACCTGGTTTAATGATGGGGTTCATGATGAGAGGTGGAATGCGAATAGAAAGCAGATACATTGTATACACCTTTGTCTGCTCGACGTCATCTCCACATCACACCAGTTTGTTTGTATTCCTTTTGTTTTTGTTTTTAGTTTGTTTTTTATGTGTGTGTATATGTATCCTTTTTTTGTTTTTGTTGTTGTTGCTGAGATCTCACAACTTTACCATTATCTATTTTAAGACACAGAACAAATGCCTCAGAAATATTCTAATAATGTACAGTTTTATTTCAGAGACTATTAATATCTGTTCTTCACTTCTACAGCCGTCATTAGGTCTGAGTTAAAACATGAGAGCTGGGACTCGCATCCTCTGTGTGGCCTGAGGGGAGAGAGCTGAGCAAACACCACAAGTTTGTCAAAGAAAAGTTACGATGTAAGGCCCTAAGCGGCTGCCTGTGAGAGAGCAGGCAGCCGCTGTGCATCAGGAGATCGCCTTCATCTCTCCCGGACTTTGCCACGAGGAGAAAGGCTCCTGAACGAGTTTCCTTGTCTCCTCTGAGTTACACAAGAGGCAGAGTTCACAGAGAGCCGAGCCTGAAGATCAGAGCCACAGTGCAACAAATCATGGAGTAATGTAATGACTTCCTTCACAGACAGTGTTTAATTTGTATAGGAGGATATTCTTTTTGTTGCCTTTCCTGTTTGGAGCGATGTGGACAGTGGGGTTGACATGACGCAGGCCGACAAAGTGTGTTAGACTTTCTGAGCCCCTGGAGAGGTTTTGACCTGGATGCCTCCCGGACTGACAAGCTGATCCGTAAAGCTGGACAGGTGATTGGCTGTCAGCTGGAGACATTTACAACAGTGAGAGACAGAAGGTCACTGGAAAAACTGCTCTCCATCATGGACAACCCAACACATCCACTCCACCGGACCATAGAGGGGCACAGGAGCTCCGCTGCCACAGTGAGCGGTACAAGAGCACATTCATGCCACACTCCATCCTGCTGTACAACAAGTCACCGCTCTGTGACACATTCATCTAAACAGACTTCAACTTTATCTGCTTTGTCTGTGTATATATTGTATATTAACAGATGTGTATTATCCTGTTATCCAGTATTTTATACTGTAAATGTACATAATCACAGATATGTACAGTATATTCCTGAGTACCTATATCCAGATTATTCTATTCTCACAATAGTATCTTATTATTATTTTCAGGTAGTTACTTTATTGCTATTTTCATCGTTATTTTTTGTGGAATACTATGCAAGCTACTGTGACAACGCAGTTTCCCTTGTGGATCAATAAAGTCTGTCTAAGTCCAAGTTCTTGTGGCTTTGACGTCCCCATCCCATTATTTATTTATGAATATATGTGTGAGAAATAGAGCTATCGTCGGTCTTAAAGGGTGACTAAGGCTTTGTTTACACACAGTCCAGTCCACTCCTGGGTCTCACCTCCTGAGTCTCTGGATCCTGGTCTGGAGGCTCCTCCCCCAGCTTCATCCACACCGGCTCCGGCTCCTCGTCGTCGGGCTGAGAGCAGAGAGAGTCCTGCCTCTGGGTATGAGCTGGAGCTTTGTCGTAACGGCCCCAGAACTTGCGCGTGTCGTCCTGGTTGTACGACACCGACACCACCGCATCCACGTCCCCAGAGAGAGGAGGCACAGCTGAGGCCTGCAACAGCTCCACCTACAGTACAGGACAAACACAGTCATGGATTTTTATCACCCAAAACATCACAGCTGTAGACAATCTTTTTGTCCCACCATCAAGTATTCATTTGCTAATTCCAAGTATTGATAGAAAAGTGAAACAGGTTGCATGTGCCCCCAGGACCGCATTTTGCCTAGGTCTAGTCTAAACCATGAAAGAGACCAGAGAGATGGGCCAGATAGGGAGAGACTACAGAGAGGCGAGAGAAAGACCACCAAATAGGGAGATCAGCTAGCGAGAGACAGAGAGGGAGACCAGAGTGGGAGACCAGAGTGGGAGACCAGAGTGGGAGACCAGAGTGGGAGACCAGAGTGGGAGACCAGAGTGGGAGACCAGAGTGGGAGACCAGAGAGAGAGACCAGAGTGGGAGACCAGAGAGAGAGACCAGAGTGGGAGACCAGAGAGAGAGACCAGCGAGAGACAGAGAGGGAGACCAGAGGGGGAAACCAGAGGGGTAGAGACTAAAGAGAGACCAGAGCAAGAGAGACCAGTGAGAACTGAATGAACACTGACAACGCTGAGTATTTGTAATCTTTCAGACAGTACATACCGCGTCACGCTGATGGTCCTCTGAAAACAGCAGTCCTGTGGTTTCGTCCGCTTCCGGAGAGGAGGCTCGAGCCGGGCACTGCGCAGTCCGTGATGGAGTGCTCGCCGTGGGGTAAGACTCCTCCTCTTCCTCCTTTCTCAACTGGAGCTGGCTCAGGAGGCTTTGGATGCGACTGTGGTCCTCGTCTGCCACCACACCTGCACCGGATTCCATTTCTCCAAAGTTTCTAAGATGTATGTCCTCAGCACCATCGATTGCAGAAAATTCAGATATTTTTGCTATTTCGCCTGTTTGCGTTGCATATTCCTGGCTTTCACAACTCAATCCATAATTATCTTCCGTATACACTTGCAAATGACTTATACCATCTCCTTCCAAGACTTTATAAACTTTTCTTTTGCTTATTTCTTTATCATACCCGTTCATTGAATCGGCAAATTCACGTTCAACATTGTCGTCACTGTCTGCCACGTTCAAAAATGGATTAAAACGGTTGCTTGCGGGTTGACGAGCCAAGACGTTGACACAGCCATCTGCTACGTCCACGCCGCTAGACTTTGGATCCAAACTGTCGCCATGAACGCCTTGGAAATTAACCAAAACATTTGACTTTTCCAATACTTTGCCTTGCGTTGCTTCGTTGACGCTTCTGTGCGGTAGATCTGGGCTCGTCTTGTTCAAACAGTCTTCATAAACGCCTTCCAAGTTGGCCCAAACTTTTGTCATTTCCATTTTATTCAGTTGCGTTGGGTATTTGCTAGATTCGTGGGATGGATCTGGGATAGCATTGTCCAAAAGGTCTGCTAGAACACCTTTCGAAGTAGCCAAAACGTTGGATTTTCCCAATCCTTCGAATAGCAACGGATTTGGGATAGCCTTGTTCAAACAGTCTTCATGAGTGTCTTCCAAACTCGTCAAAAATTGTCGCTTTTCTTTCCCATTTTCTTGCATTGTTTCATGGCTTGATTCATGCCAAGGACCTGGACTTTCCTTGTTCAAACCAGGTTCATAAACGGCTTCTAAATTGGCCAAAACATTTCGCTTTTCCATTCCATTCTGCTGCGTTGGGTGTTGGCTAGTTACGTGTGAAGGCGCTGGACTGGACTTGTCAAAAATGTCTGCAGGAACTACTTCTGAAGGAGCCGAAACGTTTGACTTTTCCAATACGAGGCCTAGCATTGGGTCTTGTTGCTTGGTACGTGTTGTGTGCAAAACATCTGGACTCGCCTTGTTCAAATATTCTTCATGAGGGGCTTCCAAATTGGCCAAAACATTTTGCTTTTCCATACCATTCTGTTCCGTTGGGTCTAAGGGAGATTCATGTGAAGGACCTGGGCTAGCCTTGTTCAAAGCGTCTTCGTAAACGCCTTCAAAATTGGCCAAAACTTTTAGCTTTTCCGTTCCATCTTCTTGGGTTGGGTCTCTGTTTGCTCCGTGCTCTGGAGGATCCGGGCTAGTCTTATCCAAACCGTCAACGAAGTCCTTGAGATCGTCGTCGTAGCCTCCGTCGACGGAAGAGTCAGACCTCCAGTCCAGGGGAGGGGGCTCCAGCGGGTCGAACGAGTCCGGCTCCTCGTACCCGTCAGAGGGGGGGAAAGGAGATCCACTGGGGGAGGCTGGGACTGTGGGATCTGGGTCCATGTTTTGGTCTGTGACAAGAAAAGAGGGAGTTAATGACTTAATCGTTGATTTTGGGGTTGGCTATGAACTCATTTTACAGTCTATAGTTAAGACAGTCAAGAGGCAAATTAGTAACAAAGAATCTATATTCAAGTGACTTCAGAATAAATGGGTATGCAACTTTCAAATCACAAAGAAATTCCTTTTACAAGACTCTTTCTGTGGATGAAACTAAAGTGAGGGACCCCAGCTTTAAGTCACAGCTGTGTCTAAACAGTAAATGCATTTGTTTTGAAGTTAAACGTTCTCTGAGTTTTATGGTCTGCTCTAACCCAAAGTGCACATTGCTATATGCTGCTGCTGCTGCCTTGGCACGATAAGGTTCAGCTGTACAATATGTAAGGCAAGACAAGTTCATTTGTATTGCACAGTTCATACGCAAGGCAACTCAAGTGCTTCACAAAACAAGAAACACAAAAATGTCAATATCATGCAAGGCATTCAAATCATTTATTAGTTTATTTAGCTTATACAACGACCTTAAACCCTATATGTATGTATACTGAGGCCTCCAACCCCATTTTATGTACACTGGGTCCTCTAATCCCATTTTATGTATGCATGTAAATATTTTCTTTTCTCTGGGACGTCTTTTTTACCTGGACCATGTGTCTGTAATAACGTTAAATAATAATACTGTGGCCTGTAGCCCTATTGTTGAAGTACACTGGGGCCATCTTTAAATACGTTTTTTTCTCTCACTCTCTCTCACACACGATTCCAAAACAATATGATTACGTTCAGCCCAAACATTCAACAACTTCAGGGCAGTTTGCCTTTGAAAGGAGATGCAAATATGAACTGAAAGACGAATGCAAGACTATTTTCAATGGCCTTGTCTGCAGATAAAACAGCACAAAGTCCAACAAGAGGCACATTTCATCACACCTGCATGGGACACACAGCTACTATGGACATTTGTATTGAAGTAATAGCTCAATGCAGGTGGTCGTAAACAATACTGATGAAGTTCTATCTAGTCTCGTCCTGCAAACTAAGAAAAACAATGTGGCTTCCCTCCAAACGCATTAATAATACTCATACCTCAGCAAACAAGCTTGAACACATGCTTACGTGCTAACATTGTAAACAGATGATTTGCTTTCTTCCCAATTTTCGTAATAAATCCTGCAAGCCACAAAATGGAAAGGAACTAGCTTTCATCTATTCTCATTTTAATTTAATTTCTGTTTTATCATATGTTGACTTTTATGTATGAACACTTTCCTTACTTAGATGGAAAAAAAAACCTTTCTTCCCAAGTTGTCAACATTTTACAGAGTTAGCATCACAAGCTAACTCTGTAGCTACAACAACACACCGCTATTGTGACAGATGTCGACTTGTTAGCGGTCTGAAAACACGTGTATTGAGTCTAAATTTGAGGAGAAGTCGTGTCTAGTCCCACCCAAACTTAAACAAGTCCTCACCTGATGTTTCACGAGTCTTTCTTCTTTGTGGATGAGAAGTTCTGGTTTGATTTGCGCAAAAGTAACACGCTGGCAGTTTCCCTCATGCTAGCAGCGGCATTGGCTGGTCCCCAAACGCGTGAAAACCACTGGTGTTAATGCAGCAAAATGCATGTGTTAAAGGCAGTTTTATGAGTGAAAATGAAGCGGATACACGTAGATTCTTGCGCTGTTTTGTTTTTTTGCCAACTCTGCATAACTTTGAGAAATGCTGCGTTCAAAGCGAGCGGAAAATACACGACTTAATTTAAAAGTTGAATTTTAAAATATGCACATGCTATAAATAATATTGTTTGAGTCCACCATTAAGTCAGTACACTTATTTTACACAAGTATATGTTTTGTTTTATTTGCTTTCCCCGTTTTGATTTTTACAGCCTATGGTTTCAATATGTAGAAAATAGCGGCGCTTCTCTTGGGAACCTGAACGCAGCGTCAGTAAAGGGAAATCATGGTGTCGTCAAGAGAAAAATCAGGCATATGTAATCGAAACAGATACATCCAAAAAGGTGTTGGGAAAATTAAAAAATGAAAAACTATGAAAATACAAACATGTTGACACACACAAAAAAAACGTCAAATTCATAGAAAATTACGATGAAGATTTTTATATAATCAGAAATACACTCAAATTGAGACAGCAGGGAGTGTGTCATTCAGCATATTGTAAAAAAAATTAAACTATTTACAATAGATTTATTTACAATCAATATTGGGGTGAGGGTGAGCAGCAGCAGATCACATATAAAACATCAGTATACATCGATCATAACTGAATCTAGCTTCCAATTCGGGCGTTCTGCTCTCCCAAAATTTCATCCACTGAGCGGCGCTGTGATCAAAAAATGACACCGTTTGTTGCCCAGTTCACTTCCGGTTGATTTCATACAATGGCGAATATGGCTCACGAAAACAACAAACGATTGACAGTGCCTGAATTGCGTGAAAGGTTGAAGCGAAAGGATATTTGCAGTGTGGGAAAACGAAAGGAGGAATTGTTGTTGCTAGTTCAACGAGCGGATGGTGTTTATGAAGATTTAGAAGAAGATGACAGCGAGCAGAGTGAACGAAAACGGCTGTGTGTGCGAGTGACAGATGGTAACAATGAGAATGAAGTTCAGCTAAGAGGGAAGAATGTGAATTGGACGGATGATTTGCGCGATATGCCACTAGTTAGAGACGGGAATGTATTTGCATACAGAAAATGACGAAAACACTCAACCATTTAGAGAAAATGCGCCGGGCAGAGAGAACCGGAAGTTGCGAAGGCAAGTGTTACCCATAATGCAACGCAAAATTCAGTCGCTCCCCCGCCCATCGGATGGAATTTTGGGAGAGCAGAACGCCCGAATTAATAATTATATGTTAAAAAAAAAACGCTTTCTGTCTGAACATTTATGCGTCTGATTGGCTGGACATTTGTATCAGACCAATCACAGAGGAGATGGAGCCCAGGAGCCCCACGGTCCAATCTGGGAACCGTCCGGCCCAAAGGAACCCAGGAGGCATCCAGTGGACAGCGTTAAACAGGTCAGCAGCATTGGACACAACGGACAGGAGCTCAGACCGGAGCTGAGACTGTAATCTGTCATGAAAACACATACGAGAGGGTTTAGAAAGGAAGGTATCTAAATATCTGTAATGAAAATATCAAAACATAGATAATCACATTTATAGCAAAAGTTAGAGCTGTGTTTTTCAACCAGTGAGCCGTGGTACTTTAGTGTGCCGTGAGCTGTTGTTTAGTGATCCTTCGGAAATTATCAAATATCATAAAATTGTTCAGAATAAAGTGAAAAAGAAAATAAAGTAGAAGATGAGACAGACTTCTTGTGTTTATTTGTCTCTATATAAAACTTTCCAGTGTTAATAAAGGCTGCAGTTACATTTCTGTATCAGTTTCTGCTGGGGGTGTGCCATAAAAATTGTTTTCATAAAGGTTGGGGAACTGAGTTAGAGTCCTACGCAAGGTCCACAACAAAGACGTAGAATCAGTGTAAAAACTATTACATACAGAATTATAATTCATCAAAATCCTCCAAAATCAACTGAGACCAGCGGCTTCACAACATTCTACAGTGACAACTGGTCTCAGGTCAGGCTCAAGTCTCATCTTAGTGTCATATGAATCAACTTGGACCTGCTGGGACTCTGAGGAGCACAGGGACCGGCCTCCTGCTGGGACTCTGAGGAGCACAGGGACTGGCCTCCTGCTGGGACTCTGAGGAGCACAGGGACCGGCCTCCTGCTGGGACTCTGAGGAGCACAGGGACCGGCCTCCTGCTGGGACTCTGAGGAGCACAGGGACCGGCCTCCTGCTGGGACTCTGAGGAGCACAGGGACCGGCCTCCTGCTAGTCCCAGAGTCAGGACTGAACATGGGGAGGCTATAATTCAGATTTCTGCAGCAAAAACCTGGAATAATCGTCCTGAAAATGTGAGACAGGCTTCTTCTCTGACTACATTCAAATCCAGGTTGAAAACAGTTCTTCAGAACGACTTAATGTTCTGTGATTATACATGTTGTGCTATTATAAATAAACGTGTCCTGCCTGTGCATTGTAGCTTATTGGCGTTGTGTTGGTTCTCACCTGCTCCGCTCCTCGGCGCAGAGAGAGGAGGTCTCTCTGCACAGTTTGGTCTTCAGGAGCAGCAGCACACGCAGAGACCTGCAGAACAAACAGTTACCCTCACATCCTCCTTTATCTCAGCGAATAAGAAGTAAACGAATCAGACATTTGTAAACCTTTAAAGTACCGCAGGTACGTAACTTTCAAACCACACAAAATAAAAGCTAAGTCACTAGTCTGGAGAGACAGGGAGAGACCAGCGAGACCAGAGAGTGAGACCAGAGAGTGAGACCAGAGAGTGAGACCAGAGAGTGAGACCAGAAAGAGACTAGAGAGAGAAACCAGAGAGAGACCAGAGAGAGACCAGAGAGAGACCAGAGAGAGACCAGAGAGAGACCAGAGAGAGAGACCAGAGAGAGAGACCAGAGAGAAAGACCAGAGAGAGAGACCAGAGAGAGAGACCAGAGAGTGAGATCAGAGAGAGACCAGAGAGTGACCAGAGAGACCAGAGAGTGAGATCAGAGAGAGACCAGAGAGAGACCAGAGAGAGACCAGAGAGCGAGAGAGACTAGAGAGGGAGACCAAAGAGAGAGACCACAAAGAGACCAGTTTATCAGACATTATTCTGACTCTAAAACAGTTGGATTCTATCACTAGTTTTCACATGTCTCATGTCACATCTTTAGGTCAGCTTTTTCAGACAGAAGTGAAAAAGACAAGACCAGCCTCAGCCAATCAGCTCTCAGCCTAAAGAGTCAAAAAGTGACTCGCAGGACCTTTTTCTCACACAAAAGAGATGATGTGTGTGTCTCACCGTCGGACAAACAGAAAGATTATTTTTGATTATTATGAGACATGTTTATCAGTCGTATTGGTTTGAACAAGGAGCGAGTTTGTATTAAGTCAACAAGAGCAGGAAATTACAACATTAATTACACTGACGTCCACTTTCAGACTTTTCTTTTGTATTTTTACCCACATTTTCTGATCCACATGGTATCGACGGCCAATATCAGTTCCATCCAGATGTAGCTGTAATTTCAAGTCTATTCCACACTTTGGCACATATTCCTCGCAGTCGAAGAAGTGAGACCATTGTTCAGAGCAAAAAGCACACGGCCATTTGCCACAGCAGACACAGAGAGACTATAGTGAGAGAGACCAGAGAGACTATAGTGAGAGAGACCAGAGAGACTATAGTGAGAGAGACCAGAGAGACTATTTTGAGAGAGAGACCAGAGAGACTACAGTGAGAGACCAGAGAGACTATAGTGAGAGAGACTATAGTGAGAGAGACCAGAGAGACTATTGTGAGAGAGACTATAGTGAGAGAGACCAGAGAGACTATTGTGAGAGAGACCAGAGAGAGACTACAGTGAGAGAGAGACCAGAGAGACTACAGTGAGAGAGACCAGAGAGACCACAGTGAGAGAGACCAGAGACTATAGTGACAGAGACCAGAGAGACTATTGTGAAAGAGAGACCAGAGAGACTATTGTGAGAGAGAGACCAGAGAGACCACAGTGAGAGAGACCAGAGAGACTATAGTGAGAGAGACCAGAGAGACTATAGTGAGAGAGACCAGAGAGACTATAGTGAGAGAGACCAGAGAGACTATTTTGAGAGAGAGACCAGAGAGACTACAGTGAGAGAGAGACCAGAGAGACTATAGTGAGAGAGACTATAGTGAGAGAGACCAGAGAGACTATTGTGAGAGAGACCAGAGAGACTACAGTGAGAGAGAGACCAGAGAGACTACAGTGAGAGAGACCAGAGAGACCACAGTGAGAGAGACCAGACACAAAGCGAAACCACGCGGCTATACCCCACAGCCGCAGTTATACGTGTTACTATGTGAGGTTTTGAGTCTTAAAAGGGAGAGTATTTCCACCTGAAGAGGTGCTGTTCTTCAGAAATGCCTCCCCGCATCTGCGACAACATGCGCCCACCAAGCCGGGCGCCATGTTGGACTGAGGGCGGAGATGGGGGAACCAATCAGAACAACGGATCCAGTACACACGTGGTCTGATCGCAAACCGTCAAACGTAGTCTGTACATTGATAAATACATCTATGATTATGATGATCCTACATCTAAGAGAAGGTTGGGGTTATTAATAATATAATAATATTAGAATAGGAGGACAAAATACAACTGTGGTCCCATAAGTTAAAATAAAAAAATCCAGTACACACAGTATAGCATAATGAAAAATAAATATGTAACATACATACAAAAAACAAAAAGAGAATATTACAGCTCCTGTACAGTGTAATGGCATGACCTCTAGTTAGTCCTAATTTGAGTTTCTGCAAACTGGACAACGAGAGCAGTGTACATAGGTGATCATTAAGATCTAAATAGAGTTCTACCAAAGACTGTATATATTAATAATTACTTCAGAGAGACACATAAGTACAGCAAATTAGGATTGGCCCATAACTTGACACCTTGCCTGTGCAGTGTACTTGTCATCAAATAGGTCACTGTGGATGTAGTGAGCAAGGAAATTCACCCATCTAACTATTTAAAATGTTCCCGGATAGAGAGTATGTGTTAGTATGGTCGAAGTGTGTGTGGTGTGGTGTGTGTGTGTGTTGTTGGAGTGGTGTGTGTGTGTGTGTGTGTCACTTGTATTTCAACGTCCTGGTGGGGTTTCATAACCTGATATACCACTCCACGTCATGGGGACCTGGTTTTACGTTAGTGGGGCATCGAACACCGGTGTTTTTGTCGAGAAGTACACCCTTGTTGAATATGTTACTGTTTATTCGACAGGGGGGGGGCGGCCGTCTCGACAGAACACCTGTTGACGAACTCATCGCTTCGCCGCTCTGAATACTGCCGAATACTCCAATACCCAACCAACTTCACCACGGTACCAAGACCGCACGTTCACAGTAGCAGTCTATGGTCTACTGCTGACAGATTGGAAGAGAGTTTGCAGCGGTCCTTAAATTATGTCAAATTTATTATTAAAAAAAATAGAATACACTTTGGTTCCGTTGTGCTTGAAGACCGCGGGCTTTTTTTCAACGGTGTCCAGCAGAGACGTCGAAGGATAGAACCCCGAGGATAAGAACCACTTGAGTTATTACTTTATCAATTATATCGTGGAAAATGTGAGGAGTTTCTAAACCTGTAATTCCCCAGAGAACCACAGAAGAACGTTAGCAAAAGGTAAGAGGTAAGAATGGGCTCATTGCAGTCACTTGACAAATTAGGTACAGTATCAGCTTCGACTTCCTTATCAAATAAGTTCACAAAAGTACTTTGTTAAACGAAAGTGATTGTGCCCAAAAAAAAGTTAAGGGCGAGCGGGGGGAAGGGGGCGGGGGGGGGGGGGGGGGGGGGGGGGGGGGGGGGTCGGGGGGGGTGCGATGGGGGGGCTGGGAACGATACTATCTACAAAACCAAAATCGGTTTTTTTTTTCTTTTTTTCTAATCCAATGCGCTGTTTTAATTGCAGAGAAATCCATTGAATCCAATGCCACAAGAAAAAGGAACATTGGATTTGAAAAAATCAATGTTTAGAATTTAGCCTATATAGAGGTGATCATTTTGGTGGCACAAATGCTTTACTTTTGTGAGCGATTGACCGTGGAAGTCCTCGTAATCTGTGAATATTAAATGGATAATAATATTAGCTTAATTACCTAATACTTAAATCTATATAGTGAGGCCTCCAATGCATGGTCAACTGACGCAGCACAATATCCCCTGAAAAACAATTATGGACATTGTTTGTTTTCCCTTGTGAATAGGTGTCAAGCATAGACCTTTCAGAGTTCCGAAATTACAAATCCCTGGAAGTTTCTGACTATTTTTATCCAATCCAATCCGCCAATCCAAACAAGAACCAGCAACAACAGAGACCATGACACGGATAGGGACCGGTACCATCCTGCACAACATAAAAGATAATTTTAGCTCTGTGTTTGTTCCTGTTCAGACTTTACACAGCCGTAGTTCCCCTTACCATCACAGAGGAAACAGAACCTCATCCACAAATACCACAAAAAGACTCATCACTCTGAGAACAAAGACAATAGAGAGGTTATATGGGCCACCCTTGGCCCATACAGGGACTCCCAGGTAGAATCGAGCTGTTTGTTGTTTATTTGGTCATTCTGCACACACTTAGCTTGTTGAACAATTCGGGCGTTTCTGCTCTCCCCAAAATTCCATCCGATGGGCGGGTGAGCGAACTGTAATTTTGCGTTGCATTATGTTTTAACACTTGCCTCCGCAAACTTTCCCGTTCTCTCTGCCCTCGCAATTTCTCTAAATGGTTGAGTGTTTTCCGTAATTTTCTGTATGCAAATACATTCCCGGTCTTTAACTAGTGGCATATCGCGCAAATCATACCTTCCAACTTCACATTCTTGCCCTCTTAGCTGAACTCATACTGCATTGTTACCATCTGTCATCCGCACAACACAGACCGTTTTCCGTTCACTCTGCTCGTGTCATCTTCTTCTAAAATCTTCATACACACCATCCGCTCGTTGAACTAGCAACAAACAATTCCTCCTTTCCGTTTTTCCCCACACTGTCAAATACCCTTTCGCTTCAACCTTTCCCAATTCAGCGCACTGTCAATCGTTTGTTTGTTTTCGAGAGCTCAAATTCCGCCATTGTATGAAAATCATCCGGAAGTGAACTGGGCAACAAACGGTGTCTTTTTTTTGATCACAGCGCCGCTCATGTTGATGAAATTATGGGAGAGCAGAACCGACCCGATTTAACCTTTTCCTGTGTCTTGACAGATCTTCTCAGTCCATCATAAATGAGTGTCAGTGTGGGAAGACCTGGTGCTATGTGCTCACAACACTCAAAAGACATACAAAGTCCACACAGGAGAGAAACCATTCAATGTACCCAGTGTGGAAAAGCATATGTTCCTACACAGTACATCTCAAAGTCCACAACAGAGTCCAGCACTGGAAAGGAAAAAAATAATGGTGGCCCCCTTTGAATGTGACCATGTTGGGACAAGAGTTTGGCTCATCAAAACTCCTATAACTATCATCTGTGAAATCCAACACTGGAGCAAAGCCGTACATCTGGTGAGTATGCAGTAACGGAATTCAGATCTTTGTCAAGCCTCTCATTTCACCGTTGACCGACCCACGGACACAAGCCCTTACATCTGTGAGACCTGTGGGAGAACTTTCACGTCTTTAGAAGGGAATAAAGAACTACATTTAATACCAACTGGCTTCAAACCATTCGCCTATGAAGACCTGTGGGAAGACATTCAGATTCTGTCAAGTCTCTGAAACACAGTAAAACCTTGGCCCACGTGAAGAGTCAGCAGCAGCAGCTCGTACCAGAGGCATGGAGGGCCTGAAGAAGGAAGAGCTGAGGCTGGAATCGACTGAGCCCAGAGTCAGGCTCCAAACAGCTGGTGATCAGGCTCCACCGGCTGCTGACCTCAAAGTAAAAGACCATTGGAGATCCCAAGTGCCCCCTGAAAACACTATGCGAACAAAGTTTTAGTTAAAGAAGTCAAAGCGGAGAAACCCTACTGAGTTACTCAACCTCAATGACTAAGGAAGCCACTCTGCAGAGGAAACTCCTCTTGGTCTTTTGTGACCAGAGGAAGTGGTTAATCCAGAAGCTCAGTACCTGCAGACGCTGCAATCCTCTGTACACATCATGTCCAACCCCATTGCGGTCATTAATATCTGAAATTGTAATGTTTTTATTTAGGATCCAATATTTTTGTATTTATCAGTTTTTCACAGCTGAAGCAGGACCGTTTCGAATTTTTGACAAGTTTGGAAGTTAAAAATCTGAGCAGATTTTTTTGTTCCTGACCAGTTTGGATAAGTGATGTTTTACTCAATGTATATAGTATTTTGGTGTTCTTGCTATTTCCATCAATTCCAGTTTACAAGTTTTACAAACACGAAGATGACTGAAATTCCCACATTTTGTTATTTAAGTTCTTACCTTTACTCACTTTTTAAATACAAATGAAATACAGAAAAAACAGCTGTAAAGGCTAAATGCTAACAACTGACAGTAAACCTAGCGTGTTGCATGGGTAAGTTAGTGCACTGGTTATTCTCTAGTGGAAAACCAGGACGCTGAACCAGGACCAGTCTAGACCATGTGGTTGCAGCTTGCCAGGAGGTAGAACACACAACTTAAAACAATGTTTGAACAATCATAAAGTGTCTACATGTAAAAGCAAACCTCCACTAAGTATCCCGATTTTGGCCTGAAATCTGTGGTTTATCGCTCTCTGTGATTCTGGATGTTTAAACTGTGATATTGTTTGTTTATTTTGTCTTTGTCCCATAGTGGAAAGCCGATACGGTCATAACAACACACCGACCTTCCCACTCTTGTCCCGGTGAACAAGCAGTTTGATCCAAGTTTTGAATGATTCCTTTTTCAAATTATATTAAATGGCATTAGTTTTGATTGTGACATTTCCATTGGTTGTTGTTTCAATGTTTAGATCACATTTAGAATACAAATAATACAGTTACATGCCCTGAAATGTGGGCGAAATGTTGAAAGGTTCAATACTTTCGCAAGGCACTGTATTTGTTCTAATTATTGTTATAGCTTTTAGTTCAGTTTCAGTGTTCTTTTGTAAATAACATTCCCAAAGTTGAAAGAGTAGCAAATATTAATATTGACCGTAAAAGTTTTAAATAAAGTTATTTTTCAAACAACATTTGACCAAACCTGGAGCTGGAGAGGATGATACAACCGAAGCTCGATTTGGATGTACAACCATAGACTGTATATATAGCAACACAAACAGTAGAAATGGCGCCATCTCTTGGCTGTATTGACATAATTCTAACAACTGTTTTAGCTAGAACACTCGGTTCTAAACGTGAGTAACCTTACAGAGAAGTGTAGGCAAAAAAACATTAGGAATAAGTCCGGTATAATGGAATGGGAATATCTGAATGTGAATACATATCATAAGAATCATATAATAATGTGTCCTTCGGTTGCCAGTGGCAGCCTTTTGAGCTCAGACCACTCCAACACACACACGTTCCCTGGGCAGCTGAGAGATAGTGCCTCCAGTCTTCCTCTGGTCTCCTCCCGGTGAGACAGACTGCCCAGAACAACCTCCCCAAGAAACAATAACCTCGACTCTGAAGTAAACTGCAGGTAGCTTTCAATGAAGCTCTGAGGATGCTGTTAAAGAAAGCCCAGAACGACTCGAGCGCAGTGAGTTTGTTCGTGAGCAACAAAGGGAACCCACTGAAGTCTTCCTGAGAAATGCAATGTTTGGTTTATTCGCCGATTTGGGGGAACGAGTCTGTGAACCTGGTTTTGGGTTGTTTTGGTGAATGTCAAGTTCAGTACAACACGCTGTATTTCTCAGTTCTGGGAACACTGGTACATAGTGTCTTTGTAACTGATTCCTATACTTTGCTATTTTATTTTTTACGTTCTGTGTCTTGTGTGGTCCTTGTGTTGTCTCAGTATGGACCTTTAAGTCCGAATAAAGATTATTAATTCATTATATATTTTCACCTGTTCAATTGAGCATAGTATGAACAGTGAAAAAAGATAATAGAGTATATTTGTAAAATATAATTATTTCAGAAAATATGCTGTTCTCTGGCATTACAGCCCGTTTGATGAGTTTAACCGTTTTAAGATATGTTAAAATTTTTTTAAGAAAAAAAACTCCTCTGGTCACTGAGGTCACGGTGACATTTGTGTTACGCTGACAAACAAATGGCGGCGCGCTGGAGCTAGTGAGAATGTGTGGTGGTGGAGTTCAGAGACGCGCAGGTATTTTTTCTTAAACACAATTGAACCGTGCAGCCGTGATACGTGTGCTCTAGTCTGTAGTAAGAGTCAATGTGACAAACAGCGTGATCTCACAGATTATAGGAATCAAATCACACCACAGACACACTACAAACAAACACACTAAGCCATATTCCTACAGCACGCTTCAGCAGAACACATGACACACACACGCAATTAACACATTCACGCCAATCCAAACAAGACCAGCAACAACAGAGACATTAACACGATAGGACACGGTACATCATGCAAACATAAAGATAATTTTGCTCTGTGTTTGTTCCTGTCAGTCTTTACACAGCCTGTAGTTCACATTACCATCACAAGAGGATACAGAACCTCATCCACAAATACCACAAAGACTCCACTAATACGAAGAACCTGGGGAAAAGAGACTTAAGATAAGGGTCAAAAGAGGAGTTTTCCATTTCAAAACCATAAGTATTTGACAATAACTGCGAACAAGATTTTGCATTAGCTTTCACAATCTCTGAAACATCCATGGAAACGCATACAGATTCTGATTCATATTATTTGCGGATTTGCAGTAAAACCACATAGGAAAAACTGTGCAAGACTACCCCAGTGTGCACCACCCATACTCTCACTCTCCACACAAGACACACCCACTCTCTCTCACAGACACAATGTGGTTTACATATGGATGAAAAGCGAATGACAAACAGATATAATAGTTTTCCTCGTCACAGCAGACTGCTAGGTGAACTGAATAATGAGATGAATCATTGTGTTGTTTTCAGGCGACGCGATGTCAGTGACTTTGTGTGGGAGAACACGGCACAACGGCTTGTGCTCTCAGGGTCAGTGACCAATTTAGCCCTGTTCACACAATCCCCCTGTTACCACCACCCTACTCTGGTGAAACAGGGATACTGGACCCAGGACTTTCCCCCGGAAAGCTGTTCTGATTGTGGGAAGTTGCTAGGATAACAGTACCAGATACTAAAGCGTAATGGAGGGTTAGTATAGTAGAGAGCCACTTTTCGTTATTTAAATCAAATCAAAAACATAAATAGATTTGCAGTTATTAACTAGACTATAAGCCGTTCCTTTACAGTTTTTTTTAACCCTGCGGCCAGTGTATGTATTTTCATCAGTTATATCTTGTCTATCATTGTTAATTTCCCGGACAGAACGATGCAGCACTCATTCCCTGCTTCAGAGTGTTTTTTATGTGAAACCAGCCGAGAGACAACAAGGAAGAGTAGGTTTAATGTGATTAGAGCCGTACAAAACTAAATATACACAAAGGTGAAATACATGTTGCTTAGAGTTATCTTATCACGTAGATATTTTGTTCCCAACCGAGCCGGGCCCTAGTGTGATATTGAAGCCGTTGTGTAGCAGCCTGGCCGCTTCCCTTACATGGTGAACCTGGAGAGTCCGTCCGGAGACCCAGAGGAAGATCAGCCGCAAGAGCAAGTGAGGACGTGGGGTACGGTGCAAGTGGAACCCACACCGCTCACAGGCCACGTCCATCGCCGCTTCGGCAGAAACTGTTTTACCTTTTTGTTTCATATTTTTAGAAAATGCTATACTTTAGAAGTGTTTATTATGCTTATAATAGTATTCTGCACCTGCTTTATGACTTTGTTTGGCACCGAGAGCCAAAGCATAGGGTTTGTGCAATCGTTTCGTGACTTCATTTACATGGCAAATGAAAATGATATTGATTCTGATTCTGAAAGTGGCAAACAGACCTGTTCGCTTTGGTGAAAGTGGAAATAACTGGCGATGCATCCTGGGATTGCATTTTTGGTCACTTTACAAAACAACTCAAGCTCAGCCATATCCGATGTAGAGTGTTTTCACTTGGATTTAATATGATTTCGTGTTAAAGCAGTTCTATTGCATTAAAAGTCTTGTGTTCAGGGAAATAGCACCACAAGTGTTTTCTGATTTTAGCAGCTTTTGGTCAAGATGGGTCCTTGTTTTTGACTCCTTTCACTTTCCCTTTTTTAATGGTACAAAATGTGCAAAATTCAAGCTGTATCGACATTTATGACAAGGCAGTGTATATTGAAATTAATCCAATATTCTAGTGAGATTAAGCGGTGAGTGTCATGTTTTGTCCAGAGCAAACCAGCGTGTGGATCTGTACTCCTGGAGGACGGCAGCGGAGAGGGTGCACACGTCAACTACAGGGACCACCAGAATCATTAGGTCAGATTGTTCCCTCTGTCAAATACTTAATCTCCTCCAGCTGATATCAGGAATTTCTGTCTAATTGAACTGTTTTCAAACTCATTACCCTATAAGGAACAGTAAATGTAATCATGTATAAGTCTAAGTGATATCTGCTTCTTGTACACTAACATGAATAGGAGGCCCAAGTACCTATCAGACACCTTTGCTGAAGAAACAGTTGAAGTGGGACATTTCCCTTGAATGCAAAATGCAATGACACAACAAACGATTCAGGCAGGAATAATGACACCCTTGCTTGGGTTGCCAATGTTTATTAGCTGAGATGTAGCTGGTTTTGGCTACTATGTCTTTTTACTCTTTTTGAATAAGAAAATTCACCAAACTAATGAAATACGCCTACACAATAAAAAAAGAAGTATCATATGTAAGCACACACTATTGTACGGTTTCTAGATAATCTACAGCAATGGATTCCTCAAAAATCGGAGGAGAAAGATTCTGATTAGAGCACATAAAAAAGTAATACATAATGTCCCTTTAAGATAAAAAAAAGAAAATTTGCCTCCACATTAGATTTGAAAAGTATTCCAGTCCATATAGTAAATATATTCACATTTTGAATACATAAAATAACAGGGCCAGGACTTTAACAACGCGTAATTATTAATTTTGTGTAATAATTCATTCATTCATAATAAATTCAAAACAAAGAAGCTGATGTACCTGTATTTCAAATAAGGTATTGCTGTAAACAAAAGAAAAGAAAAAACCACTTTAATGGCAAAAACTACATCTGTCTTTGGACTTGAACATAAAATAAACCATATTTTAGTTGCCTTAAGCTTGTAATGCAGTCATTATTCAATGGTTTAAACTAAAAAATCAATGTGAAAAAAATTTACTCCTCTTGTTCACATAAGTAAAAATACATGTTATCATATATTCAATTAAAATATAAATAATTTTCGATTATTATTTTTCATTCGAGACACACACACACACACACACACACACACACACACACACACACACACACACACACACACACACACACACACACACACACACACACACACACACACACACACACACACACACACACACACACACACACACACACATACACGTTTTTGTTACCTGGTGGGTCCCTTTGACAGGGCCGTTCAGAATGGGACCCATAGACATAATCTTTTTTTACCAAGACTTTAAGTAATACAAAACAGTCAATAGAAACCAAACAACTATTTTAAAGGAATTTTATTTTAGATTTTGTTTTCGAATTGCAGTGATTCTATTTTTGACATAGAATTTAATGCCACTCCATGTCCGATGTCTAAGGTCATCTGGTGAGGCATTAATGCAGGCCAGGCAGTGAGACTTCCCAGGGACCTTTCCAGTCTGTATGAAAGGTGTCATGGTCTTCTCCACAGCCTTCACCTCAGATGCAGACCATGGCTTTCTTACACGTTCTAGGAGAGAAATAAAAATATATTAGCAATATACACTCCCAGGGTGAGGACCAAGCAGCCTGGCTGTAATCCCCCACCTGGTACACTTACCAGAAGGGGCACTGCCACTACCATGGGGTGCATCTGGATGAATGGTTGAAGGTTCTCCGCTTGAAGTTTCTTTTAGCCCGTCCGTTTGTGAGAGGATCTCTACTGCTCTCCCTGTCGCACAGAAAATAAAAATACAAGTGGCCTTTAGGGGAAAAAAATCATACATATTTTAATAATATCAAGAATTACCTTCAGGCTCAATTTGTATCTGGTCGAGGCTCTTTCCTTCGAATTCCGTCACTCTTCCCTGCTCCATGGCCATCAACACTTTGCTGATTTTGGCCAGCTCCAGTGTCCCCTCTGGTAGTCTGTAATATTGCCTGTGGATGCGAATGTCATGGCCGAGGAAGTTGGCAAGTATGTCCATCTCATTCTCTTTCATATTGAGAACTGTAGACATAGTAGCTATGTGCTTTCTAAGTTTGGTTGAGGATAGCATCTCTGGATGCACCGCACCACATTCTTTGGCTACCTGGCGTAGGGAGGTTCTGATCCCCTGATGTGGGTGTCTGCGCCCGGGCGGGAAAAGAAGATGGGTTATGGTCAGAGATGGACAGGCCCTTCTGTTCTCCACCAGCACCTCCATCGAAGCAATCATTTTCAGGAGAGTCAAAAGAACCGGCACTTTCCGACTTCTTTTCCCTTTAATTTCAATGCGTTGAAAATGCTGACACAGCTTTTTCCTCGGGGGGGGGGGGGGGGGGGAAGGGGCGGGTGGGGGTGGGCGTGGGGGGGGGGTGGAGGCGGGAGGGGGGCGGGGGGGGGGGGGGTCGGGGGGGGGGGGGGCCGGGGGGGGGGGGGGGGGGGGGGGGGGGGGGGTGGGGGTGGGGGGGGGGGGGGGTGGGGGGGGGGCCGGGAGGCGGGGAATGGGGGGGATAGTGGGGGGGGCGGGAAGGGGGGGGAGGGGGGGGGAGGGTAGTGGTCGGGGGGGGGGGGGGGGGGGGGGGGGGGGGGGGTAGGGGTTGGGTTTAGGGGGCGAGGGGGGGATAGAGGGAGGGGGGGAATGGGGAGGGGGGGGGGGGGGGGTTGGTAGAGGGGGGGGGCGGAGGGGGGGGGGGGGGGGGTAAGGGGGGGGGGGGGGGGGGGGGGGGGGGGGGGGGGGGGAGGGGGGGGGGAGGGGGGGGGTAAGTGGGGAGAGGGAAGGGTGGGGGGTTGTTGGGGTTTGGCTTTATGAGGATTGGGGGGGGTGACATTGCTCTAGGGGGTTGGGGGGGGTTGGGGGGTGTTGGGGGGTGGGGGGTGTGTGTGTGGGTGGGGGGGACTGGTCCCAACTTGAGAATTTGAAAATGCATATGGAATTTACATTAAGTAAGGGTATTTTATAAATTATGAAATTGCAGGGACGTCCCAACTGAGAAAATGCTGTGTCAGCCATTTTCAACGATTTGAAATTAAAGGGAAAAGAAGTCGGAAAGTAGCCGGTTCTTTGACTCCAGAAATGATTGCTTCGATGGAGGAGCTGGTGGAGAACAGAAGGGCCTGTTCCATCTCTGACCATAACCCATACTTTTCTTTTCCCCGCCCGGAGCGCAGACACCCACATCAGGGTATCAGACTCCCTACGCCAGGTAAGCCAAAGAATGTGGATGCGGTGCATCCAGAGATGCTATCCTCAACCAAACTTAGAAAGGTCACATAGCTACTATGTCTACAGTCACAATATGAAAGAGAATGAATGGACATACTTTGCCAACTTCCTCGGCCATGACATTCGCATCCACATGCAATATTACAGACTACCAGAGGTACACTGGAGCTGGCCAAAATCAGCAAAGTGTTGATGGCCATGGAGCAGGGAAGAGTGACGGAATTCGAAGGAAAGAGCCTCGACCAGATACAAATTGAGCCTGAAGGTAATTCTTGATATTATTAAAATATGTATGATTTTTTTCCCCTAAAGGCCACTTGTATTTTTATTTTCTGTGCGACAGGAGAGCAGTAGAGATTCCACTCACAAACGGACGGGCTAAAAGAAACTTCAAGCGGAGAACCTTCAACCATTCCATCCAGATGCACCCCATGGTAGTGGCCAGTGCCCCTTCTGGTAAGTGTACCAGGTGGGGATTACAGCCAGGCTGCTTGGTCCTACACCCTGGGAGTGTATATTGCTAATATAATTTTTATTTCTCTCCCTATAACGTGTAAGAAAGCCATGGTCTGCATCTGAGGTGAAGGCTGTGGAGAAGACCATGACACCTTTCATACAGACTGGAAAGGTCCCTGGGAAGTCTCACTGCCTGGCCTGCATTAATGCCTCACCAGATGACCTTAGACATCGGACATGGAGTGGCATTAAATTCTATGTCAAAAATAGAATCACTGCAATTCGAAAACAAAATCTAAAATAAAATTCCTTTAAAATAGTTGTTTGGTTTCTATTGACTGTTTTGTATTACTTAAAGTAGGTAAAAAAAGATTATGTCTATGGGTCCCATTCTGAACGGCCCTGTCAAAGGGACCCACCAGGTAACAAAAACGTGTATGTGTGTGTGGTGTAGTGTGTGTGTGTGTGTGTGTGTGTGTGCGTGTGCGTGTGGGTGTGTGTGTGTGTGTGTGGTGTGTGTGTGTGTGTGTGTGTGTGAGTGGTCGTGTGTGTTGTGTGTGTGAAAAAAATAATTAATCGAAATGTGTGTGTGTGTGTGAACCGTGGGAGGAGTAATTTTTTTTTCACATTGATTTTAAAGTAAAGCCATTGAATAATGAACTGCATACAAGCATAAGCAACAAAAATAAAGTTAATTTAAGTTCAAAGTCCAACAGACCAGTGTAGTTTTTGCCATTAAGTGCCAGCAATACCATATTTAGAAATACAGTACCCAGCTTCTGTAGTTTTGAATTTATTATGAATGAATGAATGATTACCACAAACAATTGAATAATTCACGCGTTCAAGTCCTGGCCCTAGTTCATGTTTATGTATTAAAATGTGAAATTATTACTATGCCTGGAAATCATCTCAAAATCTAATGTGGAGGCAATACTTTTAATTCCATAAAGGGCCATTAATGTAATACAATTTATTGTGCACAAATACAAGAAAATCATTCTCCTCCGATTACTGAGGAATCCACTTGCTGAAGAATATCTAGAAACCGTACAAATAGTGTGTGCTAACATATGATACTGTCATTTTTTATATCTGTGGGAGCTAATCATTAGTTTGTGAATTTTCTTATTCAAAAAGAAAAGACATAGAGCCAAAACCAGCTACAATCTCAGCAAATAAAGATTTCTGGCACCCCAACAAGTGTCATTATTCATGCTGAATCTGTTTGATTGTGTCCATTGCATTTTTCATTACGGAAATGTCCACTTCAAACTGTTCTTCAGCAAAGGTCTGATATGTACATGTGGCCTGTTAATTACAAGAAGCAGATATCACTTAGACATAAATGATGCACAAACTGTTCCTTATAGGGTAATGAGATTTTGAAAACAAGTTCACTAAGACAGAAGTATCCTGATATCAGCATGGATGGAGATAATATTGACAGAGGAGAACAATCTGAAGCTAAATACTCTGTGTGTCCCCTGTAGAGACGTGTGCACCACTCCGCAGCCTGTCCCTCCAGGAGTACAGATCCCCACGCTGGTTGCCTGGACAAACACAAAGACCCTCACCGCTAATCTACTAGAATAGGTTGGATTATTTCAATATAACACTGCCTTGTCAAAAGTCGATACAGCTTGAACTTATGCACATTTTGAACCATAAAAACAAGAAAGAAGAAATCGTCCAAAAACGGACCACATGCTTTACCAAAAGCTGCTAAAAATCAGAAAACACTTTGGTGCTATTTCCTGAACACAAGACTATTAATTCAATAGAATTGCTTTAACACTGAATCAAATTAAAATCCAAGTGAACACCTACATCGGATCTGGCAGAGCTAGAGTTGTATTGTAAAGATGACAAAAATCAATCCCCAGATGCATCGCCAGTATTTCCACTTCACAAAGCGAACATCAGTTTGCCACTTTCAGAATCAAATCAAAATCATTTTCCATTGCCATGTAATGAAGTCCATCGAACATATTTGCACAAACCCTCTTGCTTTGGCTCTCGGTGCAAACAAGTCAAGCAAGTAATTAAATAAGGCATAATAAAACAATTCTAAAGTAATAGCATTTTCTAAAATATGAAAACAAAAAGTAAAACAGTTTTCTGACCGAAGCGGCGAAGACGTGGGCCCTCTGAGCGTGTGGGTTCCACTGCACCTCCCCACGTCCCACTTTGCTCTTGCGGCTGATCCTCCTCTGGGTCTCGGACGGACTCTCCCGGTTCACCATGTACAGGAAGCGGCGGCTGCAACACAACGGCTTCAATATCACACTAGGCCGACGGTTTGGGGAACAAATATGCTACGTGAAAAAACTCTAAGCAACATGATATCACCATTGTGTATAATTTAAGATTTTGTACGCGCTCTAATCACATAAACCTACTCTTCTTGTGTCTCTCCGCTGTTCACCACATAAACACTCTGAAGCAGAATGAGTTCTGCCTCGTCTGCTCCGGAATTAACAACTGATAGACAGATATAACAGAATGAAAATACATACACTGGCCGCGAGTGGGTAAAATAAAACTTAAAGGAGCGGCTTATAGTCTATAATTACTGCAAATATATTAATAAGTTTTGGGGTGATTTTATTAAAAAATAAAGTGGGCTACTCTACTATACTCCCTCCATTACGCTTTAGTATCTGGTACTGTATCCTAGCAACCTCCCCAAACAGAACAGTATCCTGGGAAATTCCTGGGTCCAGTATCCCTGTTTCCACCAGAGTAGGGCTGGATGGAAACCGGGATTTTGTGAACAGGGCTCTATGGTCCACTTACCCTGGAGCACAGCGTGTTCTCCCACACAGTCCAATGACCTCGCCGTCGCCTAAAACAACACAATGATTCCATCTCATTATTCAGTTCACCTGCAGTCTGCTGTGACGAGGAAAACTATTATACTGTTTTGTGTCGAATCGCTTTTCATCCAAATGTAAAACCCCATTGTGTCTGAGAGAAGAGTGTTGTGTGTTCGGAGTGATGAGAAGTGAGAGTATGGTGGTGCCACCTGGGTAGGCATTGCACAGTTTTTGTCCTATGTGTTTACTGCAAATCGCAAATAAATGAATCTGAATCTGTAATGCGTTCCCTGGATGTATTTCCAGAGATTGTGAAAGATTAATGCAAAATCCTTGTTCGCAGTTTATTGACCAAATACATATGGTTTTTGAAATGGAAACTCCTCTTTGGACCCTTAATCTTACGTCACTTTTTCCCAGTTCTCAGTAGTGTGAGTCTTACTTGTTATTTGTGGATGAGTTCTGTATCCTCTGTGATGGTAATAGTGTCCACAGGCTGTGGTAAAGTCTGAACAGGAACAAACAAAGAGCAAAATTATCTTTCATGTTGTGCATGATGTAACGGGTCCTAATCCGTTCATGCCTTCTGTTGTTTCTGTCTTGTATTGGATTTGGCGTGAATGTGTTAATGCGTGTGTGAGACATGTTTCTGCTGAAGCGTGCTGTAGGATATGGCTTCTATGTGTTTGTTTGTATTGTGTCTGTGTGTGGATTTGATCCCTAGGTAATCTGTGAGATCCACCGCTGTTTGTCCCACATTGACTCTTACTACAGACCTAGAGCACACGTATCACGGCGCACGAGTTCAATTGTGTTTAAGAAAAATACCCTGCGCGTCTCCTGAACTCCACCACCACATTTCTCACTGTTTTTCCCTCCAGCGCGCCGTCCATCTTGTGTCAAGCGTAAAACAATGTCACGTGACCTCAGTGCCCAGAGGATTTTTTTTTTTTAAAATAACAATCTTAAAACTGGATAAACTCATTCAACGGCTGTAACAGAGAGACAGGCATATATTTCTGAAATAATTAAATATTTTACAAAAAATACTCTATTCTCTTTTTTCACTGTTCATCCTATGCAAATGAACAGTGAAAAAAATATAATAATAATAATCTTTTTCGGACTAAAGTCCATACAAGATACAACACAAGACAACACAAAACCCAGGATACGTAAAACAATAAAATTTCAAAGTATAAGGACTCATTTACAAAGACACTTGTACAAGTGTTCCCAGAACTGAGAAATACAGCGTGTGTGTACTGAACTTGACCATTCACCAAAACAACAACAACCAGGTTCACAACCGTTCAATCGGCGAATAAACCAAACATTGCATTTCTCCAGACAGACTTCATGTGGTTCCACTCTGTTGCTCACGAACAACTCACTCGCTCGAGTCGTTCTGGGCTTCTTTACACATCCTAAGAGCGTGCATTTAAAGCGTACCTGCAAGTTTACATTCAGAGTCGATGTTTATTGTTTCTGGGGAGGTGTTCTGGTCGTGTCTCACCGGGAGGAGACCAGAGGAGACTGGAGCAATACTCACAGCAGCCCAGGGAACGTGTGTGTGTTGGAGAGGTCTGAGCTCAAAAGGCTGCCATGCAACCGAAGACAACATTATTATATGATTCTTCATAAATGATATTCACATATCAGATTATTCCCATTCCCATTTACAGGACTTTTCCTAATGTAATATTTTGCACACGTCTCTGTAAGGTTTACTCACCGTTTAGTTTATTAGTTTATTTAGCTTATACAACGACCTTAAACCCTATATGTATGTATACTGAGGCCTCCAACCCCCCATTTTATGTACACTGGGTCCTCTAATCCCATTTTATGTATGCATGTAAATATTTTCTTTTCTCTGGGACGTCTTTTTTACCTGGACCATGTGTCTGTAATAACGTTAAATAATAATACTGTGGCCTGTAGCCCTATTGTTGAAGTACACTGGGGCCATCTTTAAATACGTTTTTTTCTCTCACTCTCTCTCACACACGATTCCAAAACAATATGATTACGTTCAGCCCAAACATTGTCAACAACTTCAGGGCAGTTTGCCTTTGAAAGGAGATGCAAATATGAACTGAAAGACGAATGCAAGACTATTTTCAATGGCCTTGTCTGCAGATAAAACAGCACAAAGTCCAACAAGAGGCACATTTCATCACACCTGCATGGGACACACAGCTACTATGGACATTTGTATTGAAGTAATAGCTCAATGCAGGTGGTCGTAAACAATACTGATGAAGTTCTATCTAGTCTCGTCCTGCAAACTAAGAAAAACAATGTGGCTTCCCTCCAAACGCATTAATAATACTCATACCTCAGCAAACAAGCTTGAACACATGCTTACGTGCTAACATTGTAAACAGATGATTTGCTTTCTTCCCAATTTTCGTAATAAATCCTGCAAGCCACAAAATGGAAAGGAACTAGCTTTCATCTATTCTCATTTTAATTTAATTTCTGTTTTATCATATGTTGACTTTTATGTATGAACACTTTCCTTACTTAGATGGAAAAAAAAACCTTTCTTCCCAAGTTGTCAACATTTTACAGAGTTAGCATCACAAGCTAACTCTGTAGCTACAACAACACACCGCTATTGTGACAGATGTCGACTTGTTAGCGGTCTGAAAACACGTGTATTGAGTCTAAATTTGAGGAGAAGTCGTGTCTAGTCCCACCCAAACTTAAACAAGTCCTCACCTGATGTTTCACGAGTCTTTCTTCTTTGTGGATGAGAAGTTCTGGTTTGATTTGCGCAAAAGTAACACGCTGGCAGTTTCCCTCATGCTAGCAGCGGCATTGGCTGGTCCCCAAACGCGTGAAAACCACTGGTGTTAATGCAGCAAAATGCATGTGTTAAAGGCAGTTTTATGAGTGAAAATGAAGCGGATACACGTAGATTCTTGCGCTGTTTTGTTTTTTTGCCAACTCTGCATAACTTTGAGAAATGCTGCGTTCAAAGCGAGCGGAAAATACACGACTTAATTTAAAAGTTGAATTTTAAAATATGCACATGCTATAAATAATATTGTTTGAGTCCACCATTAAGTCAGTACACTTATTTTACACAAGTATATGTTTTGTTTTATTTGCTTTCCCCGTTTTGATTTTTACAGCCTATGGTTTCAATATGTAGAAAATAGCGGCGCTTCTCTTGGGAACCTGAACGCAGCGTCAGTAAAGGGAAATCATGGTGTCGTCAAGAGAAAAATCAGGCATATGTAATCGAAACAGATACATCCAAAAAGGTGTTGGGAAAATTAAAAAATGAAAAACTATGAAAATACAAACATGTTGACACACACAAAAAAAACGTCAAATTCATAGAAAATTACGATGAAGTTTTATATAATCAGAAATACACTCAAATTGAGACAGCAGGGAGTGTGTCATTCAGCATATTGTAAAAAAAATTAAACTATTTACAATAGATTTATTTACAATCAATATTGGGGTGAGGGTGAGCAGCAGCAGATCACATATAAAACATCAGTATACATCGATCATAACTGAATCTAGCTTCCAATTCGGGCGTTCTGCTCTCCCAAAATTTCATCCACTGAGCGGCGCTGTGATCAAAAAATGACACCGTTTGTTGCCCAGTTCACTTCCGGTTGATTTCATACAATGGCGAATATGGCTCACGAAAACAACAAACGATTGACAGTGCCTGAATTGCGTGAAAGGTTGAAGCGAAAGGATATTTGCAGTGTGGGAAAACGAAAGGAGGAATTGTTGTTGCTAGTTCAACGAGCGGATGGTGTTTATGAAGATTTAGAAGAAGATGACAGCGAGCAGAGTGAACGAAAACGGCTGTGTGTGCGAGTGACAGATGGTAACAATGAGAATGAAGTTCAGCTAAGAGGGAAGAATGTGAATTGGACGGATGATTTGCGCGATATGCCACTAGTTAGAGACGGGAATGTATTTGCATACAGAAAATGACGAAAACACTCAACCATTTAGAGAAAATGCGCCGGGCAGAGAGAACCGGAAGTTGCGAAGGCAAGTGTTACCCATAATGCAACGCAAAATTCAGTCGCTCCCCCGCCCATCGGATGGAATTTTGGGAGAGCAGAACGCCCGAATTAATAATTATATGTTAAAAAAAAAACGCTTTCTGTCTGAACATTTATGCGTCTGATTGGCTGGACATTTGTATCAGACCAATCACAGAGGAGATGGAGCCCAGGAGCCCCACGGTCCAATCTGGGAACCGTCCGGCCCAAAGGAACCCAGGAGGCATCCAGTGGACAGCGTTAAACAGGTCAGCAGCATTGGACACAACGGACAGGAGCTCAGACCGGAGCTGAGACTGTAATCTGTCATGAAAACACATACGAGAGGGTTTAGAAAGGAAGGTATCTAAATATCTGTAATGAAAATATCAAAACATAGATAATCACATTTATAGCAAAAGTTAGAGCTGTGTTTTTCAACCAGTGAGCCGTGGTACTTTAGTGTGCCGTGAGCTGTTGTTTAGTGATCCTTCGGAAATTATCAAATATCATAAAATTGTTCAGAATAAAGTGAAAAAGAAAATAAAGTAGAAGATGAGACAGACTTCTTGTGTTTATTTGTCTCTATATAAAACTTTCCAGTGTTAATAAAGGCTGCAGTTACATTTCTGTATCAGTTTCTGCTGGGGGTGTGCCATAAAAATTGTTTTCATAAAGGTTGGGGAACTGAGTTAGAGTCCTACGCAAGGTCCACAACAAAGACGTAGAATCAGTGTAAAAACTATTACATACAGAATTATAATTCATCAAAATCCTCCAAAATCAACTGAGACCAGCGGCTTCACAACATTCTACAGTGACAACTGGTCTCAGGTCAGGCTCAAGTCTCATCTTAGTGTCATATGAATCAACTTGGACCTGCTGGGACTCTGAGGAGCACAGGGACCGGCCTCCTGCTGGGACTCTGAGGAGCACAGGGACTGGCCTCCTGCTGGGACTCTGAGGAGCACAGGGACCGGCCTCCTGCTGGGACTCTGAGGAGCACAGGGACCGGCCTCCTGCTGGGACTCTGAGGAGCACAGGGACCGGCCTCCTGCTGGGACTCTGAGGAGCACAGGGACCGGCCTCCTGCTAGTCCCAGAGTCAGGACTGAACATGGGGAGGCTATAATTCAGATTTCTGCAGCAAAAACCTGGAATAATCGTCCTGAAAATGTGAGACAGGCTTCTTCTCTGACTACATTCAAATCCAGGTTGAAAACAGTTCTTCAGAACGACTTAATGTTCTGTGATTATACATGTTGTGCTATATAAATAAACGTGTCCTGCCTGTGCATTGTAGCTTATTGGCGTTGTGTTGGTTCTCACCTGCTCCGCTCCTCGGCGCAGAGAGAGGAGGTCTCTCTGCACAGTTTGGTCTTCAGGAGCAGCAGCACACGCAGAGACCTGCAGAACAAACAGTTACCCTCACATCCTCCTTTATCTCAGCGAATAAGAAGTAAACGAATCAGACATTTGTAAACCTTTAAAGTACCGCAGGTACGTAACTTTCAAACCACAAAAAATAAAAGCTAAGTCACTAGTCTGGAGAGACAGGGAGAGACCAGCGAGACCAGAGAGTGAGACCAGAGAGTGAGACCAGAGAGTGAGACCAGAGAGTGAGACCAGAAAGAGACTAGAGAGAGAAACCAGAGAGAGACCAGAGAGAGACCAGAGAGAGACCAGAGAGAGACCAGAGAGAGACCAGAGAGAGAGACCAGAGAGAGAGACCAGAGAGAAAGACCAGAGAGAGAGACCAGAGAGAGAGACCAGAGAGTGAGATCAGAGAGAGACCAGAGAGTGACCAGAGAGACCAGAGAGTGAGATCAGAGAGAGACCAGAGAGAGACCAGAGAGAGACCAGAGAGCGAGAGAGACTAGAGAGGGAGACCAAAGAGAGAGACCACAAAGAGACCAGTTTATCAGACATTATTCTGACTCTAAAACAGTTGGATTCTATCACTAGTTTTCACATGTCTCATGTCACATCTTTAGGTCAGCTTTTTCAGACAGAAGTGAAAAAGACAAGACCAGCCTCAGCCAATCAGCTCTCAGCCTAAAGAGTCAAAAAGTGACTCGCAGGACCTTTTTCTCACACAAAAGAGATGATGTGTGTGTCTCACCGTCGGACAAACAGAAAGATTATTTTTGATTATTATGAGACATGTTTATCAGTCGTATTGGTTTGAACAAGGAGCGAGTTTGTATTAAGTCAACAAGAGCAGGAAATTACAACATTAATTACACTGACGTCCACTTTCAGACTTTTCTTTTGTATTTTTACCCACATTTTCTGATCCACATGGTATCGACGGCCAATATCAGTTCCATCCAGATGTAGCTGTAATTTCAAGTCTATTCCACACTTTGGCACATATTCCTCGCAGTCGAAGAAGTGAGACCATTGTTCAGAGCAAAAAGCACACGGCCATTTGCCACAGCAGACACAGAGAGACTATAGTGAGAGAGACCAGAGAGACTATAGTGAGAGAGACCAGAGAGACTATAGTGAGAGAGACCAGAGAGACTATTTTGAGAGAGAGACCAGAGAGACTACAGTGAGAGACCAGAGAGACTATAGTGAGAGAGACTATAGTGAGAGAGACCAGAGAGACTATTGTGAGAGAGACTATAGTGAGAGAGACCAGAGAGACTATTGTGAGAGAGACCAGAGAGACTACAGTGAGAGAGAGACCAGAGAGACTACAGTGAGAGAGACCAGAGAGACCACAGTGAGAGAGACCAGAGACTATAGTGACAGAGACCAGAGAGACTATTGTGAAAGAGAGACCAGAGAGACTATTGTGAGAGAGAGACCAGAGAGACCACAGTGAGAGAGACCAGAGAGACTATAGTGAGAGAGACCAGAGAGACTATAGTGAGAGAGACCAGAGAGACTATAGTGAGAGAGACCAGAGAGACTATTTTGAGAGAGAGACCAGAGAGACTACAGTGAGAGAGAGACCAGAGAGACTATAGTGAGAGAGACTATAGTGAGAGAGGACCAGAGAGACTATTGTGAGAGAGACCAGAGAGACTACAGTGAGAGAGAGACCAGAGAGACTACAGTGAGAGAGACCAGAGAGACCACAGTGAGAGAGACCAGAGACTATAGTGACAGAGACCAGAGAGACTATTGTGAAAGAGAGACCAGAGAGACTATTGTGAGAGAGAGACCAGAGAGACTACAGTGAGAGAGACCAGAGAGACTATTGTGAGAGAGACCAGAGAGACCACAGTGAGAGAGACCAGAGAGACCACAGTGAGAGAGACCAGAGAGACTATAGTGAGAGAGATCAGAGAGACTATAGTGAGAGAGACCAGAGAGACTATAGTGAAAGAGAGACCAGAGAGACTATTGTGAGAGAGAGACCAGAGAGACTACAGTGAGAGAGACCAGAGAGACTATTGTGAGAGAGACCAGAGAGACCACAGTGAGAGAGACCAGAGAGACCACAGTGAGAGAGACCAGAGAGACTATTGTGAGAGAGACCAGAGAGAGACCAGAGAGAGACTAGATAGAGACCAGAGACTATAGTGAGAGAGACCAGAGAGAGACTAGAGACCAGAGAGGCCCAGAGATCAGAGACCAGAAACCAGAGATACTTTAGTGAGAGAGACTAGAGAGACTATAGCGAGAAAGTCCGGAGAGAGACCAGGGAGATACTAGAGTGAGAGACTAGAAACCAGAGAGACCAGAGGGAGACTAGGGAGAGACCAGATTGAGAGACTAGAAACCAGAGAGACCAGAGTGAGAGACTAGAGACTATAGTGAGAGAGACCAGAGAGACTATTGTGAGAGAGAGACCACAGTGAGAGAGACCAGAGAGACTATTGTGAGAGAGACCAGAGAGACTATTGTGAAATAGACCAGAGAGAGACCAGAGGGAGACCAGAGAGAGACCAGTCAGAAAAAGACTTGAAAGACCAGAGAGAGACCAGGGAGAGAGAGACAAGAAAGAGACTAGAGAGAGACCAGAGGGATTATAATCACATTATAATGGACTACAGCAAATTTCTCATCCACATGGAGCAACATAGACATTTTTTTTTTTTTTAACACGGACAACTTTAATAAGGAAAGAGCAGCACATGCAGCAGCTCAAACTCTGACCTTCACTCACTCGAACACAGCTCTGCGGCTCGTTACGCTGTCACTACGCAGGGAACAGTCCCTTATGTGACTTGTGTGTTGCTTTAAAAACCTCCACCTGAGGCCTAAAATAACCTCAGTTCCTACTCAGATCTGTGGAGAGGGTGAGTCACCTGAGAATCCCCAGCAGCAGAGAGGTCCCCCAGAGCCCACAGCTGAGGACCCACCAGCGCTCGGACTTCACTGGGACCAGGCCGGCGTCTGCGGCCCAGGCCACGTGCTCACAGGGGTAATACAGCTGATCGGACAGGTTTGTGAGCACCGAGAGCCAGCGCACACACTGGTCCTTCTCCTACACACACACACACACACACACACACACACACACACACACACACACACACACACACACACACACACACTTATAATATTATTATGAGCAATCACTGTTACTACCGTCTGTCTTTAAAACAAGCTAAATCATCAAACAAGGGACGATTAGCAAAACAAATCACTCTCTCTCTCTCTGGTTTCTCACTCTCCCTCTGGTCTCTCACTCTCCCTCTGGTCTCTCACTCTCCCTCTGGTCTCTCACTCTCCCTGGTCTCTCCCTCTGGTCTCTCACTCTCTCTCCCTCTGGTCTCTCACTCTCTCTCCCTCTGGTCTCTCTCCCTCTCTCCCTCTGGTCTCTCTCCCTCTGTGTTTGCTTGCAGCTACAGACCGTGGATCCCAGTCCGTAGCTGTGGGAGAAGGCCAGCATGGACAGGTCGTCAAACAGCCTCAGGACGGTGCGACACTGACTGAGCTGAGAGGAGAGCAGGAGCAGGCTGCGACCCAGACGCAGGGAGGCGGGGCCATGGGAGGAGGGGGAGGAGCCACGACACAGGACTCCGCCCACCAGCTGTGCACCGTAACACGCTGTCCGGATCTGAGGGCAGAGGGAGATCATTAATTTGATCAACATTATTAATATTTAAATCATTTTATCGCTTGGGTAATGTATTCTAAAAATCACCCGCAATAAGTGAAATCTTTGAACTAACAGCTGCGTGTTTTAAGGCTGTAAAACCCTCACACACACTTTATACACTTTTTAACCACCTGAACTCACAACTGCTGAAGAGAGAGACCAGAGAAATGAAACCTGTTGGTTGTAGGTCTGAGCGCTGCTGCAGCTTTCAAAAGCTGTACGTACACTGGAGAATACAGCTGCAGAGGAGACTGAGGGGCAGGAGCAGTACTGAGGGCTACAGCGAAGACCAGAGAGAGAGACCAGACAGGGACCAGAAAGAACAGAGGGAGACCTGAGACAGACCAGATGGACAAGAGAGGGACAAGAGAGGTACCAGACAGGGACCAGAAAGAACAGAGGGAGACCAGAGGGAGACCAGAGGGAGACCAGAGGGAGACCAGAGGGAGACCAGAGGGAGACCAGAGGGAGACCAGAGGGAGACCGCAGCTTTAAACTGTTCTGCATCAAAAAATAAAATTGTTAGAGTAATCGTTCTTAAACCTGCTAGTTGCAGCCGATGGCCAAAACTAGACTATATTATTACCAGATTAGTAATTTATTTATTACTAATCAGTATTTATTGGCCCAAACTCAGGCTACACGACGCACTGGTAAACTCCTGCATGCGGCTCTCACCACTTTGTCTCTCCCGCGGTACGTCTCCAGCAGCCGCACCAGCTCCTCCATGTCTCCCCGGGTGTCTGCAGCAGCTACGGCCGCTCCACAGCTCTCTCAGCCCGGGGACAGGGGCTGGGGGTGAACTCTGGACCCTTCACAGACACCGGCAGCCGATCACAGCAGCGACGGAACGATCCACTGTGGCGCCCCCTGGTGCTCGCTACACGCGTTACACCATGGTCGTAGCTGCACGTCAGATCTCCGGAGCAGACCCGGGTTAGTGCTGTGGTGGGAGACTATGGAAGATTTTTTGTGTCATCAGATTTGGAATTTTTTTTAGCTTGAATTCTTCAGTTTGAAATTTTTAACCCTGAAAAAGCACGTTTGAATATTTTTATCTTTACATTTCAGTCACTAAAAATTCAGTTTACAAATGTCAATGTGATTAAAATTTCTAAATGACATGTTCACCCTTAAAATATTCTTTTTTTTTTTTCATTGAATGTGTATACATAGTTCCTACATGACGTCACTACATACGGGGATTTGCCGACCTGCCGCCATTTGTGTTGGCATGTTGTGGGCAAAACAATAGAAAAAGAAGCTGAAACGTGTTAATGTCGTGATAAAGTTGAAAATGGTCATCTCCTGCTGGGTCAATGGATGTTCAAATCGTGCCGGAGGTTCTGTTAAACTTGGATTTTACAGTATACCCATCATTAGACTTCATGAATGTGAGAAGACTAAGCTTTTGTCAGAACAACCACGGAGGTTATGGCTTGCGAAGATAAACAGGCAAGAAACTCCCTCAAAACACGCAAGAATATGCTCGGAGCACTTTGTGTCAGGTGCGTATCGTATCTTATAATGTGTTGACAGACGTAATTTACTCAGTACTAACTTGTGTATGCTGATATCTGGTAACTTGAGAGTTTCATTATTTAGATTACTTTATTATGAGGAGGATTGGTGTCGCGTCCGAGGCTCTCGAGGGCAACGTAAATGTATTAAATAGATAATAATAGTTCTATGGTGGGCTAAAACAATGTTCACAAACAGCATTGCTTCTGTAAAAAGATCTGTGTCATAAAATAAACTGCTCTTTACGCCTGGAAAAATCAGTTGCCCACCATTCACCAAAACATACGGTCAAAAACGCGGAAATAAACAATAACAGCAATCCAGAGTGTCCGTGTGGCATTAGTAAACACAGCAGCGTGCCATCAAAGATGGCGTCTCCGAGGAGGTCATGTGACATTCATTGGTCTGTGGGAACTATGTATAGGAGACTGCTATCAATGAAGTATGCCCCTCCAAGTCCCTGCTCCGGCCAATGGTTGAGTGAGTGGACCACTCAACGGACCAATGGTTGAGCGAGGTGACTGCTCAACGGACCAATCACGGAGCAGTCTGAAGCAAACAAATTGGCTGAAGCAACTCCGCTGTTGTTATTTTCCGCCAGTTCTTTAGACTATTTCGATCACTCTTCGAGGATTTTCTTCAGGAACAGCAGGTAAGACGCTTCTTTCCTCTGTGTCTGTGGACTGTTTTAAAGTCCGTCTCTGCACTAGATCTGCAGCGGTACGAACCTGACAGTGACAGCGTTAGCATTAGCCTAGCTCCGGGTACACTATGTGCTTGCGATGAAGCCATAACGTAAATATTTACATGAATAAAGCCATAAATATCCCGCTGAAACCGTACAACATGTGTGTTGAGTGATGCACGAATGTATAATGAATTACTCTGAGGTTTCTGAATGAAAATGGTCTGCTGCAACAGTGCACTGTCTCGCAGTGGGACATTTCACTGTGATCTCTGCACTTTACAGCAGACTATGAAAGGAGCAAATAAAATCACTCTGCACACATCATACAGGATCTATTGTTTAAGATAATAAAGTAGAGCTATAATTGCACTTTGTATTTACAGTTGGAATTCGTGTGTATAACTATTATAGTTATACACACGAAGTTATAAGCTATGTGTGTGTCATATAGTGCTTCAATGTTTATTAAAAATAAAGGAGTAATACGGCAATAGTCTATATTGATATGTGATGAACATAACAGGAAAGAGCATTTGAGCTAGTGTTTGGTTTGTTTTGTTTTAGAGATCTTCTGCATAAGAACTGAGGAACCTACTTTTCTTTTAATCTTTTTATTCATCATCTGAATCCCAGAGACATGGAGGTAAGTACAACACATAACCACATGCATACAAACCACACAAAACAGTGAATCACTCATATGGACCAACTTAAACTTAAATGTATTCTAAAGATAAACTGCTTGGACACACATGAAAAGACATAATCCTGTACATTGGTCACTTGACACATGTCTGTAATGTAAGGTTGATCATGATAGTGTTTGTGCTTTCCCACATCAGGCGCCTGGACACCAGTGCAGTGTGTGTGACAAGAGCTTCTCTCTAAAGTCAAACCGGACCCTCCACACGGCACAAGAGGAGCACATGTGAAGTGTGTGGGAAGAGCTTCAGTCAAAAACAAGGCCTCACATCTCACCTCAAAGTGCACAGAAATGCCCTGCACTATCCACACATCCCCCTGTTCAGACAGGGAGAGGCCAAGCTCCAGTGCAGACGCAGCCAACACCGTGGCACTGACCCACAGCCAGATTGACCCTTTGTGGCTGGATTTTGACCAGGCAGAGGCTGCAGCCAAGAAGGCCGGAGAAGACCTGTGGGAAGGACACTTGGTGTTCACTTTTGGAAAATACTCTGGCCAGTCTTTCAGCTGGGGAACGATCTGGGCAGGGTTGTGTGGCTACTGGCAGAATTCTGCCAGAAGGGCGAAGCAGAGGATGCTGCCCTATGCCACAGTTCCCACTGTCACTTTTCACCTTGACAAGCGGCTGGAGGTAATTATATTAACAGCATGTGAAATGAAAAAACTAATGCGTCCTCTCATGAAAAATCATTAATAATTGTATTTTCAGGAACAGGAATCGAGGAAGGAGAGAATTCCAGGATCCAAATTACGCCACTGATGCTGAACTGTTGGCTCTTGCAGGTAACAATTATAATCCTCAGTATGTTACAGCTAGGCCTGTCACGAGAAGTTGATTTATAAAGTCATTGCGATAAACTATAATATTGAAATTATGCTAGTACACTAAAGCGGGATAATTCTATTAAAGAATTTTGTGGCCGTTGCATTAAAAAGCAAGACTCGCGTTAATAAACAGGGCAATTAAGTAATATTTAGTCATTTAACTATCTACAGCTAAAACCTTATCCTAATTTCTCAGCTTTTGCAAGGATAATTTACAGACAATGGATATTAAACCACATATTGTTTTATCTATCAGTTATCAAATGATAAGTCCATATATTATTGTAACTGGCCTTGTTACAGGAGATAATGATGCGCACAGACTTTTACAAAATTAGCTTCCATATCAACATTCAAATGTGATGTTTTTTTGTCTCCAGAGAATGTCCTGGATGGCTCTGAGGTACATGTCTCCACACAGCTCACTACTTGGGGCTGGGAGAATTGTGCTTGAGGGGTGGCAAAATTACTGGAGTATCCTCCTCCTGCAGCACAGGCCCACGGTCTAGTGTAGGGCCTGTTCCAGTGCTCTTCCAAGTACAAAAACACAAAGGGAGAGACTGGAGAGGAAGCTATTATAGGAGAAGATGGACTTCCACCCTCCTCCACCCCCCACACTGGTCAGGAGAGGAGTGTCCAACATGTTGGCCTTCTTCACAACACCAACCTTTTTTTGGAGGCCCGTTGGAGTGATACAAGCAAAGATACGCTGCCTCTTACTGCCCTGCGCCCCTAAGAGTATACCTCGAGAAGAGAGGCTTTGGTAGTTCTTCCAGACAAGTGTGTGGGGTAAAGTTCAACTACACCCTGCTGACAGAGAAGCTTAAGTGTTCTCACTGTGAGAAGTTGAGGCAGGTGAGCAAGACACTTGAAGACTGAGGATGAGGACTGCCACCACTCGCAGTAGTACATGTGGAATGCGACCAGCCCCAAGATCCTCCTGAACTTTGCACCGGCCCTCCGGAGCATGTTTCCTGCCATTCTGTGTGGGAAGCGGGCCCTCAATAGAGGTGTGGTCACCCTGCTGAACAACCGGATCAACAGCGCGTCCATGAGCGAAGTGCAGAGTCTTTTGCAGCAGGGTCATGATGAGTGGAGAGGCACAACCTGTACCAGACCCTCCTCTAAAACGCTCACACAGCAGGAGCCGCTTCCTCACAGAGAGGAATCCTGTCCTTTTTGACACTCCTCCTCTGGCCCCCTCTCCTCGGCCCGTGTGCTCAGGCGGGCCCACATGATCATGGAGATGGAGAAACTGCCCATGTGCAGAGCCTCCATCCTCAGTGTCAAAGGGGGAATCCTCTGCGTCGACGGCACAAGAAAGGTATTTGTTTTTCACGAGTGTGAGAGTAGATAACACTAACAAGATGTTTTTAATAAGGGAATGTGGTTTGATGGACACTTTCCCCTCTCTGTTTTTAGATCCTCAAGAAGATCTATGGGGAAGGTCAGGACTCCATGCAGTATGTGACCAGCGTTCTGAACGAGTGGGGCCAGTTCCTGACAACAGTGGTGATGGCAGCGGAGTCTGAAGTCTGCTACAGACGCATGGCCAAAGCGATGATGTCTGGTGCTCGGAGACGAGTTTCTGCACATCTTCAGGCAATCTCTTGTTCAAGTAGCTCTTCTTTGTACAATGGCGCAGACCCTGAGAAAACAATGTATTGGTTTCTTCCAGATTATGAAGCATAATTTAACGTTGACACCAGAGTTGTGTGTTCCTGTTTACCATGTGCTTGACGCCTCTGAACGTGCACATTTGGGAAATTCAGGATCGTCATGAGTGTGAACATTTTGCATGTGGGGATGTCCATTTTGCCACTTTCTCAGAACCGGTCTTAGATGTTGATGCAACCCAGTTTATGTGGTTTTGTATGGCTGCGGCCCATTTTTTCACCACCTGGCACTCTTCCTCTTTTGACAACTTTTATGGATACACCTATAACATACAAATATACATTTATATTAGATTAACACATATACAGGTAATTTTACAGGTAAGAAAAAAATTAATTCCAAACCTTACTCCAGATGCCAGACATCGTAGTATTGGATTACAGTAGAAATGTTTGTCACACACACAGCACTGGTGTCCAGGCACCTGATGTGGGAAAGCACAGATGCTATCATTATCAACCTTACACTACAGACATGTGTCAAGTGACCAATGTTTAGGATTATGTCATTTCATTATTATTAATATTATTTTATTATTATTATAATTATATAGTATGTCCAAGCAATTTATCTTAAGAATACATTTAAGTTTGTCCATATGAGTGATTCACTGTTTTGTATGGTTTGTATGCATGTGGTTATGTGTTGTTGTACTTACCTCCATGTCTCTGGGATTCAGATGATGAATAAAAAGATTAAAAGAAAAGTAGGTTCCTCAGTTCTTATACAGAAGATCTCTAAAACAAAACAAACAAAACACTAGCTGAAATGCTCTTTCCTGTTATGTTCATATAACAACATCAATATAGCCTAATGCATTGCTGTATTTATTTTTTAGTAAACATTGATACATATAATATACAGTGCAATTATAGCTCGAGTTTTACTTTGTTATTACTAATTACGTAATAGATAATACAATTTAATGATATACTATCTTAACTAGATCCTGTTTGATGTGTGGAATCTGAGTGCCCTTATTTCCTCCCTTCTTATATTCTGCTGTAAAGTGCAATGATGACACTGAAATGTTCGTACTTTGAGACGAACAAAGGATTATCTTTTATAATCCTTATATTATCTCATTTTATGTACTGTATATTACAGCAGAATGTTGCAGACTATTTTCAAACAGAAACATCACAGAACAATTGATAACACACATATTGCTCACAGGGATATCTATGGTTTTACTCATGTAAGACTTCATTGCAAGCACATAGCGTAATGGTGCGTTCAGACCAAACGCGATTTCTGCGGCCAAATCGCGTATATCGCGCGGCTTGAGCCGCTTGTGACAAATTGTGGCAGCCGCTGTCACAGAGAAACTTGGCCGCGCGGCCAGGACACTAGAGGGCAGCCGCTGTCACAGAGCGTTGAGAGCGTCTAGGGGCGGGGCTTGTCTCTTTTGCCTGTAGCTTCCCAAAATGGATGTCAGCGAAGGAGTTGCTTGGCTCTATCTAATAAATAAAGCCAGACAGCGTCGTCAAAGGGCGAATCGACGACGTGTCTGGATTCACCAGATAGTCCGTAGACGGTTGGAGTTTGGTGAGTTTCACCATTTGCTCCGGGAGCTGCGCTCGGATGAGGGTCGCTTTCAGCGGTACTTTCGTCTCTCCCTGGCCCAGTTTGACGACCTATTGACCCGCATTGGCGCAAGGATCACCTACCAGGACACCAACTACAGGCGCTCTATTACAGCTGAAGAGCGCCTGTCCATCTGTCTGCGGTTAGTGTTTTTTACCCCATTCGGAATTCCTAAAATACTTACAAAGTTTGTCATTTTTCAATCACAATCCACAATGTAATAGCTCAGAAAACAGTATTATGCAACAATTTGGTGTCTATGATTACTGTCTATGATGTTTACTGTCTACTAGTTTAACGTATTTTATGCTACACAAGTTTTGTCACGTGATTTTTATGAATGTAATTGTGATAAATATGTTCATATCATTTTGTAATTGCAGGTTTCTTGCCACTGGGGACTCCTACAGGACCATAGCGGGGAGCTTCAGAGTGGGCATATCCACCATCTCCATGCTCATCCCAGATGTGGTGGCAGCCATCTGGGACTGCCTCGTGGAGGAGTTCATGGCTGTGCCTGGAGCAGAGGAGTGGAGGTCCATAGCGCAGGACTTTGAGGTCCGATGGAACTTCCCTCTGTGCTGTGGGGCCATTGATGGGAAGCATGTGGCTGTGAAGGCACCCCCCAACTCTGGGTCCATGTTCTTTAATTACAAGGGGCACCATTCCCTTGTGCTCCTGGCTGTAGTGGATGCCCAGTACAGGTTCAGGGTCATTGATGTGGGAGGGTACGGCAGATCCAGCGATGGAGGCATCATGGCCAACTCTGCCTTTGGTGAGGCTCTGCGCGAGGGCACACTCGACCTGCCTCCTGACCAGTGCATACCTGGAGCTGACCACAGAGGACCCCAGCCCCATGTGTTCGTGGCAGATGAGGCCTTTCCACTGCGCCGCAATTTAATGCGCCCTTTCCTGGACGTGGTGGCCTTACCCCAGAGCAGCGCACCTTCAACTACCGCCTCTCCCGGGCCCGGTTAGTGGTGGAGGATGCATTTGGGATTTGGTCTGCGCAGTGGAGAGTGTTTCGCCGTCACCTGGAAGTCTCCCCAGAAGTTGTGGAGAAGTGTGTGAAGGCCATTGTGTCCTTCACAACTTCATGAGGATGGCTGGAGATGGCCAGGTTCCTGCACCGAGGGGAGCTGCTGCCGGTGAAGAACCACTTCCAGGCGTGCAGCGGATGGGCGCCAACAACGCGACCAGAGAAGCAGTGGACATAAGGAAAGTGTTCATGGCCCACTTCAGTGAGGAGGGAGCACTGCCGTGGCAGCCCACAGAGTAGTCATGTCCACCACAAGACTGACCCACAACGGCTCTTTTCAGAGCCACCCACAAAATACAAAGAGCCTAACTTCATTCCTAACATATAATGTGCTGAGCCTCTTGAATATGAAATTCTTTACATTTTTTCTGGCCATAGTCCAAACCCATATTGATTTGCACTATTCTATTCACCTGTATACCTTCTGTTTCTAGGTAATGACTGCCAGACTCCACTGCGACTCCACTCCAACTTCAGGTTAATCATATGCACATTCAAGCTTTTCCGTAATTACAAGGTTGTTAAAACAGTAAAAGGTGAAATGAATAAAAAATACTGCCAACTAATGTATTGCTCTTTAAGTGTTAGTTATTTCATCTTCTATAAAACCCAGTCAGCTCTTATAAAAGTAAATGTACAAATATAGAATAGCATTTTCTGTCAGTATTATATGAAAGGTAGTAATGGTTTGCTTGAAGTAGAACACATGAGGTTTGAAAAATATTTTCTTTATAAAAAAAGGAACAAACAATGAACAATAAATTAAATGTACATATAAACAAATGAAAAGGAGCTTGCTTGGAGGAGGTGCGGTGGAAGAGGAAAGGGACACATGTCTGTTTCCTCCCCTGCAAAAGGTGTCACCTTAGGTCAAAAAACTGTCTGTTCTGGCCAATGGTTCCAAATTAAGCAGAACGGTGCTGCTTTCATATAGAAGTTGATACATTTTGAATTTAACAAATTCTCTTGACTCTGGTGCCACCCTTTGCAGGAGAGGAACGAGAGAGAGCAGGAACTGATGTTCTTCTGAGTTGTGGGGCGGTGCGGCTGCTTTGGTCCGTAGAGTCTCCAGCAGCTCCCGCTCCCACTCTGAAGGCGGCTCTACGGACGTGGGCCTCTTCCGAGCCCTCTTCCTTGGTGGGCCTTCAAAGAACACAGGGCAATCACAGTGTTAAAAAGTGGAACATGTATTTCAAAAAAGCAAAATGAAGAGAGCAAATAATATCTGTATTAAAGCCAGAGTGTGTAGACATAGTTAAACACATGTAAAACACTTTTAAGTTGTGTGTTTGTGTTACAATTAACTTGAACATTGCAGTTATCAATGAAATTACTCACACAAGCACAAATTTCGACAGTTACAAACTAATATCTCTGAAGTGTATTTCGCAATGAAATTTGAAATTGGCTGTTAAAAAAGTAATACTCTATTGTCTGCATTAAACAGGATAGCTGCCATCTTGTGGCAACCTTTGCATGTATTTGTTCAGTACTTTTATAGCATAAGGTATTTCAGTAGTATGTTTTTATCGAAGAAAGAGGGAAGATGTGTTGTATCAGACCAAAGCTTCTTTCCACCTGTAGTGCCTTGACATCTTGTCGTTTCTCTGTAAATTTGTCGTCTACACTGATGTAACAGCCCTTGGGTAATTTTGGCATATTATGCAGTAACATTTTGTTTATATGAACAGTCCTGTAATAAGAATAAAAATAAAACAATGATTAAAAAAAGCCACACCTGTAGGTGCAGAAGCAGGGGAAGGTCCAGCCCTCACAGAAGAAGAACCGGCTGAGGAAGCAGCAGCAGCAGCAGCAGGCAGCTCAGGCCAAGATGTCTCACCTTGTGTGGTGGTGGCAGTATCTGCACCAGAAGAAAACAAGAAATACAATTATTTCATATCATGTGTACATTGCGCTTATGACATTTATATGTACATAATAATGTACATTATTATGTACATTTAAATGATTTGTTCATATGAAAGGGAAAAGTGAAATTTAACACAACACATGATCAAGATCTATCCTGGTTTGAAAATAGCCAATGCCTATTTTCACCTGGCCATGATGTTAAGAAAGCATTAAAAGAAATGCATACACAGAAAGCAATATAAATGTAAAAGTCAGCAAAATGTGGGTAATAAAAAGGAAAGAAATGTATTTTTTCCAACTGTTCGAGGTCTCTGTTTGCTGCATGACACCGACCTTCAGCACCTGACAGCCCTGCTGCTGCTGCTTCCTCTGGCTCTTCTTCTGGGTGGTTGTACCCTGTGGTCTGCTCCTCCTCGGCCCTTCGCCTTGGCATGTTCCCGGAGCTGTCACGGGGAGTGATGTAGGGCTCGAGGAAGGACATGACCACAAGGTACTTCCACGTCTGGCCTTTCCCTGCTTCTGCACCACTCTTCTTCACCTTTTCTTTCTCCTTCCTGCTCTCCTTAGCATATGTGTCCCTCAGGTTCTTCCACCGCTTTTTGCAAACTTCCACTGAATAAACACATCAACTCGTAAGCGGGAAAGTAGTAGTTTTTTTCGCGGGGAAATATTTACTGTGAAAAGTTAAAATAACTTACCCGAGACACCAACCACCTCGCTAACCCTCCTCCAAGCAAGCTCCTTTTTATTTCGGTCCCGGTAGCTGTGGTCTGCAGTGTTGTATAGCTCAGAATGAGCACCGACCTGAGCTATTAGCGTGTCCTCCATGATCTACTGTCATCTACCAGTGTTTTCCCGGTAGTGAAATGCGTCACTACGTCACTGGAGGAGAAAGCTCCTGATTGGTCGGCACACGCGAATTCTCCCAAAAAGTTCAACATTGTTCAACTCTAGCGGCGGCCGCGTTGGAGGCACGAATCGCGCGAAACGCGCGTCAAAACGCTTGACATCTCAAAACACGCCGCGCGAATCGCGCGAAACGCTCGAATTCGCGCCGCTCTGGCCGCGCGAATCGCGCCGCGTGATCTCTCGCCGCTCCTTGGCGCGCGTCCCCCATGTTGTGTCAATGTAGACCCGCCGCTTTGGCCGCAGAAATCGCGTTTGGTCTGAACGCACCATTACCCGGAGCTAGGCTAATGCTAACGCTGTCACTGTCATGTCCGTACCGCTGCAGATCTAGAGACGGACTTTAACACAGTCCACAGACACAGGTGAGACAAGCGTCTTACCTGCTGCTTCTGAAGAAAACCCCTGAAAAGAGATACAAATAATCCAAAGAAGTGGCGGAAAGTAGCGGATTAGTCACAACCATAGTCACAACAGCGGAGTTGCGGCGGCCATCTTGTACGCCTCAGACTGCTCCGTGATTGGTGGGTTGGGTCGCTCAACTTTCTGAAACTCGCTCAACCATTGGTCTGTTGAGCACTCCACTCGTTCAACCATTGGCCGGAGCAGGGACTTGGTCAGTTGAGCAGCCTTTAACTGCTCATGACCCCCCACAAGTACCTATCCTGGGATCGCTCAACCTTAGGATCAGCCTGATCTTAGTTGCGTCTCGAGGTTTGTGGTTCGAGCCCACGTCTGCCAATTTTATTTATGTAGATTTCAATCATTTATTATTGATTATCCTCGTAATTTAGTTTACATTTGTGTTTTGCAATGAAATAGACTTTAATCATTTCTCTAGAATCATGGCATGAATTTTTCAAAGCACCCCCTCCAGAGTTCTCACCTCTGGGACACTCCAGGTCCTAGGCTCTTGCCCCATCCTCACGAGCTGTAAGTCACCTTTTGACCTGTGTGTGAGGCCTTTGAGATAAGCCTCTGGATCTACAAAGGCTCACACTTTGTGCAGCTCCCCCCCATAACTGTCTTATCAATGTGTCATTCTGTAGTCAGATCCCACTTCTCCCCATTCGTATTCTCTCATAGAATATTATGGATAACTTCACATATTTTTCAAACAAAATCTCTGAAATGATGATTAATTACAATTTAATGTTTTACTGTACCACCTCTCCCGGACTGACAAGCTGATCCGTAAAGCTGGACAGGTTATTAGCTGTCAGCTGGAGACATTTACAACAGGAGAGACTGCTCTCCATCATGGACAATTCAACACATCCACTGCACCAGACTATAGAGGGGCACAGGAGCCTGCAGCTGTGGACCATAGAGGGGCACAGGAGCCTGCAGCTGTGGACCATAGAGAGGCACAGGAGCCTGCAGCTGTGGACCATAGAGGGGCACAGGAGCCTGCAGCTGTGGACCATAGAGAGGCACAGGAGCCTGCAGCTGTGGACCATAGAGGGGCACAGGAGCCTGCAACTGTGGACCATAGAGGGGCACAGGAGCCTGCAGCTGTGGACCATAGAGAGGCACAGGAGCCTGCAGCTGTGGACCATAGAGGGGCACAGGAGCCTGCAACTGTGGACCATAGAGGGGCACAGGAGCCTGCAGCTGTGGACCATAGAGGGGCACAGGAGCTCTGCTGCTGTGGACCATAGAGGGGCACAGGAGCCTGCAACTGTGGACCATAGAGGGGCACAGGAGCCTGCAGCTGTGGACCATAGAGGGGCACAGGAGCTCCGCTGCCACAGTGAGCGGTACAAGAGCACGTTCATGCCACACTCCATCCTGTTGTTCAACAAGTCACCGCTCTGTGACACATTCATCTAAACAGATTTCAAGTTTATCTGTTTGAAGTCTGTTTAGATAATATTGTATAAGAACAGATGTGTAGTATTCTATTGTTTCTGTATTTTATACTGTAAATGTGTACATATTCAGATATGTACAGTATATTCCTGAGCACCTATATCCAGATAATTCTATTCTTACAGTATTTTCTTATTATTCTTATTTTCAGATCGTTACTCTTGTTATTTTCATTGTTTTTATCGTGGAATACTATTGTGGAACACACTCCATTCAAAGATGTTCACATATCTGCCTAAGACTTGGTTAAATACAAACTAAACCTGTGTCCATTTGTAAATAGTGCACTCTAAGAAATGAAACATAGGGGTTGTCAAATATAATTCATACTTTTCTTTTCAATGTAGTTACAATTGTTAATTTTGGGGTTGTAATTAATAACGTTTAATTGGATTTAATTAAGTTCAAACATTGTTATCGCTATGTGATCGAACTATTTTGAATGTCTTGAACATCTTTAATTAAATCCAAAGCGCCTTTTCCACACCCCCTCTGAGCATGCGCAGAGGTTCACGCATGCGCTGTCTCCAGTGTCCAGCATCCACTGCCATCGAGTTCTTGCCATGCGCAGTCATGAGTAACATCATCATCGTTTAGTTTTGGGTAATTACTTCTTTATTATTATCAAATATTAACTGAGTGGTACTTTGGGATAATATGTTGGGTATTTCATACGGAAATACTGTCCGTAAATATATGTGTTTTGTCATCTTTTGTCACAGTTGTTAGCTATCTTAAAATTCTTTTTATGTTGTTCCCAGAGATAATAATGTATTTTGTGGCAGTATATGACAATCTGTATTGTTATGAAACAATAATTTGACTATTAGACGTTATTGTACTTTCCCCAACTGCGTGTTAAATAGTAAAATAGCATTTGAAAGCTATGAAGCACGGCGATCCGCAGCGTATGCGCCGCGGTCTGTCAACTTCATGTATACTTTTTGCTAGTATGGGTTTTATTATCCTTTTAGCTCTAGTTAGCTCCGTTAGTGGCGAAGGAGATGGCTATGCTAAATGCCAAATACACTGGGGACTTACAATCACTATTGATTGAGTACATTTTGTGTGGATTGCTGTTGAGCCTGGTGTGTTTATATTTTCTCTCCAGGTTGCCATCTGTGAGGTGTAACTGCTGTGCCCTAAAACTCCATCCTAAAGGTAAATTATTATTTTTGGCTTTTGTTGTATTTTCTCTTTCTAATCTTCTTATAAGATCTCTCAGGTTGTGAAGGTGGAGTTGTAAGCTCTGTTCTGAAAGTATATAACTGAAAGGTACTAAAACGTGAATGCATCCTTGATGATCTTCCTGAATGAGAATCCTCAAAACCTCATCAAAGAGTACATGGTAAGTTACACTGAAATCGGTTATACAGGTGTATACAGGTGTAAACATGCCAAGATGACTCAATCAGCTGTGATCGCTACAACCAACAGTTTATCTTGTGTGTATGAAAATGGTCTTGAGTGACATCACTTTGGCTGCATGTGTCTTGGTCAAATGTGTGAAAAAAAACCTATTCACTGACTTTTGTGATCTAAACAACTCATGGATTTGTTGGGCAATTATTATATCAATATATTTTCTATTTTTCCCCTTCATAAAATCTTCTTGTAAAATGAACATGTTATCTTTTGCATAATGTGACAACACTTGTTTATGGTATATTTGAAAACCAACCAATACTTCTTATTGCCGTTCACAATCACAGCTGTCAACGTGTAATGGATTTAAAATATATTTGTGTTCTTTCAGGATGTCTATGTCATGAAGAATGAGGAACTCGAGCAGATTGACGTTTATGAAGTCACCTGTGAAGGCGCACAACCTGGTGACTCCCTTGAAGATGAACGTGATTGAAAGATGCTCCAGGTGCTCCGGTGCTGCTGGATCTTGGAGATGTGGTGTGATGTGCATTGTGCACTAATTTACTGCCTCAATCTGAGTTATCCAAGAACACTCCGCTGCACATTTGAGTTCATCCAGAAAGTGCTTTTGGGACTGGATGATAAAAACTTTCAAAAAAAACACAAGTGCTGAAGAACAGGAGCTGCTCTTGAGTCCACAGGAGTTTAACGTCCTCCTGGAGAGTAATAAAGCCTCCATTGAGAGAGTTCAACAGAGAATGTTACATTCTCAATTATCTTCATAAACAAAAGTTGGACTGTACAGTTTGTAGGTCACCTGTATTTGTGAGAAAATCATTTTTGTTTAATGCTCTCTGAAAAGTATTTTCACAATCTGCTGTCTGCAGTTATTTGGTTTTGTCTGAGAAAAAAAGACTATTCACAAATGGGCACAAAGTCGCCCAGTTTTTGTTTAATCTAACTTGTTCCAAAGTTTGTGAATGCACTATTTTTCAATGTTTTGTTCATGTAATATGCAGTGATTTGTGTTTAAATGTGACACTTTTGAATGTTCTAAATATTTGAAATAAATAACTTCCTTAAATGCATGTTTATGTTTATTCCTTGTTTGTGCTGCAAAGGTTCTGCAAATGTTGAGCAGTAGAAACATTGTGTGTCGTATGAACTCTGCAGATCAACAGCAGATCGACAAATGTATAAGATCTTTGTCCTGCACTTGATGTAATCCATTTGTCACTTTGTTGAAAGAGAAAGAATGTTTTTGATTTTTAATACAACAGCTTTATGTACACTTTTTCAAAGGAGTTTTGCCTCGTTAAAAATAAAGTTGTTAATGCAACATAATTGTGTATTTGTATCTGCTCAGTCATAGATGTTTCCAGGTTATTGAATGTTTAATTGTTAATGTCTCTGTGTGAAAGTAAAGGTTCTTCAGCTGTCTATTGTCTAGAGAGGTTCTTTCATCTCACATCCTAGAGCTGGGATCTATAAGAGGAGATCCTCGAGGACGTGAGATGAAAGATCCAACCTCTGATTAGACTAAAGACGACAAGTGCAATTTTATTTACATTTAACACTACACTAGTTTTGATTACACATTAATATTAACATTTATTTAAAAAATAAACAATGATGTTAATTAAATCATAACTAAAAGTGTTAATTAAATCCAACATAACATTGTCAATAACCATTTAAAAGCATTCAGTAGAATGTAATCACGCAGAGCTGTTGCATTTAAATAACAATGTTACATCTGATATAAGGGACCACAGATAACAACAAAGTTATTTCACAATTAATTGACTGAGTTTTATGGAAAAGTTTGCCATAACTGTATCAATTAAATCCAACACCTTATTTCTTAGAGTGTGTTTGCAAAGGAGTGAGTGATTCACCTTTTTACCTTTTTAAAGTGCATTTTTAGAACGTAGGAATTATATTAACTTTTATAGTAGTGTTAGATTTCATAACACTGAGGATTAGATAGATTTGGCCTACGTGCAGGACAACTGCAAGACTACACAAGGACTCTGATGCATCCATGTTATGACTATGATATACTCGTGATTCTAATGTCTTTCGATGTGTGACGTGACAATGACTATATAAACTGTGTACTGCCTTTATTCTGTCTGAGAGAAAGAAACATCAGAAACCACTGGAACTTGAGAGAAACTTAAATAAACTTCCAGAGTTTGGCGCACCACGATCCGTCTCTGTCTGATTCATTCCTGACAACACTTTGAAGCAACTTTTGTTGAAGTTAAACTCATAATTCTACCAATGTGCAGAAGCCTGTACTTTTCCACTACTTGTTTTGGTTAACTTCAAGGTTGAAGCTACAAGCACACCGTGGCAGCTGCTGATTGGAGGTCTCTGTTTCTCCTGAGTTTATTATCACTTTCTGTAACATCCCTTGTTCGTTTGCTGTCTCTAGCATTGACAATAAAACATGTCTTCTGTCTGAATTAAAGACACGATGCCAGACTTTGGCTGATTCCTAACAGTAGTAAAGCCCAACCAGGGACAGGAGTTGTGAATTAGCATCTATAAACTTTATTCATCCCATTAGCTGCAAGCTTTGTTTATGACTCTGTCTGCATTGTCCCTGTCAAATAAATACATTAATATTGAAAGAGCATCGAGACTTCATTTTGAAAATGTAATAAATATCAGGCAAATCCAAAGCACATAATACATTGTATAGCTTTAAAACACAAATCAGAGAATAATACTTTAAGCACAAGCACAATGATAAAAACACAGAACCATTGGTCCATAAGGAGTAGACACAAATGTCATACATGTTTTAGAATGTTAAGTGCCCTGGATCATCACAGTCCTTCTTGTTAGACACTAACTGTCCAACAGACTCCTGCATTAGAGGAAAAACTCTAAAACCCAGTGGGAGAAAAGTAAGAAACCTTGGCCACGTGGAGCGGGACTCTGGCTGCAGAACGAGGACTGAGGCAGCTCCCAGGCGGGGAGGGGTTGCAGCCTACGAGCCGGGGAGGACAGTCCGCAGGTGCAAATGGTCCCGTCATCACACCATGAAACAGACAAAGGGACACAACATTTCAGTACATTACACAGACAGTACATTACAATAAATAACATAAGTGTCACATTCCGAAGGTGTCTCAGATTTGTGGCGTTGGTGAGCTGGGGCTGGGGAATGCATGTGCTGTGCTCAGGACACGCCAGGAGTTCCCAGATCCTGAAGGCCAGTGCGTTGGCCTCTGTAATAATATACATTTAAATGTTGTACAGTGTTTTTTTACCAGGTGTTGGCTTTGCTGTTGGCTTTTCTTTGTTGTACTTTGGTTTGGAAAATTTGAACAAAAACAGATACAATGTAAACAGGATTTGTAATACTGAATTATTACAAAGACTAACGGTATGAAAAGCCTCCAGCGATGATGTCTGGTGCTCGGAGACGAGTTTCTGCACATCTTCAGGCAATCTCTTGTTGAAGTAGCTCTTCTTTGTACAATGGGGCAGACCCTGAGAAAACAATGTATTGGTTTCTTCCAGGTTATGAAGCATAATTTAACGTTGACACCAGAGTTGTGTGTTCCTGTTTACCATGTGCTTGACTCCTCTGAACGTGCACATTTGGGAAATTCAGGATCGTCATGAGTGTGAACATTTTGCATGTGGGGATGTCTAAGACCGGTTCTCAGAACCGGTCTTAGATGTTGATGCAACCCAGTTTATGTGGTTTTGTATGGCTGCGGTCCATTTTTTCACCACCTGGCCCTCTTCCTCTTTTGACAACTTTTGTAGATACACCTATAAGATAAGATAAGATAAGAAGATAAGAATTCCTTTATTCGTCCCACAGTGGGGAAATTTCGATGTTGCAGCGCACAGACAGAACAGTAGTAAGAGCACACAGGGAGCACACACAATATATACAAATAAGTAGTAGCTATGTTTCTTAGCTAACATAACTAGCTGTAGGTCTCTATTGCACTTAACAGTTGCTGGTAGGATCAAAATGAATGTGCTTCCTAAATTCTCCTTTCTTTTCCAATGTGTTCCAGTCTTCATTCCAGCCTCCTTTTTCGCTAAGCTTGATGGAACTATTTCTGGCTTTATTTGGAATAACAAAACTCCAAGAATTTGTAAAACATACCTTCAGAGGCCTCAGGATGTTGGTGGGATGGCTTTGCCGAATTTCATGTCCTATTATTGGGCATCTAACATTCGTGTTCTGAGGTACTGGTTGCAGGTGGAATCTCTTAACGATGCTCCAGCCTGGCTGTGCTTGGAAGCCTCTTCCTGTGTCACATCATCTTTAGCTGCTTTTGTTTATGCTCCAAAGCAACTGCCTAGCTCAGAGTTTTCTAATATCACAATTGTTAAGATGACTTTGAAAATTTGGTTTCAGTTTAGACGTTTTTTCAAATGCAACCACTTTTCTTTAAAAGCCCCTATTGTGAAAAATGCATGTTTTAAGCCCTCTTCTTCCCTTAGAATTAAGTCATTCAATGACCTTTACATTGGTGGAATCTTTGCCTCCTTTGTGCAGCTATCATCTAAATTCAGTATCCCAAAGAATCATTTCTTTCGCTACTTACAAATTCGGAGTTATGTGAAGGAAAAAACTTATCAGTTCCCATCAAAACCTCCACATCATGACTTTGACGATCTGCTGTTTCCCCCTCCACCATCTAAGGGTATTATATCATGTCTGTATGACCGAATATATTCCTTTGAACTCTTCAATCTCCCCCATAAGAGCAGCATGGGAGCAAGAGATGGGATTTGTGATCCAGGATGATTCATGGCATAAAGTTCTCTCCCGTGTACAGTACATAGCTCTTCACTAGGGGCGACAGTAGCTCAGTTGGTAGAGCATTGGCCTTAAGGTCTGAAGGTCGTGGGTTCAATTCCCACCTCTACACCTTCTCCACCGACTCCCACTGATGACTGCTGTTGTCGTGTCCTTGGGCAAGACACTTAACCCCACTTTGCCCAAAGCCCCCACTGAAAGATCAAGGCTATGCTCACACTCAGAGAGCAGCCGTCCTCCTGTGGACTCACCACCTGCAGAGGATCAGTGAGGGGCTGGTGCTATGAGACTTGGGTGGCATCTCTGACTGCCACCCCCCTGACCCAGAAATGGATTAAAGGGTAGAAAATGGATGGATGGATAGTCCAGATTGTGACCGGTGCCACCAAACGCCTGCAAATCTGACTCACATGTTTTGGTCATGCTCATCACTTAGACATTTTTGGAGCTGTGTTTTCGCAACAATATCAAAGGTCGTACAGTCGCTGTACGGTGGCTGAGTGGATAGCACTCTCGCTTCTCAGCAAGAAGGCGGTATATAAATAAAGATTATTATATTATTATATTATTACTCTTGTCTTCCAGTTCTCCTCCCTCTCCAGCTTCTCGGACATGAGCGCGGCCCTTCGCCTTCTGTCTCCAGAGAACCGCACGGCTCGGCCCCTGGACAGCTTCAGGGCCTTCTCCAGGATCATGTGTGGTCATCCGGAGTCGGGCGAGCGCATCCCCTCCCTTAACTGGTACGAAGACAACGACATCAAGTCTTTCCTGGGCAAGAACGGTACCGATCAGAGCGACGCGGAGCAGGATGCCAACATGAGTGAGTCTCACGCTGTTTTTTTCAAGAATTCTACATTGCTAGCAGCTAACACAATATACAATGTAAAGTACTTAAAAGCCAAGGTGTGGATTGTAAAACAGACATGGAAATATTGCAAAGCTGTTTGAGCAAGGATGGGCTGCTCCTGATTGGTTGTTTGGTTGCTATGAAGTTGCTGTGAAAGAAGTTTGCTCCAGAGTGATATACAGTATGTAGGGACAAGCCTGCTCCTGATTGGTTCCTTGGTTGCTATGTAGTTGCTGTGACTGAAATAGACATTGTTGGCGGTTTGCTGTGGCTGCTGTGAAAGAAGTTTCTCCAAAGTAATATCAGCAGAGACAGCACTGATTTTTCTGTTTCATTGCTACAAGGTTTCTATGAGAGAATATAGCTCCAGAACAAGATTCACAGAGACAGGCCTCACTCTTGATTGGCTGTTTGGTTGCTGATCGGTTGCTATGAGAGTATCATCCACAGATTGTCGCCCATTGACCGTGTCAACGCACATCTACAACATAATTTGTGTCTTCAAATTGTGTTTCCAAACCCAGAGTGGACTGTGCCGTACAAATAAGTCCACCTTTCTTCTGTGTCCTCAGCCTCCTTCTGTAAGTCCATGATCCAGGGCCTGGAGTCCAACCCTCTGACCCGGATTGTGTGGAGGGGACTCAAACCTCTGCTCATCGGGAAACTGCTGTACGCTCCCAACAGCCCTGCAGTCCTACCGGTCATCAAGGAGGTAGGCTAAAGCTGGGGTACATAACTTTCAAACCACAACAATAGAATCCATGTCACTAGTTCTTGGTTCCAAACCAAAGAGAGATCAAAGAAAAACCAGAGAGAGACCAAAGAAAGACCAGAGAGAGAGAGACCAAAGAAAGAGACCAAAGAAAGACCAGAGAGAGACCAAAGAAAGACCAGAGAGAGACCAAAGAACGACCAGAGAGAAAGACCAAAGAGATCAGAGATAGACCAGAGAGAGAAAGACCAGTGAGAGTCTAGAGAGACCAGAGAGAATAGAGAAAGACCAATACATATTTACATTTTCGGACCCTTAAATCTGGGGTGCCCTTGAAAAACCGTAATTTTCCTCAGAAAACCCATACAGTTTATGGTTTGCAGATGAATAAGACGTTTGAGCAGCTGCAGATCCTCCAGGATCTGAACGAGGCCTGGCTAGAGCTGGGCCCTGAGGTCTGGGACTACATGGAGACCAGCGTGGAGGTGCGGCTGCTGCAGGTGAGCTCCGGAATCGCCCAGTCTCTCTCACAACATTTCTGGATATTGGTCATCTTCTCCTTATGGACCAATGAGATTCCTACTGTTGTGATGTAGGGCTATACAAAAATACATTTGATTTAATTGACTCTCCCTGTCCTATCTCTTTACTATCCTATCCTTACCCTATTCTATAATGTGTTGGTGTTGTTGCGGTCAGGACTTGCTAAGACGTCCTGAAGTGGCCGTGCTGGTGAACCTGCGGCTGGAGAACACATCGTGGACGGCCTCCAGGATTGCCCGCTTCCTGTCCCCCCCACAGACCCCCCCTCAGAGCCCCGGGGCAGAGCTCACCTGGAGGGACATCTACCACGACCTCAACCGCACCATCAGCACCCTGGCACAGGTCACCGAGGTGGGGCATGTTAGAGATCGGGTCCTGGGTTCAATCCCAGCTCCAGACTCGGCTATTTGGAACAGGTTTCCTATTTTCCGTCACAATCAAACTAAATACTTTTCATCTTAATTTATTATTTATGTTGTATTTATATGTTTATCCTGTTGTCTGAAATGATGTTTGATTATAACTAATGACTTTCAGCATTTATGGTAGTGTTAATATGGCTACCGTCTATTGTACCTAATTTTTAAAATGAAGAAAAAGCCATAGAGTGCATTTTTTTCTGATATTTGAACCTATTAGGTAAATATAAAGTGTTAATTTAAAACTATAAATCATTGGCCAATCCTTTTAATTTTGACCAAGTTTTGGTTCAGTTCGACACAAAGTAACGGAACTAGATTAGTACAGAAAATTCACTCGGAAATAATCTAAAAACCTAGGTTAAATTAATGTAACTCATGTCAAAATACCTTCATAATGTTAAAAATATCCACAGATTTACTCTTGGCCACTGGGGAGCAGTTCTTTTTTTAATCCGGCCTCCAACCAAAATAAGTTGTCCTTGCTCAATGAAGCCCAACGGGACAAAGTTTTGCTCCAATGTTTAGCTTATGTTCAAATCAGCCTCTTGCGCATCAAGGCTCACACTATAGTCACACTCAGTCCACTCCCAGTGGCCTACAGTCAGACTCATTATGGTCGGGGGCCAAAATTGAAAAGATAGAAGCTGGTTAGAGCTGGTTGTTAATATTTACAGTCTATAGTTAGAGCCAGAAGTATAAAAGTGGATTCAAGGTTTTTGACAAATTTGATATTTTGGATTCAACAATAAATGGGCCAAATATCAATATGTTTTGTGGTGGAAGACCGATTGCTACAAAAATATATAATAAGCAACTTTATTATATGACTTGGACCGTACGCACGCTCTGATTGGCTGATTACCGGTCGGATATTTTCCCATCTTGGACCGTTACCATGACAATTGGTCCGAACAGCGCGTATCACATTTGATATCTTTCCTCGGACCGTTACAATCTGTCCGCAGCGCGTATCACACAAAACCAAGTCGGACATGAAGATACTTCACAAATATCTCAAAAGCATTGGTAAAGACACGGACGAGAGTCATATAATAAAACATTTATTAACCTTGCTTGCTCGGTCTGTACAGAGAAATATCAGACCTTGGCCTTTTTGCACAGACCCATACAGACCTCGCGCGCGGTTAATAAGCCGTTATTATTATATGACTTGGACCATACGCGCGCTCTGATTGGCTGATTTGCGGTCTGATATTTTCCCATCTCGGACCGTTACCATGACAATTGGTCCGCAGCGCGTATCACATTTGATATCTTTCCTCGGACCGCGGTAAAGTGGCCCGCATCTTTCAGCTCTATGAATAAGCGGCCCGCATCGGGGAAAATACGGTGCGCATTTCTTTGAGAACTTACGGTAACAGCAGAACATCCTTTCGGAGTCACCCATTTTTATCGAACAGAAAGCGCGCTGGGGTCTGGGAGACACGTTTTTGTGATTAAAACCTTATAGAGATGCCATCCAGTACACATGCACCAGCCCCCTACGATTCCTCCTGCAGATTGTGAGTCCTCAGGAGGATAGCCACTCTATTGTTTACATATATAAAGTACACAATTTGGTCCGCTAGTGCAATTTTCAAGTATTGTAACTATTTACTGGAATAAGGTGTGCGACTAATTTCACTTGACTCATGACCTTATTATTGCCCTCTACCACTGTACCAAAGACCAGAAACTTTTACAGTAGAAATTTGGAGAAATATGGAGTTAAAGTAGCCATTTTGGTCCAAAATAGCCTAAAAATGGTCAAAACATGTCACTTTTGATCTACTGTAACTTTTTACTGTAAAAAGGTGTGCGACTGATTTCACTGGATTCATGACCTCATGATTGCCCTCTACCACTGTACCAAAGACCAAAAACTTTTACTGTAGAAATATTGATTTTAAAGTAGCCATTTTGGTCCAAAATAGCCTAAAAATGGTCAAAACATGTCACATTTGATCTACTTTAACTTTTTACTGTAAAAGGGGGGTACTTTGACTAATTATTTCTCAAAATTTCCACAATAAAAGTTACAGTTACCATTACAATCAGTCCGCAGCGCGTATCACACTAAAAACACGATAAGGAAAACCAAGTCGGACATGAACACACTTCACAAATATCTCAAAAGCATTGGTAGAGACACAGACGAGAGGCATATAATAAAACATGTATTAACCTCGCTTGCTCGGTTAATAAGCCCTTAATAACGGACTTCCGGTTCTGCCAGCGAGAGGTATGGCAACTTGATTTTGGAGCTCCCGACGGTTTCATTTCGAAAACTCCCAAAAGGTGTTTTTTTTACATTCACGGGTGATATTTGAAAGATGGAAAAAGGAGTGAAGACAAGAAGCAAAACAATGACGAGTATAAACGAAGACAACATCGACAAAGACCATGAAAGCTGCTCTCCGGGTCTGGGTCTGGGTCTAGTCCACGAGCAGGAGGGTGCACCTGAGCCGTCTCTTACACACATCCTGAACCAGCTCCGTGATTTCAGGAGAGACCGTAATGAACAATATGCGGACATTAAAAACGAAATTACAAGAGTTCATGAAAGGGTGGACGAAGCAGAAGAAAGGATAGAGGAGGTCGAATCCGTGCTACAAACTGCGTCAATGCTAATAAAGAAGCTAGCAGCCGCCATGCTAACCTGAGGCTAATGGACCGAGGAGGTCGCGCACGAAGAGAATCTCGTATTTATGGGATCTCAGAGGACAAGGAGGGAAAGAATAAAATCTTATTCTTAGAGTATTTATTGAAAAAGGTGTTTGACTTTCCCGAAGGTCAGTTACTCGGAATCGAAAGAGCCTTGACTGCTCAAACAGCAGCTCGCAAGTTAAGCCACGGTCTATGGTGGTGAAGTGTGGACGCTTTATCAGGCGAGCATGGCAGAAGAAGGAGGTGTTCTGTGACAATGTGCGTTTCTTTGACGACCACGACTTTCCAATTGAGGTGCTTAAAAAACGTAATGAATATGGTGAAGCTAAAAGAGTGCTGAATGAAAAGCGCATTAAGTTCCAGACTCCCTCTCCAGCGAAGATGCGCGTCTTCTGTAGTGACGCAGCAGAAGCAACCAGGGACATGGCAGCTCGGGGGCTACCGTCAATGTTGTGAAGTCCGTGACCACCCTGGACCGCAAAGAGATTCGGCTGCTATCAACCTGGCGGCCCGCAGGTCGAGGCGGACACCCAGAGCTGAGAGCAGCGACAGGACCGAGTCAAGGAAAAACTCCAGGAGTACAGAAGGCGCACTGACATGGAAGACTGACTGAGACCAGCTGAGTGCCTGATGTCTGCGTGTATTAAACATAAATGTCATGGCTATTGAAGTAAGGTGACTGTATAGAATAAATGAACATAATAATATATATTCTGAAAATCAATATACCATTGCAGTTTACCACCCTATTCCTGAACTATTTGGACAACCAGACTAGATGTAAAAACAAATATCTATTTTCTATCATGACCTCTGTTGCTAAAAAGGCTATTACAAGGCGATGGCTGCTCCCCGAGCCCCCCACTGTGGCAGAGTGGAGGAGTATTGTAGGTGAGGTTTACCAAATGGAAGCAATAACTTTTTCTATTTGTCTAAGTAAACAAACTTTTATTCGATTATGGTCTGAATGGGTCAGATACATAAAGCCATTACAACCAGATTTTGTGGAGGTTCAAAATAATTGATAGATGTCCCTTTTACTCTGTGATGTGGAATATGCTTTGAATTGTATATTATTTTACGATACCTACCAAATGTGTATTTTTATTTTATTCTGATTTTATTCTATCTCTCCCTTCCTGTAAATAGTTACCTTTTTTATTTAGATGTGAAAAAAAAATAAGATTATGGATTACAATGCAAGTCTGAAGAATTTTAAAACTGTCATTTTTAACTGTAACTCACTATCTGAAAAGAAAGAAAAAAAAGTAACTCCTATTTCCATTTTAGTGAACATTTTAGAGCAGATATAATTATATGGTTTTCCTGAGACAATAGTAAGTATAACAGTATAACAGTTCATAGTAGTTCTTTAAAATCATTGCTGCAAGATACAGCCCTAAAGATGAGTTTGACATGCCTGGTCTACAGCTTTAACCTGTGCTTTTTTACATCAGTGCTTCTCCATGGATAAGCTGGAGGGCCTGGAGAGCGAGGGCCAGCTGGTGCAGAGGGCTCTGGAGCTGCTGGAGGACAGGCAGTTCTGGGCCGGGGTGGTGTTCCTTCTGCCTAACAGCTCATCCCCTGAGCTGCCTCCACACGTCCAGTACAAGATCCGCATGAACATCGACGACGTGACGCGCACCAACAAGATCAAGGACAGGTACTGGGAAGGGGAGGAGCAGAAGGGACTGAGGAAAATCAAAAACATATGTTGATTTTTGAAGATTTGAAGACACAAGTCTGGCTTTTCCTGTGTTCTTAAATGCATCACTGCCTGTTGTCTCATAAGTATTCAATGTTCTTGGATACATTCACAGGTTTACATAAGAGGAGGGGGAGGAACTGTTTGTAAAGCACTCAATGGAACAATTATCTTTGGTCACAGAGGTGAAACACATCAGGGCGGGGTAGACAATCAACGGGAACACGGGAAGACAGAAAGAGAGAGACTAGAGAGAACTTATTTCAAAATAAAACAAAGTACAAAAATAAAATCTTTTTAGTAAGAGGGTCTTAGTTACCAGACTTTTCCAGGGGCCAACAATATGGAGTGTATGACTTTGTATCTATCATTGGACTGTTCTGAGTTCCATTATGAACAGTCCTAGAACTTGGGTCGCCAACCTATGGCTCGGGAGCTACCTGTAGCTCGCCATCCCCTTTCACAATTCAAGAATTTAACACATAATCCTGAATGATACATCTACTTGTCTTTGTACATTCTGTGTACTCCACTTAATGTCTGTGTGCGTCTTTTTATGTGTCTGTCTGTTTGTGTGTGTGGTTCAGGTTCTGGGATCCCGGACCGGCCGCAGACCCCTTCAGTGACATGCGGTACGTCTGGGGCGGCTTCGTGTACGTGCAGGACCTGGTGGAGCGTGCAGTCACCACAGTCCTGACTGGAGCCTCTCAGACCATCGGCCTCTACGTGCAGCAGATGCCCTACCCCTGCTACGTGGATGACGTGTGAGTGATGGCTGATGCTAACCCGCTAGCTCAAGAAGCTCAACTAGTCGTATCACAGCCGACCCCTCTCACTCTGCACATAGACTGTTCCAACCTCTCCCCTCGGGCAGGAGGCTACGGTCCATCAGGACCAGATCCTCCCGCCATAAGAACAGTTTATTTCCCTCCCTTGAACACTTTATAACCTTGTCCTCCGCCCTTTATAAAGCCAGATTACTGCACTGCTTAATGTACATTGTATAATGTGTGAACCAAGTGCACTTGTGTATATAGTAATAATCATAAAAACTTTACTTTTAACTCCTATCTTAGAATAAGCTATACTTTAGAGATGTTTAGAAATGTATTATTATGCTTTATTCTTTCTCTACTGTTGACTTGATTGCACGGAGAGCCAAAGCAATTTCCTAGTCTGTGACTTCCTGTTACTTACATGGCAATAAAAATGATTCTGATTCTGATTGTATACATCTATGTTAGCAGCATATATATGAATCTACTGGTCTTTGAATTTGATTGTGCTCTGTGTGTTTCACCAGGTTTCTGCGCGTGCTGAACCGCTCTCTGCCCCTCTTCATGACGCTGGCCTGGATCTACTCCGTGGCCATGATCATCAAAGGCGTGGTGTACGAGAAGGAGGCGCGGCTGAAGGAGACCATGCGCATCATGGGCCTGAGCTCCGGGACTCTGTGGCTCAGCTGGTTCATCTCCTCCCTGGTTCCCTTCCTGGTGTCCGCGGCGCTGCTCATCGCTCTGCTCAAGGTACGGGACGGGAGGAGCTCAGAGTAAAGCCGCTGCTCCTCCTCTGGCCTCAGAGAGGAGCAAGCTGAGGCCAGACCTGTTCCTATGGATAAAGTGTGAGAGAGTCAGTAATTTTACCATTTGAGTCTCTGTGACAATAGAAAACAGATTTGTCCATCTCTGAAAGATCAAACCACAAACAGATGCACCAGAAAAAATAATCAATGCTTTTTTTTACTGACTTTGACGCACATTTTTTATAGTTTTTCATGAGTAGGCACAGTGGCGCAGCGCTTAGCGCTTGTGTTTCACAGTGCGTCTGCAGGGAGAACATGCAAAATAATAAAATAAAAACAATTAAATATTTACGTAAAAACATAAAACAATCAAATAAATGAAAACATAAAACAATAGAATGAATAAAATAGAGGACACAACTCACACAGGTCTTAAAGTGGGTTTAAGGACGAGACTTAAAGGGCCCATATTACGGTTTTTGACTTTTCTCTGCTTTAAACATGATTACAATGCTATTTGGCCTTCATACACAAGCCCACAGTAGTTTATTCATTGATTCTGTCAATCTTTTGTGAGAGAGCAATCTGTCTCCTTCCCCAGCGTGAGGCACAGAAACATTCGGGTCCACTTCAGTGACGAAAACCACACTGATGACGCGCATGACCCCGTTTGCTTTGTATTTAAAATAGTTGTTAAATACTTTTGTCAAAACGGGGTAAACAATACACAATTAGTATGCTGTTTTTTGTCAAAAATAATAAAAATAAAAATAAATTAAAAGCCGGCGGGAGGTGATTGACGGATCAAAACAGCGAATCAGAGCGCACAGGCTCCGGCTCCTGAGTCCAGCGTATTTGGTCTGGTCTCGCGGACACCACATAGAGCTGCTGTTTTTATGCTTTTGTCAGCAACTAAAAGTGTTAGGATCACGTCAACTTGAATTAAGTGTGTTATGGGTGTAAATATGTGACACACTATTTGGCCCTAAGAGGAAGAAAGTGGCTCGACTTTTTTCATCTGTTCATCTCATGGATCTATTATAATACCGGTTCATCTGCGACACTTCACTGAGACTGTTCCAGAACTACAGGGACAATGGAACTGGACTTACTCAAAATGTGTCTTATGTATGAAATTACTAAGTACAGGTGATAAACGACAAAAGCGTGATGCTACGTCACCGTGCGGGCGGGGGGAGGCGGGCTCACAGGCAGAGGAGCAGACTCTTCTCTGGATCAGCTCGTTTGAGTCGAGGTGACGTCACCTCTATACAAGAGATGGCTCTAATCTCACAAGCTTTGATTGTTGTGTGGTGTATCATACACATTAATATCACACATGTGTATAGGATTGAGTGTGAAACACAAAGAAAAGCGTGATATAGGACCTTTAAACATTCCGACGAGGTGGTTGTCTTGACGTATATAAATAAACATGACTTACTAGGCGCTAAAGCCTTATTTTTGTATTATTACAGATGCGTGTTTATGTCTATATCTATGTATGTAGATATGTATGTATTCTTTCTATGCCTGTTTATTCCCTGGGCTACTTCTGCATGAATGGTGCTTTATAAATACATTTGCCTTGTCTGGTCCTCGCAGTGGGGGGACATCCTGCCCTACAGCGACCCGTCCGTGGTCTTCTTCTTCCTGTCGGCCTTCGCCACCGCCACCATCATGCAGTGTTTCCTGATCAGCACCTTCTTCTCCAAAGCCAACCTGTCGGCGGCGTGTGGAGGCTTCATCTACTTCAGCCTGTACCTGCCGTACGTGCTGTGTGTGGCCTGGAGAGACCGCCTTACCAGCACGCACCGCATCCTCGCCGTGAGTGCGCCTTTACCTTAGAAAGAAGACATTATTGCATTACATTCATCTTATAATTCAATCTGAAGAGACCAAGACAGAAACATTCATGCATGAAAAAGATTTATTTGTTTGGCGCATTGACCCCGGCAGTGACACTTGCAAAGGGGAGATCATCCCCTGGGGTCAAGCACTGGTGGTGGCTAGAAGCATGTTGTGAATGGGGCGTAGGCGGAGCCAGAGCAGGAGCCAGGAGCTGTCAGTGGGTTGGCAAGACGCTGGCCGGGCTGTGTGATTGGCAGAGGCTCGAGGCTGGCAGAGCTGTGTGATTGGCTGGCTCTGGACGGGTGAGAGCTGTGGCCGGTCTTTCAGTCTGAATTTGCGCTTCAGCTTCATTTCTGCTCTGATGATCCACTCTTCACTTTTCTTGTATCTAATTAAAACTTGCTCAAATTAAAATAAATTTAGCCAAATTTGAGTTCTTGAAATAAGACTAAATGTCTCTGTCCTATCGATGAATATTGTTTGAGCATGGTCAGAATGTGCTCAGAATAAGATTAAAACCACTCGATTCAAGCCATTATCACCTCATATTTTACAGTGTGTAAATACCTCCTGATGCTGCTAACCACAGTGTATATTCCACTAGTGACTTCTCCTTGAACCAAGTGTAATGAGTGTAATCGCCAGAGTTGTATTGTATTATTATATTATTGATTTATTTGTCACGAGGTAGAAAGGAGGAGAACCCAAAAATGCAGGAATGTCAAATAATAAATATTTAATTCCAGGGTAAACCAAAAGGAACAAGGAACCAGGAACTGGACAGACATTAAGAATTTAATGGGGTCGGCACTAGATCAAATACATAATCGGGACGGAAGCGGACTGAACCATAACCCTAACACTGCCTAAACTAATAGATCCATACCTAAACTTAACCAGCTATTCCCATAGAATAACCCCAACCTAACCTTAACCATCTTACTCAGACACCTAAAACTTAACCAGTCACCACTAATTCGGAGGTGGGATTGTTACTTCCGCTTCCGTCACGATTCCGTATATGATCTAGTGCCGACCAATACAATGGACCAGCAGCAAGGGGAGAGGAGCACAGGTACATACATACAGTGCCTTGCGAAAAAAATTCAAGTATACCCTTGAACCTTTCAACATTTTGCCACATTTCAGGCTTCAAACATAAAGATATAAAAAATAAACGTTTTGTCAAGAATCAACAACAAGTGGGACACAATCGTGAAGTGGAACGAAATTTATTGGATAATTTAAACTTTTTTTAACAAATAGAAAACTGAAAAGTGGGGCGTGCAATATAATTCGGCCCCTTTGCGCCACCTTTTGCTGCAATTACAGCTGCAAGCCGCTTGGGGTATGTCTCTATCAGTTTTGCACATTGAGAGACTGGAATTCTTACCCATTCTTCCTTGCAAAACAGCTCAAGCTCAGTGAGGTTGGATGGAGAGCGTTTCTGAACAGCAGTCTTCAGCTCTTTCCACAGATTCTCAGTTGGATTCAGGTCTGGACTTTGACTTGGCCATTCTAACACCTGGATACGTCTATTTGTGAACCATTCCATTGTAGATTTGGCTTTATGTTTTGGATCATTGTCCTGTTGGAAGATAAATCTCCGTTCCAGTCTCAGGTCTTTTGCAGACTCCAACAGGTTTTCTTCCAGAATGGTCCTGTATTTGGCTCCATCCATCTTCCCATCAATTTTAGCCATCTTCCCTGTCCCTGTTGAAGAAAAGCAGGCCCAAAGCATGATGCTGCCACCACCATGTTTGACAGTGGGGATGGTGTGTTCAGGGTGATGAGCTGTGTTGCTTTTACGCCAAACATATCGTTTTGCATTGTGGCCAAAAAGTTTGATTTTGGTTTCATCTGACCAGAGCACCTTCTTCCACATGTTTGGTGTGTCTTCCAGGTGGCTTGTGGCAAACTTTAAACGAGACTTTTTATGGATATCTTTGAGAAATGGCATTCTTGTTGCCACTCTTCCATAAAGGCCGGATTTGTGCAGTGCATGACTGATTGTTGTCCTATGGACAGACTCTCCCACCTCAGCTGTAGTTATCTGCAGTTCATCCAGAGTGATCATGGGCCTCTTGGCTGCATCTCTGATCAGTCTTCTCCTTGTTTGAGATGAAAGTTTGGAGGGACGACCGGGTCTTGGTAGATTTGCAGTGGTCTGATACTCCTTCCATTTCAATATAATTGCCTGCACAGTGCTCCTTGAGATGTTTAAAGCTTGGGAAATCTTTTTGTATCCAAATCCGGCTTTAAACTTCTCCACAACAGTATCTCGGACCTGCCTAGTATGTTCCTTTGTCTTCATAGTTCTCTCTGCGCTTTAAACAGAACCCTGAGACTATCAAAGAGCAGGTGCATTTATACGGAGACTTGATTACACACAGGTGCATTCTATTTATCATCATCAGTCATTTAGGACAACATTGGATCATTCAAAGATCCTCACTGAACTTCTGGACTGAGTTTGCTGCACTGAAAGTAAAGGGACCGAATAATATTGCACGCCCCACTTTTCAGTTTTTTATTTGTAAAAAAAGTTTAAATTATCCAATAAATTTTGTTCCACTTCACGATTGTGTCCCACTTGTTGATTCATGACAAAAAATATTTTTTTATATCTTTATGTTTGAAGCCTGAAATGTGGCGAAATGTTGAAAGGTTCAAGGGGGCCAAATACTTTCGCAAGGTAGGTTTTGCAACTGTATATAGAGAGACACACAGGTGAAACACTTCAGGGCAGGGCACGTCAACACATCAACAGGGGAACAGGACAGGAAGTGCAACTGAAGTGAAACCAGAGACCTAACTAATGTCAAAATAAAACCAAACACAGAAATAAAAACCACACCATGACATTATTATCTATTATCTTAAATTATAGATCCTGTTTGATGTGTGCATAACCTGCGTGCTCTTCTTTCCTCCTTATATTCTGCTATAACTTTCAACAATGTCAGAGCTTCCTGTCCCCTGTGGCCTTCGGCTTTGGTTGTGAGTACTTCTCCCAGTTTGAGGAGCAGGGCGTGGGCATCCAGTGGTCCAACCTGGGGCTGAGTCCTGTGAGCGGAGACAAGTACAGCTTCGCTACGTCCATCTCCATGCTCTACGCCGACGCTTTCATCTACGCCGTGACCGCCTGGTACATCGAGGCCGTGTTCCCAGGTGAGAGACACTACCGATCCAAGGGGCCAGGAAGGGGCCGAGGTCCAGGGGCCGAGGTCCAGGGGGCAAAGTCCAGGGGGCAAAGTCAGAGAGCGTATATTAGAAGAGGACTGACCAAAGTTAGAGATTTTATACTTGCTTCTTTTTATGCTAAATTTAGAGATTTTATTTTGTTTTAGTATAGAGTTATTGTTCATTTATCTTGTGCTGTGTGCTCCTCATTCTTACTGATCCATAACTGGTGATGCAACACTGACATTTCCCCACAGTGGGATGAATAAAGAATCTCTTAATCTTCACCATCTTATAAGGGCATTTATTCCGTGGCATTAGCTTCTACGGAAGCTGGAGTGTACATTGTCGCGTTTCTATTGATCGTGTAGTTTATATGAATTAGCTACGCCCAGAACAATGAGTATTAGGTATTGCAGCTAACTCAAACTGGTTCCATGAGGTTTTGTAGCTAACTCAACTGGTCCAGATACAGGTTCATGAGGCTCTGTGTCAGGTCCATCTATCCAGGTTTTTGTCACCTACACAAGATCAGGTCATGGAGGAGCAGCGTGTCTTCTCCATAGACTGTAAATATTAACGGACGTAGTCATGCCTATCTCCGCCGTTCTAACTAATGGGCCAAAAAATGTGCTCTACTGGAGCTATCCAAAATGGCCGCGAGTGGTCTTGCCCACAAGAAAATTGTGAAAAAACGCATCTGCGCATGCGTCAGCCGGCACAAGACCCTGGTCTTCTCCAAGCTCATTCCTCTATCTTTACAGTAGTATTTTGACCCCCTTTGCTGCAGTTACTGGGCATAACTCAGGTTGTGTTTCATGTGAGGACATTTGTGAGACCTCAGTCCTTCCACAGTTGGTCTGTTTGTTCTCTGCAGGAGAGTACGGCATCCCCAGACCCTGGTACTTCGTGTTCCAGATGAACTTTTGGAGCGGGCTTCCTCTGGAGGTGGGCATGCCCCTCCCCCCTGCGCCCGCAGAACAGGACCAAGGTACCAGGTTTCTTTCCCCACTGTTGGGTATCTGTTGGGTTCATATAAGAGAGGAAACAACATCAAACACGAGAACAGTTGTTTGATGATATGTCCTCAGTCCAGTCTGGGGCAGGGGCGGAGCTCAGGAGGGGGGGGGGGCTGAGGACTGGGGCCCCATATACATGTAGCTCTTAGAAGTCCTACAAGACGACTGGTGTTGGGATTTAGGGCGATACACAAATAAATGGAATTGAATATGTACAGTGCATAGTTATCCTTTTCTTTGGTTCTTTTGTCTTCAGACCACATCGAGCCGGACCCCTCAGACCTGGTCCAGGGCGTGAGCATCAGAAACCTGGTGAAGATCTATAAGAAAGGCGGGAAAGTGGCCGTGAACCACCTCAACCTGAAGTTCTACGAGGGTCAGATCACATCTTTCCTGGGACACAACGAAGCGGGGAAGACCACCACCATGTGAGGCGCCACACACTTCATACACTTCACTCAAACAGACACAGACGCACACGCACCCCCACACACACATACATACAGTCTCACACACACAGTTGCACATACACACACACTCTCTCACTCACAGTGACCTGTCCCCTCAGCTCAGTCCTGACCGGCCTGTTCCCTCCTTCCTCTGGGACAGTGTACATCGGGGGGATGGACATTCGCCACAACATGGATTACATCCGCAGGACTCTAGGGGTGTGTCCCCAGCACAACGTCCTCTTTGACATGTGAGATCACATCCACTGATTTAAGACCAGCTTTAAGTCAATCCTGTCCATTATAACGTGTGTGTGCGTGTGCGTTTTCCCGTTTGTCTGTACCTGTGTGTGTGTTGCAGTCTGACGGTGGAGGAGCACGTGTGGTTCTATGGTCGTCTCAAAGGTCTGTCTGAGGAGGAGGTCCGGCAGGAGCTGGACACTCTGCTGGAGGATGTGGGACTGCTACACAAGAAACGGGAGCAGGCCAAGAACCTCTCTGGTACCTACACAAGTACACACCATAGACAGAGTGTGACATCACCACAGTGTTAGCCTTAATGTAGCAATGCAAGACTCAGTAGACACTCTGTGGTGAAAAGAGGTCACCGTCTTACTCACTTCAGTTCATATGACTCTGAGCAGCTAAATAATCGGAATATATAGTTGCCACCACAATCAATAAACGCATTTTTATTTAAAGTGGACATATCGTGTTTTCAAATAATTGATTTTTACATCTAAATCATTCATTTGTGGCCTATATGAAGCGTAACTGCAATGCCTGTGTCTGAGTCTCATTATTTGTAGCTCCACGGGCCTTTCTTCTACACCTGTTCTGAGGTGCGTCTGAGAGCAACCGGTTTTGGTGCTGCCTCTTTAAATGCAAATGAGGCGCTTTTGACCACGCCCCCATCCAGGTGACACAGGTTCAACTCCACCCCGAGCGGCCATTTTTGTAGTTACTAAGCACAAATACAATTATCTCATAGAAACTTCTCATTACATCGCAAACATGAAGCAGTCCTTCCTCATTGACTGAAAGCAAATGTTAATTTTCATTTGTAGTCCAGTCTTATTATCGACTCTTCTCTTTTTAGCTTTGGGATGCGCACAGTCTATGATGCTTACACGCCGGTTTGTTTACAACAGCGGCCGCCTGGCGCGGGCCTACGTCGCAGGATATGACGCACTACGTTGACAGAAATGTTTAAATTGAATATGACTTATGCACAATTTTACAGCATTTAAAAACGTTAAGAACGTTTTTCCTTCTACAGAAGGAAAGAGACGCATGCGCCTCCGGAGCCGCAGGTTGCCGACTCCTAGTTTATACAGTATGTGGAAGCAAATACTGTAGAGGATCAGGATATGTGCAGTTTCAACAATAAAATAAAATGCAATAGTCTACATTACAAGAGATAATAAACATGTCTCAGAGTGAGGGAGGTGGACACAGATAACACTATTGTTTGTTACAGGGATGAGAATTGGTCAAAAAAGACTGAAATGCATATTGTCAACCATTTGCTAGCTCTAAATATGTTTACTTTGTTCACAACATATTACTTTTGGGCTCAAACATGAACTTTTTATTCAATGCAAAATGTAGGTATCAGAGCTTTATTTAAGGCGTTTAATCGCGCTTCGAGAGGAGAGGGGAGACGCGGAAGCTGCTCCTTACAAAGCGGCCGCAGATGCTCCGGAACACTGCGGCCGCTGAGGTGGCGGAATCCCGTTCGAGTACATACAGCAGGTGCCCCGCGGATACGCGCGCCCCGCTCAAAAAATTCTTAACGGATTTACACTTCTCATAAACATGTGTTTTGTATGAGGCAGACAGACCGGCCCCAATGTGGGCATCGGCCCTTTGGGCATTGCCCGGTACGCCCGATGGCCAGTCCAGCCCTGTTCGCTGGCATCCTTGAGCTTGAACTACAAATTCGAAGTGATGCACTGTAGAGGAGGGCTGGGCCGAAGTGTTTTGTTAGACGCCCATGCCCTTATATAGCAGTCTCGCTGCAAATACTGTGACGTAATAATTCTAAACACGTAATAGAGAATGGCAAAATCAGAACGGGTTGAAATATCTTACCTAAACAGAATATGAAGTGTTCTCTGCAACCCATGAAGAGACTGATTTTAACTTTTTTGCACTTCTAGAGGCTCCAACATCACAACATAAGGCATTTAAGGCACAAAAAGTGGATTTTTCATGATATGTCCCCTTTAAGTGTGTGTATTGTTCTGATATTCCGTTTATTTCCTGAGATATGAATTAATAAAGTTGACGAACATGAGGCCGAGTGGGCAACAGATAGTCTGGCCTTGGAAAAAAAATCAGTCGGGATATCCTCGGCATTCCGCGGGGGTTAATTACGTCGCCGCGACGTGATATTTCCCGGGTAAACAGATTTCTTATTACAACGCATTACGGTGAAAGCGGCATCTCTCCAGCTGTTGTGGTTACGGAGATATGATCTGACGAACTTAAGAGCAAAATACATGGTAAGTAACCGGAATTTTGGGAAACCAACACCATACACATACATCTGATATTATAAGCTTTATAATTATGGTTTATTTGAATCATGTCACGGTTATTTTGACTCGCGGATCAGTGAATAAAGTTGAATGACCGCCGCGCTCATCACACACTGTGCTCTGTTGCTGAAGCGGGAGGCAAGTTCGGGCGAGTCCACTTTTCAGGGGGGGGAGACACGCGAGTCACGTGGCCCAGACGGACCAATGCCATTGGTTGGACGAATCCATCTTACGTGTTAACAAGAGGGTTTGGGTTAAACCTCGGGTCTGTAACTTCAGTCTAATAAATAACGGATGTTTAAAGTTTGGGTCTGTAATTTTAGTCTAATAAATAACACGTGTTTAAAGCTGGGGTCTGTAACTTTAGTCTCATAAATAACACACATTTAAAGCTGGGGTCTGTAACTTTAGTCCCATCAATTACATGTTTTTAGCTGGGGTCTGTAACTTTAGTCTAATCAATAACACATGTTTTAAGATGTTTTATTCTTTTTTCAGAGAAGAATATGAGGAAGCAGCTAAAAGATTAAAAACTGCTGTTGTTCAAGTTGGCAATTTCATAGCAGTAGCTTATAGTGATCCAGATGTGTGGTACATAGGAACTGTTCTTGGTGTCAATACTGATGGCACATCTGATGTTCGATTTCTCCATCCATCAAAAGGAAATCCCTGTGTGTTTAAATGGCCATCAGGCTCAGACAAAACGAGTGTGGACCCAAAGTTCATCTTTCATGACAACGTACCTATTATCCCAGATGCCTCTCTTCGTTCATGGAATTTGGAGAAAGATGTATATGTAGAAATAGATCAATTGTTTCATGCATATGCCAAAACACATTTCTAAGCATCATATTCAGATTGCCCCATCAATTACCTTTATTTTGATATATTACATGTATATAGTTTGAGATTTTTTTTCCGGATTTCCTGTTGGCAGCCATCTTGGATAAGCTGGCGGCCATATTGTAAAATAAATATCAAATTCAACATCTCTGAATTGTTTCCTTCTTTACTGTGAATTTTCATGTTGATAGTTAGTAAACTAGGGAAGTTACAGCACTTTGAAGATGAATAAAGGCTTGAAATGGTTGAATAGAAGGTTCTACAGTATCCCTTTGTTTTAAACCAAATTACTTTAACTGTAAGCGCCTAAAAGTACTTATCAATATGGTAATAAAATCATAACCACTTATCCGATTTTCATAATTCAAAAACTGTTTTATTCCTCTTGCTGAGCTGTAAATTACTGTCATAAATGAAATCTGATTTGGTAATTAAAAAAAAAAAATCTTGCATTGCTACTTAATGCGGAAGAAGCAGAGTTGATCATAAGCTAGCTGGAGTAAATACTTCCTTCTTATTTGTGTCAAAATATAAACACCAGGATCACAGAGAGCACAAAACCACAGATGTGTTTACCCCAAAATGTGTGACACAAACGGTTTCTGAACTAAAGACTACTTTTCAATGTAAGTCAACAGTAGCCAGACAGAGTTAGAGCAAAACTTCGTCAATGAGCTCTTCCCCATAAGCATTGTCCATCTATATACAGCCTGTATATCTATGGAAAGTACTGTAGTCTCTCTTGTTGATCTGATTTCTCTGGTTGTTCTCTCTGGTCTCTCTTGCGTTTTTCTCTGATCTCTCTCTGGTCTCTCTGATCTCTCTCTGGTCTCTCTTGTTTCTCTCTGGTTTGCCCTTGTCACATATAAAGGGGCTAAACCGTTTAAACATATGACCGGTACATGATGTAAGCAAGTAAGTAATCTTTATTTATATAGTGCATTTTTTACAGACCATGGTCAACCCAAGAGCTTTACAGTGAATTCACATTTTCCCGACTGATGTACTCAGTGTACCTAAAGGCTTTATCCTTGAGATAGATCTTGTGTTTCTCCCAAGTTTGATTAGTGGATGCTACCTTTCACGACATGCAATCCCATATCCATATCATCGCAGATTCCTGATGAGCTGTTTTCTTGTTTTGAATCGGCTGTGCTCTCAGGTGGGATGCAGAGAAAGCTGTCGGTGGCCATTGCGTTCGTAGGAGGCTCCAAAGTGGTGGTTCTGGACGAGCCCACCGCTGGAGTGGACCCTTACTCCAGAAGAGGCATCTGGGATCTGCTTCTCAAGTACCGCAAAGGTCTGAGAAAACACACAAGACAAAATTACCTGTTCTCAGCTTTTGTCCTGCTCTAGTAGTTTTCCTTCATTTATAATCTCTGTGTAGTTGTGTTCATGTGACATCAAAGAAGTCAGACTCTAGACTTATTATAGAGCTTCTTTTAGAGCTAATTTCTCTGTAATTCCTGGAACAAAGCTCCACATCATCTTTGTCATCTCATATGGTCTCTCTAGACTCTGGTCTCTCTGTCCTCTCTCTGGTCTCGTTCTGGTCTCTCTATCTGGTCTCTCTCACTGGTCTCTCTCTCTGGTCTTGCGGTCTTGCCTCTCTCTGGTCTCTCTCTCAGGTCACTCTTTCTAGCCTCTCTCTCGGATCTCTGTTTTCTCTTTCTGGTCTCTCTCTGGCCTCTCTCTGATCTCTCTCATGCCACTCTCTCTAGTCTCTTTCTCGCTGCTTCCTCACTCATGTCATTGAAATGTAACCAACATGTCCCTGTGTTGTCCTCAGATCGCACCATCATCCTCTCCACTCACTACATGGACGAGGCAGAGCTGCTGGGGGACCGCATCGCCATCATCTCCCAGGGCCGGCTCTGCTGCTGTGGGACCCCCCTGTTCCTGAAGTCCCACCTGGGCTCTGGGTACTACCTGACCGTGGTGAAGAGGGACGGGGCCAGTGCCAGTCACTCAAGCGTGTGCACTAGCAGCAGCAGCACCAGCAGAGTGCCTCCTCCCAACAAGGTCTGGTAGTGTTGGGGCTAGGCAGGGGCTCTCTGGTCTCTCTCTGGTCTCTCTCTGGTCTCTCTCTGGTCACTCTCTGGTCTCTCTCTGGTCTCTCTCTGGTCACTCTCTGGTCTCTCTCTGGTCACTCTCTGGTCTCTCTCTGGTCTCTCTCGGGTCACTCTCGGGTCACTCTCTGGTCTCTCTCTGGTCTCTCTCTGGTCTCTCTCTGGTCTCTCTCTGGTCTCTCTCTGGTCTCAGTCTCTGATCTCTCTGGTTTCTCTCACTCGCCTCTCTGATCCCTCTGTCTGTCTAAAGCAGATTCCACCCCTTTCCTCATGTAAGTCCAATTTTAACCTGAAGATTTGAGTGGAGTCTGGTGTGCTCTTGCCCGTTCTGAAACCTGATTGACACCCCTGATCTGAAGTGAAGTGCTTTACAGGAACTATGGATGTTTCTAATGCTCTGTCTGTTGCAGCCTCCGGACACAGAATCCTCCATGCGTGAAGACACAGGTCTGGGCAGCGAGGACAACGGCTCCAGTGAGTCTCTCTTTATGTACATTTATGAAACCAGACTCTTATTTATAACTCTTTGTGCCTCTGCAAAAGCGATCTTCCAGTTTCTTCCCCATGGAATATAAGTTCTAACCAATTATCTGTTGATTTGCCAACACAGATCAGAAAATCAAACACAGGAAATGCAACAATAAAAAACACATAGAGCCATCAGTGGATTAGGGGCAGAGACCAATGTCCATATATGTTGTTGAATCTTGAATTTGGAATTACTGGTTCCTCTGTAGGCGTGGGGGCCCTGCTGTCCCTGGCTCAGCAGATGGTCCCTGGGGTCCGTCTGGTGGAGGACCAGGGCTCCGAGGCCGTGTTGAACCTGCCTCAGTCTGCGGTGAAGGACTGCAGTCTGGCCCTGTTCCTCTCGGAGCTCGAGCTGAGGCTACAGGAGCTGGGCCTGCGGAGCTATGGCCTCTCACACAGCTCTCTGGAGGAGGTGAGGTCCAGAGAGAAGAGTTTAGAGAGAGAGAGAGACCGGAAAGACACCAGAGAGAGATTACAGTCCAGAGAGATAAATCAGAGAGTAACCAGAGAGACCAGCGAGAGTCCAAAGAGAGAGAAACCAGTGCTAAACCAGTTAAAGACCATAGAGAGAGACCAAAGAGAGACCGGGGTGAGACCAGAGAGGGGGACCAGACTGAAGAATACCAGAGAGTGAGGGAAACGAGACCAGGGAGAGACCATAGAGGAACTAAAGAGTGAGAGACCAGAGAGTGACAGAAACGAGGAACCAGGGTGAGACCAGAAAGAGAGACCAGATAAAGCCCAGAGAGAGACCAGGGAGAAACCAGGTAGAGAGAAAACATACTGAGGTCTTCATTGTTCACAGTAAGCTGTGTTTTGTGTTGAGATTTTCCTGCGTGTGGTGGAGGAGACCGGGGTGGACGCAGACCCAGAGAGCCCTGAGGTCCTGGGGTCTTCAGTCAGACCCAGACCTGAGCAGGACCCAGAGCCCGGTCCATGTGAGTGAAGCTTCTACTCCGCGCTAACTGTGACTGTATTTCTGTCTGTGACCATAAACTGTTTCTGGTTTTAACGCCTCAGCTCGGACACGACTGCGCAGACCAGGTAGGACACGTGAAGTGAAGAAGTGTTAGCAAAAGTCTTGATTTAGTGATTAACTTTTTCTTTCACATTTCCTAATATTTCATCCAAGTAAAACTCTCTGTGTAATAACCCAAGGCAAGGACAAAAGGTGAGGAGTAGGAGGCCATCGCAGCCCTGACCTCTGACATTTGTGGGCCAAAATTCCAACAATTGAGAAGCTTGTGGAAAACTACACCGAACATTTGGCACAATTAAGCCGTTTTGAGCTAAAGTTGAAATACAATACTCTTCTTAATGATATTATATGTTTCTGTATATAGATGGACAATGATAACCCGCTAGCTCAATGAAGCCCAATAGGAAAGTGCTCATGGACAAAGTTTTGCCCCAACTCGCTCTGGCTCCTATTGACTTACATGTCAAATTAAACCCCTCTCTCTCAGTAACCATCATACTCACCATTTTGGGATTAGAAAAGTGCTCTCTACAATCCTGATATTTATATTGTGAAATTGTTTTTGTAAATCCAGATATGAGGCGTGTAAGGATTGACCAATCAGATGCCTTTATTCATGGGGGAAACTCCAGCTTGCCTTAGCAACTGCCTTAGAAACACGTCTGTTCTAGTTACGGTGCAAAGCTAAAGCCAGATATGAAAAAAGCAAATTGGCTTCTTCTGCATTAGGCCAACACTACGGTGATGTCACACTCGGTCAGTCCACTCCTCTGGTTACACCCAGTGAGCATCATTTAATTTCTAGTTTTTCTAATTGATTGACTGCGGAACCTTCCGCAGTCAACCATTGGTTTTGTATTTCTTTATTCCGTCATTTTTTTTGACACGTTTCACAGCTTTCACATTTTCAACAATTTCCACAAGTTATACATCAAAACGTTCCACATGTTTGGGAGATTATTGCTATTACTTTTGGGACTTCAGCGATTTCCGGTTTTTCCGCAATCGGACAAAAATCTGCATTGAGAATTCTGCAATGCATTTTAATAGGCCCATGCATTTTAATAGGACTTCAGCTCTTTCAGACATTTCTACAGTTTCAATGATTCAACAGTTTCAAGGATTCAACAGTTTCAAGGATTTCAGCAGTTTCAAGATTTCAAGAGTTTCAAGGACTTCAACAGTTTCAAGGACTTCAGCAGTTTCAAGGACTTCAGCAGTTTCAAGGACTTCAGCAGTTTCAAGGACTTCAGTGTAATCATGCAACCTAATAGGGATTTTTCCATGTAAACCAGTATAATGCAACTTAATAGGGATTTTTCCATGTAAACCAGTATAATGCAACTTAATAGGGTTTTTTCATGTAAACCAGTATAATGCAACTTAATAGGGTTTTTTTCATGTAAACCAGTATAATGCAACTTAATAGGGTTTTTTCATGTATAATGCAACCTAATAGGTTGCATTATACCACCAGACCAAGACCCAAACGAAGACTCAGACCACCACCAGATAATGACCACAGACCAGGTTTCCTTAGTTACAGGAACCAAATTGTTTCAGCGGTGAGGGGATTTTTCAGTTTCAAGGACACTTTCAATACATTCAGTAGTTTCAAGGATTTCAGCTGTTTAAGAATTTAACCAGTTTCAAGGATATCAGGAGGTTCAAGGATTTCAGGAGTTTCCACACTTTCAACAGTTTCCAGGTTTAAAAAAGTTTCAAGGATTTCAGGAGTTTCAATGTTTCAACAGTTTCAAGGATTTCAGGAGTTTAAAGGTTTCAACAATTTCAAGGACTTCAGGAGTTTCAAATATCTATCAAGTATTTTAACAGTTTCAAGGCTTTTTAAAGGATTTCAAGGATTTTTTTTAGCAGATTTCCACATTAGATCTGTTCCGCAGTCAATCGCAATGGCTTCAGCCATTGCAAGTTTCTAGTGTATAAATGTTTCTTATGGGACCAGCTCTCTCAAACCTGCACCTTCTCTTCTCCTGACGGTTAAAACCAGTGGGGGCGGGATCCGGCTCAAAAGTGGCCAAAATGACGTGCGCTGACATGCTGCAATACCACCCCGTGCCGATGGGGGTGGACCCGGAATAAGAAATAGCCAATGCTAACATATAGCATCTTGTTACCTCTCGAAAACACCTTTACAGGATGGTCCAAAAGTTGGCTCTTGGCCCAAAGCTCCGTTCCACATGTGTGTCAATGCTGAGGAGAGTGAATTTTTTTGGACCACTCTAGTTTACTTGCTGTGAATTTTTAAAGTCACTCGTTTAAATGAATGGGGCTTGTGCCAGCTGACGCATGCGCAAATGTGTTTTTTTCACTTTTTCCAGCCCCCGCAGCCATTTTGAATCACTCCATGAGAGCCCAATTTTTGGCCCATTAGTTAGAACGGCGGAGATAGACGTGACTACGTCCGTTAATATATACAGTCTATGGTTAAAATGAACAAGCTCCGCTCCGTTTCCGTCTCCATGACAGCGGTCTGTTTGTGCCATAGGTCCAGAACCAGCAGAGACAGACCCCCTCAGCGCGGGCGGGCAGTGTGGGCTCCCCCTGGTGGGCTGGAGGCTCACGCTGCAGCAGTTGCGAGCGCGTTTCATCAAGCGCTGGCTGTACGCACGCAGGAGCCGTCGCGGCCTCTTTGCTCAGGTCAGAAATCCACAATATTTGAATAATATGGTTACTGGTTTACTGTGTACAGGTAGTCATGTTGAAAAAGAAAGTGTCATGTTGTTTTCACCTTAGCAGTATTTTAGAGTGATTAGATTCACAAAGAGAGAGACTAGAAAGAGACAGAGGCCAGAGACCACAAATGTCTTGCGTATGTTTTAAGTTGTCACCACTTCTAGACTGTTATGAGGTTATAATGAGACCATAGTCGATACAGAGACCAGAGAGATACTACAGAGAAACCAGAGAGAGAAAATAATGAAACCATAGTTTATATCTACTGACAAAAAAAGATTGTGGATTGTTCCAGGAATTACAGAGCATTAAATTCTCTCAAAAACAGTGGTTCTTAACCTTGTTGGAGATACCAAACCCCACTAGTTTCGTATGCGCATTCACTGAACCCCACTTGAGCAGTCACAACTTTGCACTTGGGGCCAGTGGGGCCCCAAAATAATTGTGAATAAAAGTGGTCTTTATAGAGTAATAATCTATCAAATAATATTGTATTAAGAATAATTGCAATAAAAAAATATACATTTTGTCATGAACATTTATGCATAATTCAAAGGCTTTGCCAAAGCCTTTGAAGCCAAATCAATGACAATTTTTTTCTAAACCAGACTGAAATGTGGCCGCCCCATGCCCTGAGTGCTTGCTTAAGTGGTGAGCCACTGAAATCATACTGCACATATCCAAAACTGGTCTCAGTCGACGGCCGTGGGTCACATTCATTTTGGCCCCAAGGCCGATATCCAAATATTGGAATCAAACACATCAAAAAACACGTTGATATCGTGGCTATAGCAGCAAGCTAGTTTTTTTTCTCTCCGGAGCCAAAGCGTATACGTGACTGGGACAACAGTGAAAGAGTTTTGGAAAGTGATTTAAGTGAGGCTCTTGCTAGTACTATACAAGAACCCATCGAGCCATTGAGTTTAAAAGAAAATATAATTAACAAGCATACTAAAGTGCGACAGTTATGAGTGCGCAGTTGGGGTTCAGACACTGATCAGGGAAAAGTACCAAACGCATGTGCACCAATGACTTCGCTGCAGGTGTGAGCAACAAGTTCAGAGCTAAAATGTTGCTGATTTTTCGCTTTTGTTACATTATTTTCGAACTCGCCAAAAAGACCCACGGAGCTCACGGACCTTATAAAAAACCTGTGTCTCTGACTCTACTCGGCGCATCCCGAGGCAGAAGCGACTCGGTGGAGTCTCTAGAGCAGAAAAGTCACTGCTGTTAGGGGGAAACTCTCCGATATCAACACGTGTCTGGATAATATCCGCACAGGACCTGGAACAGCGTTACTGCTCGTGAAGCATATGGGCTTGTACCTGGAGGATGAGACATTTTTACAGTTTAAGCATTTTTTTCTATCAGCTCATGTCAGAAGTGGACATTCCGCACGACACACTATGAGAGCGTAGTGTCGATGCGACCACAGTTAACCGTACAATGGACGGCTTCATAGACTGTGAGAGTCGACCATGGACTGAGACAAAGTGGAGGACATCGCTCCAGAGACAGAGACAGCGCCAAAGAAACAGAAGAAAACAAACATTGCAGCAGTCGTGAAGGAAGCGTGTGATACTGTGCTTGCTCAAGTGGAGGAAACTTTTCAGTCAGTTCTGTGAATAATTTCCATGGGATTAATTTGAAGCAGCAAAACAAATCTGGTCAATTGGAAATAAAGTGAAACTTGAACCTGAGCTGAAGTCTCCGTACACTCACTCAGTTTCTGGCAGCACTCTGCTGCAGCTGATCTATGACAACAACCTACCGGATTATTATTATTATCACCAGTGACCACAGCTGAGCCAAAAAGAGCATGAATAGAGAAACTTTACAATGCTGACAAGGATCAAGACATTTACAAGAAACACAATGGGGCAGCAGAGATGCACTGGCCATTTTGTCCATTGAAATTTAATTATTGCATCCTTTCTATTCAAGAAATGAACAACACTGGTGAGTAGCATTTTATTTTGAACGTTTCAAATGTTTTATTCGTGGGCTTTATATGTTAGGTTGTGCATAAAAAATGGGCTGTGGTCCTGAATTGAATTGTACAGTTTCTGGCAACACTCACTGCTGCAGCTGATCTATGACAACAACCTAGTGGTTCTCAAACTTTTTAAACAAAGTACCACCTTGGAGAATACTTGCCTCTCCAAGTACCACCACAAATAGCATAGTAAGCCTAAGTATTCATGAAGAACAAGGCAGAGGTTTCATTCCTAAAGATGTAATTTAATATTGTCAGCCAACACTGGTGAGGAGCATTTTATTTTGAACCATTCAAAGATTTTACTCATGGGCTTTATATGTTAGACTTTGCATAAAAAATGGGCTGTGATCTTGATTTGAATTTATTGTGTAGATTTTGCTGCTTGAGGATGTAAAGTTCTCTCTTTGGTGTCAAGCTTTAAATACTAGAGAAAATACATTTGCAGTTTTAATACATGTTTTCTAAGACTCCATGATAAAAGTATGACACCAACAACGCATCTTTTGTCAGATATGAAAATACATAGAGCAAGTTAACACTTCGCTTACGGCCATACCACCCTGAACATGCCCGATCTCGTTTGATCTCGGAAACCAAGCAGGGTTGGGCCTGGTTAGTACTTGGATGGGAGACCGCCTGGGAATGGCTCATGACCCCCCCAGGTACCTATCCTGAGATCGCTCAAACTTAGGATCAGCTTGATCTTAGTTATGTTTCGAGGTTTGTGGTTCGAGCCCAGGTCTTGCCATTTTTTGATTTATGTAGAATGTACTTTTTATTGCTCTTAGTTGCGTCTTGAGGTTTGTGGTTCGAGCCCACATCCACCCGTTTTTATATTAATGTAGATTTGACCATTTATTGCTCTTAGTTGCATCCAGAGGTTTGTGGTTCGAGCCCAGGTCTTGGCATTTTTTCATGTATGTAGATTTTACCATTTATTGCTCCTCAAGGTTTGTGGTTCGAGCCCACGTCCACCCGTTTTTATATTTATGTAGATTTTACCATTTATTGCTGATTATCTTGATAATTTAGTTTACATTTGTGTTTGGCAATCAAATAGACTTGAATACTTTCTCATGAATCATGGCATGAATTGTTCAAAGCACCCCCTGCAGAGTTCTTACCTTGTGGAGCACGTTCATGTCACACTCCGTACTGCTGTAGAATAACACATTCATCTAAACAGACTTCAGCTTTATCTGCTTTGTCTGTGTATGTATTGTATGTGAACAGATGTGTAGTAATCTTTTTTTTTGTATTTTATACTGTAAATGTACATATTCACAAATATGTATATTCCTGAGCATCTACTTCCAGATTATTCTATTCTCTCAATAAAGTATAAGTCTAAAGGCTGTAAATTAAGCGTATTTTTAGAATGTAGGAATTTTATTGACTTTTATAGTAGTAAAGCCCAACCAGGGACAGGAGTTGTCAATTAGCATCTGTTATAAACTATATTCATCAAATTAGCTGCAAGCTTTGTTTATGACTGTGTCTGCATTGTCCCTGTCAAATAATGCATAAATAATATTGAAAGAGCATCGAGACTTAATTTTAAAAATTTAATAAATATCAGGCAAATCCAAAGCACATAATACATTGTATAGCTTTCAAAACACAAATCAGAGAATATCATTGTGCTTGTGCTTAAAGTGTTAAAAACACAGAACCATTGGTCTATAAGGAGTAGACACAAATGTCATACATGTTGTAGAATGTTAAAGTGTCCTGGATCATCACAGTCCTTTTTGTTAGATACCAACTGTCCAATAGACCCTCCTGCATAAGAAGAAAAACTCTAAAACCCAGTGGGAGAAAAGTGAGAAACCTCTGGGAGACCAGATATTGAGAAAGGGATCCGCTCCACATGGACAGACGGGCTATAGATCCAGGACTTAAACTACAGAACGAGGACCAAGGCCTGAGACACCGGGGGGGTCAGGGGGTCATTCTTGCAAGTGCTGTGGAGACATGCTCCTCATCCAGGACATTCTCTGAAGAGAGGAAAAAACCATCACATTTGAATGTTGATATGGAAGCTGCCATCCCATATGCTAATTTGTTAATAGTCTGTACATGTACGCATCATTTCCACCTGTAACAAGGCCAGTTACAATAATTATGTATCGACTTATTTGATAACTGATAAATAAAACAATATGGTGGTTTAATATCTATCAATTTACCTGGCAAAAGCGGAGACATTTGGACAAGGTTGTAGCTGTAGATCTGTAGATTGTACAATGACTTAATATTACTTAAACAGGGGAATTATTTCCATGAGTTATGCTTTTTAATGAAAAGGACACAAAAAGTTTTAATGGGATTATCCCGCTTTAGTGTACTAGTAACTAGCAGTATTCTGCCAGCAGCCCACATTCTCCAGCAGCCAGCTGAAAGAGTGGCCAGAGTATTTTCTAAAAGTGAACACCAGTGTCCTTCCCACATGTCTCCCCTGGTCTTCCTGGCTGCAGCCTCTGCCTGGTCACAATCCAGCCACAAAGGCTCAATCTGGCTGTCCACACACATCACACATGTGCTCCTCTTGTGCCGTGTGGAGCTGCATGTGGCGGGTCAGGTTTGACTTGAGAGAGAAGCTCTTGTCACACACACTGCACTGGTGTCCAGGCGCCTGATGTGGGAAAGCACAAACACTATCATGATCAACCTTACATTACAGACATGTGTCAAGTGACCAATGTACAGGATTATGTCATTTCATTATTATCATTATCATCATTTTTATTATTAGTCCAACCCGTTAATTAACATAATTATTTATTTAAGTTGGTCCATATGAGTGATTCACTGGTTTGCGTGGTTTGTGGTTATGTGTTGTTGCATTTACCTCCATGTCTCTGAGATGCAGATGATGAAAAGAAAAGTAGGTTCCTCAGTTGTTATGCAGATATCTCTGAAACAAAACAAACCACACTAGCTCAAATGCTTTCCTGTTATGTTCATCATATACAGTAGCAACATCAATACCCCCGAATGCATTGCAGTATTACACCTTTATTTTTAAGTAAACATTTAATAGATTCTATAATAGATTAGGTTCCATCTGTAAATACCTCCTGCTGACTAGTGTATACACTAGTTAAATATCCTTGGAACTTTATTTTATTACTAAGAACTTATTATTATTTCCTTTTATTATCTATTATCTTAGACTGCACACCTTACAGGATCTATTTGAGTGCTTAGCTCCTCCTTTCTTATATTCTGCTGTAAAGTGCAACGATGACAGTGAAATGTCCCTTCTGTGAGACAAACAAAAGATTATCATATCTTCTGTACTGTATATTACAGTACACTGTCTGTTGCAGACTATTTTATACAGAAGCCTCACAGAATAATTCATTATATATTCGTGCATCACTCAACACACATGTTGCACGGTTTCAACGGGATATTTATGGCGTTATTCATGTAAATATTTACGTTTTCACATCATTGCAAGCACATAGCGTTACCCGGAGCTAGCAGTAGGCTAATGCTAACGCTGTCTGTCAGGTTTGTACCGCTACAGATCTAGCGCAGAGACGGACTTAAAAACAATCCACAGACAATGTGCGGCCACAGACACAGAGGAAACAAGCGCCTTACCTGCTGCTTCTGAAGAAAACCCCCGAAGAGAGATTAAAACAGTCCAAAGAAGTGACGGAAAGTACCGGTATAGTTGTGACAACAGTGGAGTGGCGGCAGCCATCTTGTTTGCTTCAGACTGCTCAATGATTGGTCCGTTGAGCAGCTCAACTCGCTCAACCATTGGTCTGTTGAGCAGGAAACTCGCTCAACCATTGGTCGGACCAGGGACTTGGAGGAGCATTCGCCTGGGAATACCAGGTGCTGTAAGCTTTTGCATCAGCAGAGAGGAGTGATAGAGAAGGGCAGGCCACAAGGGACGACCTTGACCCCTTCCTTTTCTGATGTTTGGTATTTTTTAAAATGTCTTTAAAAATATTTAATTCATGGATTGATGGATTTTGACGAGTTTTCCAGATCGGGTGCATACACTCAAAGAAATGATTCAGGTGGTTAGTATTTTTAACTCAAAATACATACTGAACTAAACTCAATCATTGATTTTTGCCAGTTTTACTTAAATTAGTGTGGTCGCAACTCATTTTAAACATGTCGGTCTCAATTAAAAGTTAATACAAGAATCCTAACTCATTTTTGTAACAAATTTGAATTTGATATTTTACATAACTGGACTACGGAGAAGTATTGAGTTTGCTCAACATGAAAATCCTCTTGTAAGCCTGGGGGTCCATTAATGACAAAACAAATATATTGAGTTGATTCAAAACAAAATGTGGCGAAGCAGTGACGCTACCCAGAATGCATTGCAGCGAAAAATATAAACTTCTTAAAAATTCTAAATTTGAGCATTAATTTTAAA